AGCGGTAGGTGGGGAGGGATCCTACCTACGCGTGATACCATATCAAAAATTGAGAGTTGAATGTAAGATAGAAAGAGAGTACACAAGTATATACCTCAGGGTCGTACCCTCTAAGAGACTACCCTATACAGTCTATACAAACATGACAAGTATACATGTTTGACACTCCAGACCTCCACGATCTCAGGGTAGTCCATGTCGTACTCCAGGAGGCTAATGGTCATCAGGTCGCCGAGTCTTGCGTCACATAGGCTCGTCCTCAGCCAGCACTTGACGGCGTTCTGCCTGCTGAAACCGCGCTCGCATTCGACGGTGCTCAAGGGCAGAACCGCCATCGCCTGCCAGATCCTCATGAGATTCGGATAGCTCTTGGCCCAGTCCCTCGTCTTCAGCATGTTGGCGAGGCCTTGGCCGAAGTCGTCATCAGCACGGTGCGTCTTAAAGATGTGACAGATGTTTAAATTATATTTTATATAATTGTAGGCTTGATAGTTGTGCTACAAACTGCTTCTTACTGTAGAGGGGATAACTCCCCTTCTTGTACTTCATTCTCTTCTAGTCTATCCCCCTTCTCTCTCGTCAATCTTCCTAGCTAAACCTCGGCCGCCATTTCATGGCGGCCTTCTCCTTTCTTGCTACATCACTTCATAACATGGTTTCAGAGCGGTTCGCTTCTAGCGGGCCTGCTCCTCACGCTTCCGCCGCGCTTTTCTACCGTCCTTTTAGTGCCGTCGCCGTCCCTCGCCGCGCTGCCAGGGCGACCTCGACACTCAGCCGTGGCGGCCATGTCGAGGTGCCGTGGCGGCCTCGTTGCATGGCTGCCACGTCGAGCAGCCGTGCTGGGCTTGCCGCCCTGACGTGGCGGCTCCGCCGTTCCACCTCCCCGTCGCGCCTCCTAGCCCAGTCGCGCCCCTCCTGGGCCCTGCCGTGCCTCCTAGCCCCGTCGCGCCCCTCCTGGGCCCCGTCGTGCCCCTCCTGGGCCCCGTCGCGCCTCCTAGCCCCGTCGCGCCCCTCCTGGGCCCCGTCGCCCCCTCTAGCCCCGTCGCGCCCCCTAGCCATGTCGCGCCCCTCCTGGGCCCCGTCGCGCCTCCTCTCCCCGCCAGTAAGCGCCGCGCCTATGGCGCCGCGCTAAAGTCCTGCAGCCCCACCACAGCAGCCCCACCACCTCTCCCTCCCCTGCATCTCCTCCTGCTCCTGCCGTAGCTGCTGTCTTCGGCTCGGTCGTCGCCAGCCCGTGCCACACCGCCGAGAGCCCTCAGCCGCCCCTGTCGCCGCCTGTCCTCATCGACACAGCCGCCTTGAGCACGAGCTCCGCCGCTGTCGTCATTGAGGCCGCCCAAATGCGGCCAGCTGCCTCTCGTCCGGGGGTGTCATCGCCTAGCACGAGGGGTCGATACCCGGCTGCTCACGAGAATGAGGGTGTCCGAGGTTAGGGGGTGTGTGTGTGGGTTGAGTGGGCTTGCCACTACCAAGCCTAGGGGGTGTGTTCAAATTATATTTTATATAATTATAGGCTTGATAGTTGTGCTACAAACTGCTTCCTACTGTAGAGGGGATAACTCCCCTTCTTGTACTTCATTCTCTTCTAGTCTATCCCCCTTCTCGCTTGTCAATCTTCCTAGCTAAATCTCAGCCGCCATTTCATGGCGGCCTTCTCCTTTCTTGCTACATCACTTCATAACAACAGAAAGTCTTTAAATCCAGCTCAGCTGCTCGACCATCCACTCCTGTGGAAGCGCTCGGGTGGGATTCGAGACATGGAAAGCGAAAACATCGATTAAGAACCATGGTGGTGTTGCCACCGTTTTATAAAATATGGATACTTGTATCTTCATATAGCAAGACGACATTGTGAGTGCTAGGGATACGTGCATGGAGGGATCGAAAACATACATACCAGGAAGCTTGTTGTCAAACAGCTCCAGGTTCGACTTGACCCAAGCGCGCGCTCTTCGTTCCCGCACTTCCTGCTTCTTCGGCCATGTGTCCACCTTGTACAGCTTCGACCCGGCCATCTGCTTCAGGTCCCACATCCTCTGGTTCAGGTTCTGCACGGTGTCTTTAGCGAAGGCGGTGCACAGCGTGATGCAGGCCGCCTTGGTGCCACCTTACTTGTGACCGGGCAGGGAGCTCTCCACGAGCTTGAAACTGTGGGAAACCGGGCGCCCGTCGTCATCCGCGCCATGCACCACCACCTTGCCTCCATTCTCGTCATAGCTCTGCAGAAACTTGCTGAGCCGCTTGCTCAGCCCCGCGCCGAAGGTCTCGCCATACTCCACGTAGCGATGCTTAATGTACGTGACGGTGCGGTCGACCTCCTGCGAGACAAGGGTGATGTCAACCTCATGTGAGGGCGGGGTAATAAAAGCAGTGGCAAGATGCGAAGAAGACAAGTTATTGTCGAAATTGAAGAAAGTCCACAATCCAGCACATGACAACAGGCCACCGGCGGCATGAAACACAGGACCAACGGGATATGGGATAAAAGCATACCGACCGCTTCTGGAAAAACCTGTTGAGCGTGTTGAGCTCAGGGAGGATGTCAGCCAGAAAGTACAGACAGGAGTGGAACTTGAGCGTTTTGACCACTGGAACCAACTTGTGGTTGTACTCGATGAGCACAGCGATTACAGCGCCGAGGATCCTGCAGAGTCGTTTTACATCATCTCCACGCGAAAGCCACCGGATGTTGAAGAGCCCCTGGTGCTCGAGGTTCGTGTTGTGGATGATCAGCTGGAGCTCCTTGAACCTCTCATACTACGGTGTTGAACGCCCAGCAATCTCGCCGAAGCCACGGATGACGATGTCGATGATCCAGAGGTCGGGGAAGGCGCTGGCCGCATCCTTCACTGCAAGGGCCTCACTGCAACATACGAAGAATCATGCAAGGTCGGGCAATTAGCATGGATGACAAATAGTCCGACATGCATTGCATGCGAGGAAACGGACTCAAAACGTCGAAGCTGTAAGGGGGAAGACAAGTGTGGCTCGACCTGCATAAACTCACCGATGTGCAATACAGTGGCACCCAACGAGATGCGGAATGCGCACCCGAAGATGCGCTACCAGATCGTCATGCTCTCCTGTCATGACAGACGCCCCATCCGTGCCGATGCCCGCCACCTTGTGAAGTTCGATGCCGCAAGATTCTAGGTGCTCGAGTAATGCCGTCTGCAGAGCTGCTGCATCGCACTTGTCGAGAGTAAGCAACGCCAGGAACTCTGTGACGACTCGCCGCTTCTTCGGGAACGTCGCGAAGACGATGAGGTGTTTGCCACGGGTTCTGTCAGTTGACTCGTCGCAGCTCAATCCGATGAAGGGTGATGCGAGGATATGCTGCATCTGCTGTGCTTTCAAGTACGCCACCATTGTGCGCACCATTTCCTTGAAGCCATATCTGCACTTGGAAGGGCATGGATAAGCCGGAATTAACTCGATGATTGATACGACAGCGGAGCAGTCGCAATGTCACTAAGAAAGAGTACCAAAAATCATGAGCCACCCCGGTACTTACTGCGTGATGTAGATGCCATAAGTCTGCTTCGAAATTTCCTTGAGACCCTCCTCTGCCATGAACCCGACGAGCCGCGTGAACATGGCGATCGAGGCATCCTCATTGCATATGAACAGCATAGTTCGAAGTAGACGAATGATCCTCGCGCCGTCAGGGTCGTGCTTCCCGACGTCCTCCATTTTCTTCTGATTCTCGACCTCCTTCAGCAGCGCCTCTTACTTCTTGACGGCGTTCTCGTGCCTTGTGGTCCATGCAGATACTGCAACGCAAGCAAGGTGCACCATCGTTAGTCTTATCCAGCACTAGCCAAGGGAATTTCGGTAACCAGTCGGCAGTGTACTTCCATTGCGCGGCAAGATAGGCCTTCGCCATCTTCTCGGCGGGGTTAAAGCAGCCGAAGGCAGTTGCTGTGGCACAGGCTCTGGCTCTGGTGGTGGCGGAGGCTTAGGGGGAGGCGGCGCGAACGGGAGATCAGCATGGTTGAAGCGACGCTTCCTTTCCGAGGCAGACGCACGAGTTGAGGCAGGAGTTGATGCCGTTGATGTGGACGCTGGAGTTGATGCAGAGACAACATGTACAACTTCAGGTTCGGCGACAGGACCTTCAGCGTCAACCATAGCCTATAAATTTCTGTCCCATTCCTTACTACTGAGAGAAGGCAGAGGCTGTGGCTCAACTGGAGCGGTAGCAACTCGACGGAGAAAGTCGAGCCCGCTAAGAGGGAGCGATCTAGGAGTTCGCAGAAGGACATACTCGTCGCCACCGCCATCGTTGGGCTCACTCGTGCCAGCCAAGACGGCAGTGGCACGAGTGACGACGGGCTGCAGCGACGGCGAAGGTAAGCGGAGGTATTCTTCTGCTAGGATGTTGTGAGAGATAGATTTGGTGAAGGGGAGGAAGGGAAGGTTGAACAAGACGAGTATTTCGTCTGCTCTTCTTGGGGGTGAGTGAATTGTGGGGCGCCTCGGAGTGGGTGAGGGAGTGAGGTCGGTCGTGCATGCATGGATGGTGGCTAAGGTCGGCGTGCGGTGGTGAGGGAACTGCTGCCAGCCTTGTAGTGATGATGTAGTCGTGACTAATCAGCGCGAAGGATGCTGCCAGCAGTGGCAAGGATGGCAGCATATGACGTGCCACTGCCTGGCGGTACGCGTAAAATGACGCGTATTGTGGGATATTGGGGCAAAGCCAGGTACAGGGTACAGGGGAAATCTACAGGTATACCGCTTATATACTAACCCTCAGAGGGGTACAAATGGTTACTCTGATTTTCAGAGAAACATAGTAAATTACTATGATAAAATAGGCACTGCTAGCAAGGCATATTACTTTAACAGAGGTTATGCTCTTGCGCATGGATAATCAGCATACAATCAATGTATGAATAGATTACCATAATAATACGAATACGGTACTGAAATAATGTTGAGTTTAAGTTGTAACAATCGATTTATCGTGTAATATTAGGCCTATTGTGCATGTGGTGTTAACGTAGAAATGAATGATTACTAGAGGTGGAAACCTAGAACAAATACTAGTTGGTTGTACTCACTAGAAGCATACCTCAGTCTAGCCTATAACTTCTACATAGATAATATGTATAAGTTGACACACCCCCTAGGCTAGACAAGGGGTGAAACTAAACAAGAAGCAAACAGCTCAGGGCGGCACTACTAGTCCAACCACTGAGGCAGGGGTCTGGAGACCAGTCAGCAAGAATACAACCAAAACTGAAGCAAGCCAGGGTGGCACTACTAGTCCAGCCACTGGAGGTAAGGCCACAAGGCCAGTCTGACAAGCATATATAATAGAGAGTACACAATCAGGATCCTAACAGGGGAGCAGCTATAGGAACAAGACCAAGCTGTACACAGTGCCGCTGATGATCTTTAGGCGCAAGCGCCTTAGTAAAGATATCAGCTGTGTTGGCACCTGAGGCCAAGTGAACTACGCGGGCCTGGCGGCGCTGCTGTAGCTCGCGCAGGAGGAAGTACCGCAGCTGGATATGTTTCGCTCTGCCCTCAAGCCGAGGCTCCTGACACAGGAGTATCATGGCCCTGTTGTCAGCGTACAGGACCGGGGCAGAGCTAGGCCGCTCACCTAAGTCTGTGAGCAAGAAGGTCAGCCAGCGGAGCTCCTGTGCCGCCATGGCACCAGCGTAGATCTCAGCCTCACAGCTAGACTGAGCCACAGACGACGAGCGAGTGGATCTCCAAGAGATAGCACCCGAACCAAGGCTGAAACAGTAGCCCTGCGATGACCTGAGCGTCTCAGCGTCGTCTGCCCAAGAAGCGTCTGTGTGCCCAGTAAGGACCACTGGCCTGCGTCCTCCTAGCACTAACCCCATGCCTGATGTACTAGCAAGATAACGCAAAACCCTCTTAGCGGCAGACCAGTGCTGAGGTCGGTGTCTGCCTGTAGCCACAAAGCGAGCCAGGATGCTGAGAGGGTATGCGAGATCTGGGCGAGTGCAAGTCATCAGGTACATGAGGCAACCCACCAGCTCTGCGTAGGGGCCACTGGGCTCTACTGGCTCCTCAGGAACGGGAGCAGAGAGCCCATGGTCTACGGGTAGAGGTGTGGGCTGTGCGGAGGAGAACTGAAGACCGAACCTCTGAAGGACCTGACGCACCAAGTGTGACTGGGTCAGAGTGATGGTGCGTGCTGCTCTGTCCCTAGAGATCTGCAGGCCAAGATAGCGACGCAGCTCTCCAAGGTCAGTGCAGGTGTGTCTCTTCAGCAGCTCAGCCTTCACAGAGGCCAGTGCGTCCCTGTCAGGAGTAGCGAAGACCAGGTCGTCTACGTAGACAAGGATGTAGAACGGAGTCTGGCCGGAACGCACAAACAGTGAAGGGTCAGCAGAGGACGGAAAGAACTGCAGGTCTGCTAACGTGGCACGTAGCGTGTCGTGCCACTCGCGGGGAGCCTGACGCAGGCCGTAGACCGGGCGCCTGAGAAGCCACTGGGTCCCAGGAGGGAAGGTACCAGTGAAGCCCTGTGGTCGGCGCAGGTAGACCTGCTCGTGTAGGCTGCCCTGAAGAAAGGCAGTAGAGAAGTCGAGGGAGTGAAGCTCGTAGTCACGCTGTGCTGCTACGTGTAGCAGCGCCCGAAGAGTGGTCATCTTCGGGGTCGGGGCGAAGGTCTGGAAGAAGTCAACCCCCTCGCGCTGACTGAAACCTCTGGCCACGTAGCGCGCCTTGAAGACAGGCGGCTCTCCAGGGGGGCGCTTCACCTTGAAGAGCCACCGACCATCGACTACGTTCACCCCAGGCGGGGGAACTGCGTCGACGTAAGTGCCGGTGGATCTCCAAGATGCCATCTCCTGCTCCATGGCAGCTATCCACTGAGAGGCCCAAGGTCCCGAGGTGGCCTCAGCGTAGGTGCGAGGGGTCGGGATGTCGAAGGCGTCTGGGTCACCCTCAGGGACTAACAGCATGGAGCAGAGATGGGGAGAAGCCTCGGAAAGGAAAGCCAGCTCGTACTGCCTGTCCTCTAGGACGTCACTGCCAAGGGCAGGAGCACCCCCGACGGACAGAGGACGGGCAGGGTCAGAGACCAGAGCGGTAGCGTAGTCAAGGCGGCGGGTAGAAGCGAAGTCAGCGACAGCAGCGACAAGCGTGTCAAGGCGCGAGACAGGAACAGCAGGGTCGGTAACAAGAGAGGCAAGGACCCGAGGGACAAGGGGACGAGCAGCACGGAGGTAGTCAGAGAACGGAGGAGGTGCAACAGCAAGGGACGAGGGAGGAGGGGACGGGAGGAGGGGAGGACGAGACGAGTGGGAACGGAGCAACATAGGGTGGGTGGGCAGGACAGGAGAGACGGGACGAGCACGGGAGGGACGGCGAGCCCAAACGTGAGACGGAGGGGTAGGGTCAGGGGACAGCGGAGGAGACACAGGAGGGGAACGAGGAGGAAGACGGGCCGGAGACGAGTCTGGCGGCGGGAACACAGGACCGTAGACAGGGAGGTCAGGAGGCGGTGGGGGAGACACCGGCGCGCGGTCCGGGGAGGGAAGGCCGAGCAGGCGGAGAGCGGAAACCGGCGGCGACGGCTGCTGCGGCGGCGACGACGGCTGGGCCGGAACTCTCGGACCAGCAGAGGCAGAACGACCGTCGGCAGAACACTCAACAGCAGCACCCCCAGAACCAACACCCCCAGAGCGAGAACCCCCTCCAACACCAGCGGCACCCCCAGAAGCCGCAGGACGAACACCCTCCTCCACACCAGCACCCCCAGGGGCCGAGAGCAGCGGCGGCAGTGGCGGCAACGGCTGCGGCGGCGGCGACAGCGGCGACGGCTGCGGCAGCGACAGCGGCGGCGGCGGCGACGACAGCGGCGACGGCTGCGGCGGCGACGGCGACGGCGGCGGCAGCGGGGTCGGCGACTGCGACAGTGGGGGCGGAGGCACCGGGGAAGGGGGATGCGGCAAGGACGGACCGGGGGTACCACCAGAGTCAGCAGACTCCTCAACGGGGACAACCGACGGGAGGGGAGTGACGTGGGAGACACCAGACGGGGCAGGACGAGGCGGGAGAGGGGCAGGGGCTACCGGGGGAGAGGGAGCAAGGAAAAGGGGGGGGGCAACTGGGAGACCTCGGTGAGGGAAGCGGCGGTAGAAGGAGACGGACTCATCAAAGGTGACGTCACGAGAGTGGAGGAAGCGGTGAGACGGCGGGTGGTAGAAAAGCCAGTCAGACGAGTCCAGGGGGAAACCGAGGAAGACACAGGGGACAGTGCGGGCAGTGAGCTTGTCCGTGCCAGAGGCACGAACGTGAGCAAGGCAGCCCCAGACGTGGAACGCAGACGCGTCACCGGGGGACCCGGTCCAAAGGAGGGTCGGCGAAACCTGCGGCCGCTGGGAGCGTGGCCACAGGTTAAGCTGGTGAGCCGCGTAGCGAACAGCGAACGGCCACAGAAAATGGGGGGCATCGGCATGGATCATGGAGGTACGGGCGACCTCCATGACCAAGCCGATGCGGCGCTCAGCAACCCCATTCTGCTGTGGCGAGTCCGGCAACGTGTACGACTGGGTGATGCCCTCCGCACGACAGAACTGTCCAAGCCGACCAGAGGCGAACTCGCCGCCACGGTCGGAGTGGAGACACAACACGGGGAGACCGCGGTGGAGACGCGCAGCCACAACCCACGGGAGAAGAACGTCGGGCACGTCGGCCTTCCGCTCCAGGGGAAACACCGTGGTGTAGCGCGTGTAGTCGTCGACAAGCACAAAGAAGTAGCGCTCACCGCGCGGTCCGGGGACGGGGGCAGGGCCCCAAACGTCCAAGTGCAGGGTCTGAAGGGGGGCAGTAGCAGGACGCAGCGAGGAGGAGTGAGGAGCACGGCGGAGCCGACCCTCGACGCAAGGCGTGCACGGTGGCGCAGTCGAGGGAGGAAGGGCAGGGAGCGACGCGGGGAGACCTAAGACAAGACCGTGCTGGGACATGTGACGCAGACGCGGGAGAGCAGGGTGACCTAAGCGGTGGTGCCAGAGAAGGGAGGGGTGAGTGAGGGACCGACACGAGCAAGCTGCAGCGACCTGGGAGGACGCACCAATCGGGGGGGAAGCGGTGTGTAGGGTAAACAGACCGGACACCGGGTCCCGGGGGAACGTCGCAAGGGGGGAACTTGAGACAGCCTCAGAACAGACAGCGAACCGCTCGTGCCCGGGGAACGTGGTGGTGACGCCGAGGTCCTGGAGACAGCCGACACCAACCAGGTTCCTGGAGAACGAGGGAACGTGGAGGCCAGTAAGGGAGCCCGAGGGAACTGCCGGACAGGGAAGGGACGTAGAACTGCGCGCGACGACCGGACCCGCAGAGGGGTCAGCGAGAGAGACAACAGCAGGTGCAGCAAGCGGCGTGAGCGTGGAACGGTCGCGGAAGAAGCAGGCAGAAGCACCAGAGTCGAGAGTGAAGGACAGCGACGCAGTGGCGGGGGCCGGGGACGGAGCCGGTGCAGCGACTAGACTAGGCAACCTAGGCAGTCCTACGCCTGTCGCAGCAGGGGAAGCTAAGCTACACAAGGGTGAAACACCTAAACTAGAGTACACAGGGTAGTAAGATCCATCAACACTAGAAGCGTCAGCATACAGTACAAAGCATGCAAAGCAGCACCTATCTGATCCATGTCTAACTCAAAGATCGGCACGCCCTGGCGGAGCAGGCTGTGCCAGTCAGGGAGGTCCGGGGCCGGGCCAAAGCGACGACGAAAAAGATCGTCGAGGCGGCGGAAACAGCGGGCGGTCGGGTGCGGGCGGCGGCACAAAGTGCCGCGGAGAGGCCCGGTCTGAAGCTGGTACTGGCAGGTCACAGCACTGGAGCCGCTGGTAGACGCCAAGCTGCGCGGGCCGCCACCACGGCCACCGCCTCCGGAGGTGCCGGGCCAACCAGGCGGGAGACGAGCCCACGGCTGCGGCGGGTGCTGCTGGGACGGCGGCTGCGGCTGGGGCTGGTCCTGCTGCTGCTGGGACTGCTGCTCCTGCCCACCGGTGGTAGTCCCCTCAGGCGGACTACCGTCACCACCACCACGACCACTACCACCTGCGTCACCACCCCTACCTCCCTGGCGGCCACGGCCACCGCGACGCGAGCGCTGCTGCGGGTGGACAGCAGCAGCCGTCTCGGTAAGAGGGGTCGCCGTGGCGACCGCAGCCGAAACGTCAGTGAACGTGCACGGGGATGGGGCACAGCCGTGAAAGATAGAGACTGGCGGCGCACTGCTCGACTGAGCGATAGTGCGCTGGCGAGTCTCGATCTCAGTGAGGGTGTCGACAAAGGCGGTCAGGGTGAGGTCACCCGGGTGCTGGCTAAGAAAGTGGTCGCGAGCACTAGCGAGGCGGTCTGGCAGGCGCATAGCGATAAAATAGAGCGTCATGCAGAAAGGAGGGGGGAGCGCAGTGAGCTGGGCAGCAGTGCTGGCAGTGCGATAGCGAGTCTCTAGGGCACGCAAATGAGTGGCAAAATCTGCGACAGTAGGGAAGGCAGCCAGGTCTGGGAACAGCATCGGAAAGAGCAAGCGGCCAGCAGAAGCGGAGGCAGGGGTGGAATAGCGAGCAATAACGGCGTCTAAATAAGCTTTGGCCGTTTCAACAGTAGCAAAACGCGAGCGCTCAGACACAGGGAGGGCGTGACTAATAGCAACCTGAGCTACTGCATCGCGTGAGTCCCAGATCGCACAGGCCAGCGCAGCAGTAGAGAAAGCCTCACGGTCATCAGAGGAGGGGTCAGCAGGGAGGGGAGTAGGTGCAGGGGGACGGGGGAGCAAGCCATCAGCATGGACAACCAGAGAGTGGCCATCCTGGCGCTGACCTGTAAGCTGGCGGCGAAGATCGGAGAGCCAGGCGGCGAAGTCAACCGCGTGGCCCTCAGCGTCCAGGCGGAGCACAAAGTCAGCCATCGTGCAGGGTCAGCGGCACAGCTCCTCAGCGACACAGCGGCACAGCAGCACAGCTCCTCAGCGGCACAGGAGCACAGCGGCGCGGGGACACGGCGGCAGCACTCTCCAGTAGGGCAGCAGCTAGGCGTCCCAGCGCAGGCAAGCAGAAGACACAGGGCCCGAGAGGACACGGCAGGCCGAGCAGGGGAGGCGGGCAGGTGCTCTGGGGCCGGGCTGGTGCTGGGAGGGGCCAGGCTGGTGCTGCTGGGGCCGGTCGGGCACGAGGAGGGGCCGGGCAGCGCTGAGGAGAGGCCGGGCGGCGCTAGGAAGGGGCCGGGCGGCACTAGGAGGAGGCCGGGCGGCACTAGGAGGAGGCCGAGCGGCACTAGGAGGAGGCCAGGCGGGCGAGCGCTAACAGCAGGCGCGACAGGGGCCAGCGGGCGCGACGGGGCCTAAGGGGCGCGACGGGGCCCAGCGGGTACGACGGGGCCCAGGGGGGGCGCGACGGGGCCGAGGAGGCGCGACGGGGACCAGCGGGCACGACGGGGCCCAGGGGGGCCGCGACGGGGCCTAACGGGCGCGACGGGGCCCAGGGGGGGCGCGACGGGGCCTAGCAGGCGCGACGGGGCCTAGGAAGCGCGAAGGGGCCCAGCGGGCGCGACGGGGCCTAGGAGGGGCGCGACGGGGCCGAACGGGCGCGACGGGGCCCAGAGGGGGGGGACGCGACGGGGCTTAGGAGGCGCGACGATGCCTAGGAGGCACGACGGGGCTCAGCGGGCTCGACGGGGCCCATGGGGGGCGCGACGGGGCCTAGGAGGCGCAACGGGGCCCAGCGGGGGCGCGTTAGGGCCTAGGGGTCGCGACGGGACCCAGCGGGCGCGACGGGGCCTAGGGGGAGCGCGACGGGGCCTAGGAGGCGCGACGGGGCCCAGCGGGCACGACGGGGCCCAGGGGGGGCGCGACGGGGCCTAACGAGCGCGACGGGGCCCAGGGGGGGGCGCGACGGGGCCTAGGGGGCGCGACGGGGCCTAGGAGGCGCGACGGGCGGAAGCGGTAGGCGGGGGGATCCTAACCTAAGCGTGATACCATGTTAACGTAGAAATGAATGATTACTAGAGGTGGAAACCTAGAACAAATACTAGTTGGTTGTACTCACTAGAAGCATACCTCAGTCTAGCCTATAACTTCTACATAGATAATATGTATAAGTTGACATGTGGAGCCTTTCTAATTCGATTGGCAACAACATCACGTGAATGTATATGCTACATGCTTTAATAATATGTACATTCTCCTCCGTCTTTAGCGAATCCTCCTCGGTCTTCATTGGCGGCACGGACACGGGACGACCCTCATGTCACGTGCCCTACCAATGGCGGCTACGAAAACCCGCCTGTTCTTGCCTCCCAAAACACTGGTAGTTTTGGAGGCTCGGGAAGTAGCAACCAGCCATAAAAATGTGCCGTCTAGTCGTAGCCAATCGTTAGACCGCATAGCCTGGTCCGAACCGAATCCACCCGAGCCTGTCGTTTGCCATGTCGTCTTGACCATGCGACGGGACACCCAAAGCATTTATCAAGCCTCCTCTCAGCGATGGAGGGACCCATGCAACCCATGTCGTTCGTCGCAAGCTGCCCCTGCGAAGCGCTCGCGACGTAAGCAGCTGGTATTCAACGCCATTTTAACACGTCGCATGGATGGAAGGGCGGGGTTTCCAGGCATCCATGTTCCCACATCCTCGCAGCCCCTTTCGCACACGAACTCGCCCAGCCAGACGCATCCGTGCATGCAATTTCGGCATCTACACCGCGAAGCGCATGTCGCGACGCACCATCCTTTGTCAAATCCCATGACTCTCTTCCATCCTCACTCCCCCTACCACCCACGAAACTCCAGCTCGCATTCTCCTCGTCGCCCCTCGTACTGTAACCCGTCTTTCTCCTGTACAACCCAACCAAATAATTCGCCCCTTTCTCCTGCTTTTATCTCCCACGCTCTCTTTCCCTTAGCCACCATACCGCATCCGAAAATTCTCAGCGTTTGTGTTCTCAGTTAAACAACAATCTGCGGCGTTAGTTGCTGCGCCATAGATTCTTCGCACTTTTAGCAAGCGGCGGGCACGGGATGTCGCGAACGAATTCGTGACAGGTCGCTGCTCGCCGTGAGTAGACCCACCGCAACCACCAGGCCGTAACAAACACTACTAGATTTCGCGTATCTACTGGAGTACCCAAGGTTCCCATCGGACCGACTGCGGAAAACAGGGACGCTGGAGCCGTAGAATATCCTCCCCGTTTTTGTAGCAGTTTAAACGGAAAAAATGACGGTTTCGCTGGTGGCGCATCAGCCGCAACAGTATCAGCAGCAGCTCTATCAGCCCGCCCTCCAATTCTCGCCACGTGGCACGCACTCTGCTGAATACGCCGCGTTCGACGGAGGCATCGACAACGGGAGCTACGGCTCGTTCAACGGAGCCCCCTCGTCGAGCAACCAACTGCAGAATGTGTACGAAAAGCCGGTTACCAGTCCGCAATCGACATCGTGGGGCTTCGACGCTTCACCATTTGACACTGACACTCCAATGGGTGGCGAGCCGTCGATTCAAAGTCAGCAGATCGATCAGCAGATTCAAAATCAACGCATCCAAAATCAACACGTCCAAGATCACCAGATTCTGGGTCAACGAAGTCAGGGACAGCAGATTCAGAGTCAGCAGCTTCCGGCGTACGAGCAACTATCCACGGGCCGCGGCGTAGGCTCCTTCGGCGGGGTTGGCGACGCCTCGTCCGCTCATACAGGCGCGTCGTGCGGCGGTGGAGGCGGCTATGGGATTCAGCGTTCGAGCACAGTCTACACGGGGTACGGAAACCAAGGTTATTACGAGCAGCCGCAACCGCAGCAGCATCAGCAGCAGCAGCAGCAACAGGCGCCGCCGGCGGCGGCGGCGGAGACGCAACAGACGTACGCTAGTCAGCAGCGGTACTCTCAGCAATGCCCCGGTCAACAGCAGTCAATGGGGTCTTCTTCGTCGTCCGTCGTCACGTACTCGTCTGGTTACTCCACATTCGCGAACTCGTCTGGTTACTCCACGTTTGGTAACTCGTCCGCTGGTTACTCGCCCGCTGCCGAACCCATGTCGTATTCCCCCCAGCCAATATCGGGTGCCGCGCCATTCAATACAAGCACAGGTGGCACGTCTTTCGGTACAAGCACAAATCCTGCGTCTCCGATCTACAGCGTATGTGACACGTCGGCGCCGATCTCTTGGCAATCCACGTCATCGGTGATTCCATCTGCTTCTACCGCGATGGCGCATAGCAACGGAACCATAGCTCCGGCTACTCCGTCCGAGTTCCATCCGCAGCAGCCGCCGCAACAACCGCCGCAATATTCGCCGCAGCAGCCGCAGCACTGGGTGCCGCCGCAACAGCACCTGGCGCAGCAGAGTTATGCGCCCCCGCCCCCAATGCCGCAGCAGCAGCAACAACAGCAGCAGCAGCAACGACAGCAGCAGCAGCAGCAGCAGCAGCAGCAGCAGCAGCAGCAGCAGCAGCAGCAGCAGCAGCAGCAGCAGCAGCAGCAGCAGCAGACGCACCTGCTGTCACTGCCTCAGGTGAATCCCACTTGGAAGAATACAGCCTCCCCCAGCAGTACCGCGTGGCAGGCTACCCCTATCAACCATAGCAACAGCAGCAGCAACCTGTTGAACAGCACGTGGCATGACTCGGCGGGCGCATCGCAGGCAGGCGCGCCAATCTCCAGCTGCGCACCGAGTTTCGGATACGGCGGCGGTGGCGGAGTCTCCCCCCCCGCTGGCGGAGAACACTTTCCCCGCGCTGGCGGCGGCGCTTCCCCTCACGTTGGCGGCGGAGTCTCCCCCGCGCCCATCACGGACAGTCATTCGTGGAGCGGAAGGAGCCCTCCCCCCGCTTCTTGCGGAATGAGCCCCCCCGCCGCAACTTGCGGAATGAGCCCTCCCCCCGCTTCTTGCGGAATGAGCCCCCCCGCCGCAACTTGCGGAATGAGCCCTCCCCCCGCTTCCTGCGGAATGAGCCCTCCCCCTGCTTCCTGTGGAATGAGCCCTCCCCCCGCTTCTTGCGGAATGAGCCCTCCCCCTGCATCTTGCGGGCACGAGTGCGCGCGTACGACAACACCTCCTGCATTCGCATCGCATTCGTCAGCAGCAGCGGCGGCGGCGGCGGCGACGGCGACGGGGGGGGTGACGGGACCTGTGGCTCAAAAGGGAGGAGCCGTGGAATGTTACTCTACGGACTGGGCTTGTAACGGTGGCTCGGTTACTAGTACTAGCCCCGCTGGTTCGCCAATCCCGCCTGCTGCTTCTTCTCCTTCGGCTTCTGCTGCTACAGCTGCTACAGCTGCCGTTGGTGCGCCGGCGTCGCCCGCCCCCGCGCCAATCGCAGCCGTGGGTGCAGCAGGCGCAGGAACAACAGCAGCAGCAGCAGCAGCAACCGCGGCAACGGTGGCAACGGCGGCGCCGGCGGCGGTGGCGCCGGCGAAGGACCCGCCATGTGCGGCGTGCAAGTCGCTGCGGCGCAAGTGCACGCGCGAGTGCTTGCTGCTGCCATATTTTCCGCGCAACCAGCCTGAGAAGTTCCTGGTGGTGCATAAGGTGTTTGGCGCCAGCAACGTGTCCAAGATGCTGCAGGTGAGTCTGCGGTCAAGGGAAATGCAGGGGTGAAGGGGGGGTTTAGGGGGAGTGAAGGGGAGTGAAGGGGAGTGAAGGGGGGTGAAGGGGGGTGAAGGGGGGGAGTGCCTGCGAGTGCCTGCTGCTGCCGTACTTTCCAAGGAACCAGCCGGAGAAATTCCTGGTGGTGCATAAAAGTCTTCGGCGCCAGCAACGTGTCCAAGGTGCTGCAGGTGAGCCCTGGACTAACGATGTGGAAGGAGAGGGGGGGGGGGGAAGGGTAGAATGCCTGCTGCTGCCGTGTTTCCCGCGCAACCAGCCTGAGAAATTCCTTGGAAAAACTGAGAGTTCAGGGTTATTAACGTGATTAAAATGCCGAATGTGAGGCCAATATCAATAGGAGATAGGGAGATGGGAGACTATTTTTAGGCGCCCCAAAAACAGCGCTAGCAACGTGATTAAATGCTGAAGGTGAGCCCAATAGCAATAGGAGATAGGGAGATGGGAGAGTTTGCTGAAAGAGGAGTGCCTGCTGCCTTAAAGCCTGCGTTCCAAAATTGCAAGCTGCACGGCATTCAAGTGCACTGCGTTTGAAGCGGGCTTAGGCGAAGGGGTTACCAGGGCTGTTTTGCGCCTCTTGGGTCGATTTAAAAATGCAGCCTCGAGTGAGAAGCGCAACGAAATAGAGATGTCATCTCCTGAGCCTTCCCTTTCCGTGCCCTCCATCCCACAGAGAGGATGGCAGTAGCCAGCCCTGTATACGAGACACCTCTTTTACAGGGCTCCACCTCCAGCTGCGGTTTTTGAGAAATCACAAAAGCCCCTCCACCTCTCTGCTTTCTCTCTTTCTCTTTCTCGTTCTCTCTTCTCTCACTGCCCCAAGTCTGACCGCTCTCTGCAACCAGGAGAGAACGCCTGAAATCACGATGTGCAGGGAACTCTCTGCAACCGCGGGACATTCCTGTGAACCCAGGAGTCTAGTTTTGAGGCGCCTCAAAACTAGACTCCTATCACGCGGTTTTGAGGCGCCTCAAAACCAAATCTGCCCGCTCTCTGCAAGCAGGACACATTCCTGTGAACCCGGCAGAGAACGCCTGAAAGCGGGATAGGACAGGACATTCCGGCACCACTCATACTGTGGCGGTCATTCCGGCACCACCCGGCAGAGAACGCCTGAAAGCGGGAATTCCTGTCCACAGGACATTCCGGCACCACTCATACTGCCTTATCCTTATCCCATTCGTCCCATCCCCAGGTGACTTTTGAGTCAGAGTGACTCAAAAGTCACCTCTGCAGGACAATCCCGTGAGCCAGAGGGGGAGGACGCGGTAGCACAGGCGAGATCCATGTGCCCTGTGTATAATTCCAGTCTCTCCTCGTCTCTCCATCTCCCGCCCATCCCCCCGCCCTCTGCAGGACATTCCCGTGAGCCAAAGGGAGGACGCGGTCGCCAGCCTCGAGTACGAGGCGCAAGCGAGGTTGAGAGACCCGGTGTACGGCTGCGTGGGGGTCATCTGCCTGCTACAGGTAAATCCCTCCCCTCCGTCCCCAGATTTACCCTCATTCCAAAGGTTGAGAGACCCGGTGTACGGCTGCATATTGGGGTCATCTGCCTGCTGCAGGTACTTTTCCTCCCCCCTCGTCTCCAATTGCCCCCTCTTTTGAGCGCAAGCCAGATTGAGAGACCCGGCGGTCTATGCTGTGTTGGAGTGATCTGCCTGCTGTAGGTAAATCCACGTCCCCCCACCCCCACCCTCTCCCTCCCCTCCTCCCACCCCCTCTTTCCCCCTCCTCCTCTCCTTCTCTTTTCCTCGCCTGCTCTTTCTCCTTCCCTCCACAGTCCACCCCGCTGCACATCGTGTCTTCCCTCCCTTTTGTGTCATTCCTCCCCTCAACCCTTCTCAACCTATCTCAACCTCGATTGTCCCCCCACTCACCCACATTCGCCACCCGCACTCCCACAGAAGGAGATGGTCGCCCTTCAGGAGCAGCTGAGAGACATCAGCCCCCTCTCTCTTCCACTTCCCCTCTCTCCCTCCCTGCTTTTCTAATTCCTTTCCTGGTCCCCCCCAACCCCTCTTCCTCCCACTCTTCCTCGCAGAAGGAGATGCTCGCCCTTCAGGAGCAGCTGAGAGACATCGAGGCGTCTCCCTTCGCATCGCCCCCCTCCACGATACATACGTCACCATTCCCTGGAAATAAATCGGCTGATGCTGGTGAAACCTCTGCGTCAGCGGCGGTGAATCTGGCAGGAGCAGCAATAGGAGGTGGAGAAGGAGGTGAGGGAGGCTGTGGACAAGAGGAAGCAGCAGCAGGAGCAGGAGGTTGATTGGGATGAAGACATGCAGCGGTGAAGCTTCAAACTCGGCATTTGCAGGATAGCCACTGCGCAGCTGATGCCAGGGCAATATTTCGCCTCGCTAGAGGCATATATATTGGATTGATAAAAAAGTTGCCCTTTTCCCTATGGCTTGTCGCTCTTAGTGACAACCGTTTTGTTGTGCGTCGCTTCTTCATAGCAAATGGTTGCTAGCTGCCTAGTATACAAAAAAACGGGTTGGAGGCTAAGGGTGTAATGCGTTGGCTTGTGTTGTTGATTTGTCACATTTTTAAATAAATGCCATAATGCTTGTTTTCTATGCTCTGCCTCAGTTTGTGGTTTGGTGCGAAATTGATTTATGGGGTTCCGCTTGAGTGTGTATGTTACAGTTTTTCAAATCTTTCTTTGGACAGTTTTCTGACAGCCGTAATTCTCTTACCGAGTCGAGCAATGGGCTGCATTTATTTGGCAAACGCGGATGTGGCGGAAGCGAGCGCCTCGTCCTTCACGAATGCGCCTCGTCAAAAATGGCCATCCGTGCGCCGACATTTCAACATTTCGGGGGGCGAAGAAGCGCGCATCAGCAGGCGCGGATTCCCTCCGTGCCTCCTCCTCACATTTGCATCACATTTTGCGTGTTGAAAGGAGTATCATATTGCGTGCTGAAAGGAGGGGCAAGTTTTGCGACATCTGCGGCGGTTGCCTGTAATGCACCACGAGACACGCATTTCTAAGAAATTCCTTCAGCTATGGCCAACGCGACACACGCACCCCATCCCGATCATGGTTGACTGAAGAAATGAACACTCACATCTCATGTTCCCGCCCATCCCGTGATCGCCGATCCCTCTCCCTCCCTCCTGTGTCGGCTGAATCTCTCACTCCCCAACTTCCAGTGCCTTCCGCACCGCGTGAGCCAGAAACTGCGTGCCATTTTTTCAATGGCTATCCATGAAATGGAAAATGGAAGATTCGCACTGGCCACAGGCTACACGCCAGAACAGACCCGTCGCCCGTCGTACCTTCCTACCAATGACTGGTCGGCTCGGCGATCGCAGCCCCGTCGCCAAGTCGCCGAGGTACCCATGCGACTTACCGACGCGTCGGCGGCAGGCGAACCGACTCTGTCGCTCTGCGAGAGAGGCGCGATTAGGAGTATCAGCTTCCAGGAAAATTCTTGAGAATTCTAAAAAATCACCTAGCTTCCAGGAACCTCAGCCTACACTTGAGAGCCCCGCCGTCACGCCGTCGCTTCACTCGAGTCTCAAACAGAATGCCCACCGTCACGGGGTTTTCGACGCCCACTACAGGCGCGTCAGAACCACCTACGCGACGCGATGCGCGTCCCATCAAGACGAGCCTCCAAGTTAGTAGTCGGCGCGAGACCGAGACTCTCAAGCCGTTTCTCTATTCTCTCCTTCTTCCCCGCGATCCGCGCTAGTCCTCTCCATCAGTTTCACCTCAGAGGCTCAGATCAGCCTGAGACGAGCTTAGAACCAAGCCGAGGTGCACTCATGCATTAGAATCAGGACGAGACGTTGTACACATGCATTAGAATCAGGAAGTGCCTGCCGTACACATGCATTAGCCTTCACGAGCACTGTCGATAATCCCTCTCTTTCCCGCTTTTAAAGGCAGGACGCCTCAAGTCAAAAGCGCGTTCTTAGAGAACCTAAGATAACCTTTTTTTCAGAAATAGGCTCTGGGAGCTTGATCAAGTTTCCTAGACTAGCATTACAAGCGTGGTTCATTGGTCGTCTGGCTTCTCCTTGCCTCCCCGGCGGACCTTAACTCGAATACGGCGCAATTTAACTCGTCTGGCTTCTCCTTGCCTCCCCGTCTCAAGAGTCTAGACAAATACTGATTCCTCACAGTAGCGGAGACTCCTCGAGCCTCCTAGCTTTCAAACCACGTCTCACAACTGCTTGCGGGGACTAGTTTTGAGGCGCCTCAAAACTCGTCTCACAGCTGCTTGCGGGGACCTCGTTACTGCTTCCAAACCTCTGAGCGGACGCCCTTCGAGAGTCGGAAAGCCCAGCCGTTATGAAGGCTCCAAGACAGCCCTCCGCTCCGCGGCTGTCAAGACGAGAACGATTCTTCCTTCGCCCCATGCGACCACTCGTCGCACCGCCCATGCGACAACGAGGGCGATTCGTCCTCGTCGCAGCATGCTTCCTTCTCGCCATCGTCGCCTTGTCGCTCGTTCCGCATGCGACAGCTGCGTCGTCGTCGAAGTCCGGCAAGAAATGCGACGTCACCGTCGGATCGTGCGTTTCGCCACCTTCTCCCCCTCCTCCTCGAGACATAGAACCTTTCTGGGGGCGTGTGTAATGAGTCGATTTTTTAGTCGACTAAAAAATCGACTCATTACACACTTTCTGGGGGCGTTGCCTGTTGCCGAATATTTCATTTTCTTCCTGCAAGGCGCGCCCGCGTCAACCGAGTTTCCTAGTCTTGCAGTTTCCCTGTTGCCGCCCTGTTGCCGCCCTGTTGCCGCCCGTGTGTAATGAGTCGATTTTTGAGTCGACTCAAAAATTGCCGTTTCCCACACTTCCCACCCTCCATACCCATTCTTCACTTCGCCCCATTGCACCGTTCCCCACCCCATCAGTTGGATTCCTTCGTCGAAGTATCCGCAGTATCAGAACGACTGTCCGTACATCACGGACAATTATAACTGCATCAAGAACGGACGGCCGGATGGCGACTTCCAGCACCTCTTGTGGAAACCCAACGGCTGCGATCTCACCATGTAAGACCTAAGACCGTGTAAGGCCGTAGGAAGGGTTTGGATTTTTTTGAATTCTCGAGAATTCTCAACAAATCATCCACAACATGAAATTCTGACTTTGAGTCGACTCAAAAGAATTTTGAGAATTCTATAAAAATCCCCACAACATAAATTCTGCACCCAACCTGTCCATCTTATACCCTACGGTGCAGAAAGATAAGAACCTATTTCTCACTCCCCCCCCACCTCCCTCAACCCTTATCTACCCCTCCTAAGCTTCCTCAAAGTTAGCGTGACTCTGTACTTTCTTCTCATCTCCTCCTCCATTCTCATTCCTCATCCCCATCCTCATCCCCCATCCCCCATCCCCATCCCCATCCCCTCTTGCTCCTCTGCTACCTTTAATCCGTGCAGATTCGATCCCAAGTCGTTCGCCGCTCGATTCGTGGGTCAGTCGATCGCTATAGCGGGTGACAGCACCGGGCAGTACCTCTTTCAATCCCTCCGATGCCGGATCAGCGAGCACTACACCACAGAGGTACGCATTAGTAAGAATCTCGAGAATCTAGGCTGCAACAGGGTAATTTTCGGCATTTTTTAGGCGCCTCTAAAATAGACTCCTCACTCGAGAATCTAGGCTGCAACAGGGTAATTTCCGGCATTTTTGAGTCTACTAAAAAATCGACTCATTACACACCTCTAAAATAGACTCCTCACTCGAGAATTTAGGCTGCAACAGGGTAATTTCTGGCATTTCTGGAGGTATTTTCCTGGCATGTTCCTTGGCGCTAAGCATGCCATGTGGTAACCCTGTATGCTACCATCTCGTATCATTCATTGCAGGATTGGGATCCGAAGATGGTTGGGTGGACCGGGCAGGGCTTTAAGGTGAAGCTGCTGGGAGTGCGGGTCATTCTGGTGGACGCTCCTTTCCTCATGGAGGCATGGCCGGACGTTGAGGTGAGCATAGCGGGGGGATCATTCTGGCATGGCTGATGTGGCGCATCGGAAGTTCCGTTGACTGCCACTTATGGTGTCTGGGAGAGTGGATCACTCTGTTGGAATGGGATGCAGCTTCACATTTCTCTCCGAGACAGCTTTCTGGGAGTGCGGGTCATTCTGGTGGATGCCCCTTTCCTCATGGAGGCATGGCCGGACGTTGAGGTGAGCATGGTGCACGAGTTGTGCTGAATGGGTGTTTATGGTACATGATGCAGTATGGGGCACGGCATGTTGAATCAGTCGAATTCAAGGTCTCGCCCTTATCCCAATGTTCCCCTTCCTCCTCTCTCCCCTGCACTCCGCCCTCCTCTCTCCCCTGCACTCCGCCCTCCTCTCTCCTCTCCCCTCCCCCCAGGGCGAGTCCGAGGCGTCGCACCTCTGGCCATGCAGCCGGACTCAATCAACCACAAGATTCTCGAGATGCTCCTGCTGTGGGCGATTTTTGAGAATTCTAAAAAATATAACATCGAATAACTCTCTACCCTTTCCTCTCCTCTCTGCTGCCCCTTTCCCCGTCTTTCCTCCCCTCCCCTCCCCCCAGGGCGAGTCCAAGGCCTCGCACCTCTGGCATGTGCAACTAGACTCGATCAACCACAAGATACTCGAGATGCTCCCCAACATCCCCAAGCTTAAAGCCCTGATCCTCGTCGCCAGTAATTACTACTTACCCCAGCCGGCCACCACCACTGTCAGTGTCAACAACAGCGCTTACAGCAGCTACATCAGCAACCAGAGGATTTATTATTCCCAGGGGAAACCCCAGTCTCCTCAGCCTACACCACAAGACGCGTTATTCAACGCCCTTAAAACGGTGTCGGCTTATTTCGATAAGAATCTCCAGCTGGTTCGGCCGTTTTTCCTCACGATGCCGCCGTCGCATAACCCGAATCTGTTTCGGTACGCGGATACGACCTGTGGGCTCTTCGCATCCCCTTTGCAAGCCGACGCGATGAGCTATGCAGCCGCGCGGAGCGACGCCACCACATGGACTACAGTGCAACGGCAGGCTCTATCAAATTCAAAAATAAAACTACTGGACGTATTACAAATGTCAATGTACAGAGCGGACGGGCACATGGCGGCATACGGCCCTCCCCCCGATGCAAGCGAGATGGACTGCGCGAAATGGTGCCTTCCGGGGGTGCCGGATGCGTGGGTCGACGTGTTCTTCCACAAGATCGTGCACCCGTTTGGGGGATTTGGACCGGACCCGCTGCTCTCAACGAGTATTTGGAAGAAGTTTCTTAAGAAGCTGCCTTGGCCTAAGAAGGGATGGCTGGGGAAGGGATCGGTGGGGAAGGCGCTTCAAGAAAAGGTTGGGGGGAATGGGATGGGGTTGGGTGGGGGCAGCAGCAGCAGCGGCAGCAGCAGCAGCAGTAAGCAAACGACGAGCACAGTCGGCAAGGTTGCTTCGTCGCTGAACAGGCTGTTTCTGAAGCAGCATGGGGGATAGACAGATGACAGCATGGCATGACGCGCCCATTCAAATGAGACTTTTGAGTCGACTCAAGACCGGTCACTTACGAATAAGGGCACGCGGTTATTTTGTCATTGCACCAGCTGTTTCTGAAGCAGCATGGAGGATAGATGACGACATGGCGTGACGTGCCCATTTACGGGAAACTTTTGAGTCGACTCAAGAGCGGTGGTCACTTCTGACTAAGGGCACGCGGCTGCATCATCCCTGAAGCAGCATGGGGGATAGACCACAGCATGATGTGCCCGTTTACAAGAAATAACACCTATGCTGTCGCTGTAGCAAGATGGAGGATGTAGAATTGTCATTCTCTATTCTATCCTCACCACATTTCTCCCTTCAGGTGTATGTGACATACATGTGTCACGTGGAGAGAAATGTGGTGAGGAGCAGAGGTAGCCTGCTCTAATGAGGCTCTCTAGTTTAGATGCACACTGTAGCTGGCTACCTTGAATGTACATTCCTCACTTGCACTGTTAGCCTTGCACTGCACAGCCTGCAATGCTTCATTACCAAGTGTGACCAAATATTTTTTCCTTTAATTTTAAGTACCAGGAAAAGCACAGATTCCAAATGAACAAGCTACGGGTCCACGGACTGAAACTTCAACAGAGCTACAGTGGAGACATTTTTTAAGAATTCTCAAAAATGCCTTGAAAGCACACATTCCAAATGAACAAGCTACCGTAGTTTTGCGACGCCTCAAGCTACGGATCCATGGACTGCGAAACTTAAAGGGGGTTCTCGCAGATCCAACATGGCCTCTCCTGCAGATCCTCTCTCGCACCCCCTCCCTCAGCCAGAGGTTCACCCAGACTCCATCAGAAACACAGCCGCTAACCACTGTGCTAAAAGGGCTTTTTAAGTAGGCGATCAGCGCGCCCATAGCCCCCCAGGCGTAGCAACCTGTGGCCCTTCCGAGGATCTTCTAGGGCGACCCCAGTGGGTCTCTGGACAGGTTGCTTTTAAATTAACCTCAAAACCAATCATCGAAGGGATTCTCCTTCGAACCTTCGGTGATTTGTTCAGTCGACTCAGAAATCATATTGAGTTCACCTCAAAACCAATCACCAGAGGGACTCTCCTTCGAACTTTGGAGCGCCTCAAGACCAACATGGCCTCTCCTCCGAATCTTCACTCGCACCCCGTCCCTCGGCCGGAGGTTCAGCCCAGACTCCAGCGGAATGTTGCTGCTATTGCTGCTACTGCTGCGAACTCCCCTTCTCCAGCTGCTTGCATGCCCCCCTCGGCTGTCATCAGCTCCCTCGCTTCCCCCCTGCTTTCCCATGCCAGACATGGCATGTCCATCAGTGCCAGCCACACTCCGAGACGACTGTTGAGTCGGCTCAAAAGGCATGGCACGTGCATCAGTGTCAGCCACACTCCGTTCACCAGTGCCAGTCGCAGGTTGAATGTCAAAGAAGCGCAGCAGCAGCACAAGGCACAGTTTAATCTCCAGAGTCGCGAATCGGGCACCGATGCACATGCGGGGGCCTGCTCCAAACGGCATGTACATAGCCTCTGACTCCACTGTCCAAAGCACCTCCTCATGTACCCCTCCTCCCCCTCCTCCCACTCCACCAGCTGCCCGCTGGCCAAAGCGCTCGGGCAGGAAAGAAAGTGGCCGGGGGAAGAAATCCGGGCAGCGGTGGGCAGCGAAAATCGGGACCACTATCGGCGTGTTTGCAGGAATGTGGTAACCAGCCAGAGTGGTTGCATGGATGGGCAGTCGGGCAGCTATAGGACCAGCGGGGTACAGTCTAAGTGTTTCTTTTAGCACCATGTCAAGGTACTTCAACTCTTCAAGGTCTTCAAAAGATGGCCTTTTTTTGGAATAAGCCGGTGGATCTTCAGGCCTCCTTCTCCCCTTCTTCCGTGTCCCTATCGCCCCTTCCCCCTCCCCTTCCCCCTCCCCTTCCCCCTCCCCTTCCCCCTCCCCTTCCCCCACCACCTCCCCCACCACCTCCCCCTCCCCCTCCCCCTCTCCCTTTCCCCCCTCAAAATACCTGTCGATCTCAGCCTGTACCTTCCTGGAAACTTCCGGATGCTGAGTCAGCATGTGGATGGCAAATGCCAGAGTGGAGGACGTGGTCCCGACACCGGCGCCGAGGAGACCGAAGAGAATGAGGGGAAGGTCGGAGTCGCGTAGCCTTGCGCCTGTGCCCTTGTCCTGGAAGCTGCAAGGAAGCGGGGAGAGGGGAAACAGAGAAAGGAACACAGGGAAATAGAGTCAGCATGTGGATGGGGAATGCCAGGGTGGAGGACTTATTAAAGGCGCCCAAAGCGATTTTTAAGGCACCTCAAAACGATTTTTGAGGCGCCTAAAAAATAGTCAGCATGTGGACGGGGAATGCCAGGGTGGAGGACGTGGTCTCCCGACACCAGCGCCGAGGAGACCAAAGAAAATCAGGGGAAGGGCGAATCTGGGTATTTTTGCTGCTGTTCCTTTTTGAGGCGCCTCAAAAAAGGGCGAATCTGGGTATTTTTGCTGCTGTTCCTTTTTGAGGCGCCTCAAAAAAGGGCGAATCTGGGTATTTTTGCTGCTGTTCCTTTGTCCTGGAAACTGAGAGGAAGCGTGGGAAGGAGAACGGGGAAATATAGTCAGCTTGCGGACGGGGAATACCAGGGCGGATTTACGTAAGTTTGCTCCTGAATTTTGTCGTGGAAACTATTTTTGAGGCGCCTCAAAAATAGAGGTAGCGGGGGAAGTGGAAAGGGGAAATGGAGCCAGCATGCGGACGGGGAATGCCAGGTCGGATTCCGGTAATTTTGCTCCTGTTGCTTTGTCCTGGAAACTGAGAGGAAGCGTGGGAAGGGGAAAGGGGACGGGAAGGGGGAAGGCGACAAAGTGAGAACTTCAACAGTTGCACTAGCGTCCGCCCATGTCCGCCTCGTGCTCCTGGAAGTTCTGGACCACTGGATCACTGGACCATCGGACTTCTGGATCACTGGACTACTGGATCACTGGACCATCGGACTTCTGGATCACTGGACTACTGGATCACTGGACTACTGGACCATTGGACTACTGGACCATTGGTCTACTGGACCATTGGATATGGACCACTGGTCCAAACCACTCAACCACTGGACCACACCACTGGACCGCTGGACAATTGGATGTGAGGACCATGGAAGAGAAGATGTGTTCATTCGCTAGATTTGAGGTGTAAGTTCGCATACTGTTTGAGGAAGGTCAATATGTCGGCAGCGCTGTTGTCGGCGGCGCTGTTGTCGGCAGCGCTGTTGTCGGCAGCGCTGTTGTCGGCAGCGCTGTTGTCGGCAGCGCTGTTGTCGGCAGCGCTGTTGTCGGCAGCGCTGTTGTCGGCAGCGCTGTTGTCGGCAGCGCTGTTGTCGGCAGCGCTGTTGTCGGCAGCGCTGTTGTCGGCAGCGCTGTTGTCGGCAGCGCTGTTGTCGGCAGCGCTGCTGCTGAGACAGTTGCCTTCAGGCGCTTGCTGTCTCTTTGCTTCCAACATCCGCTGAAGAGGAGGAGAGGGAGGAGAGGGTGGGAAGAGAGAGAGGGAGGAGAGGGAGGGAGTGAAGAGAGAGAGGGAGGAGAGGGAGGGAGTGAAGAGAGAACATGTGGGAAGTAAAAGAGACAGAAAGCCTACCAGCTTCCCTAGTCACATACGTATTCTCACTTCCCACTCCTGCATCAACTCTCGGTGTCTCTCTCTCGCTGCAGCCACAGTGCTTCCAGGCACCGCACCCAGCAGCCGATGCACCAGCGGCCGAAGCTTTTGAGTCGACTCAAAAGCAGACTAAAAATGAGTGACGATCCTTGGGATCTCACTTACCAGCAGCCGGTGCACCAGCTGCCGAAGCCACGCAGGGGTGGGGGTGGGAAACCCACCAGGCATCCCTCTCACCAGGCATCCCTCTCACCAGGCATCCCTCTCACCAGGCATCCCTCTCACCAGGCATCCCTCTCACCTCCCACTCCTGCATCAACTCCTGGTGTCTCTCCCTTGCTGCAGCCACAGTGCTCCCAGGCACCGCACCCAGCAGCCGATGCACCTAGGAGCAGCGATACAGCACGCCAAGGAGACACCAGCTACATTCATCACCACCACATCGTCTCACCTCCCACTCCCGCATCAACTCTCGGTGTCTCTCCCTTGCTGCAGCCACAGTGCTCCCAGGCACCGCACCCAGCAGCCGATGCACCAGCGGCCGAAGCCACGCAGGGGAGAGGGCGAGAAGGAGCGATGGGATGGCCCCTAGCTTCGCCCCTGCCTGTTCATTTGCTCCGTATGCGCGAGCTAGGGAGGTGGTGTGGGCTGTAGTGTGGTTGGTAGTGGTGGGGGTGGTCTGAGTGCGGGTGGTGGCAGTGGGACATGTGCTGCAACTGATGCTAGCCTTGTCTGAGTGGCCTCGCGTCTCGTCAGCACGGCTAGTGGCTTCCTTGTGTGTAGGGTCAAGAGTGCCAGCTGAGCCTTTCTCGTCTCCCTGTTGGAACCAAAGATCATCACCGAAGCAAGCAGAGCCGATAGAAGCCAAGCCCACTGCTTCAAACAGTGGCGTCAGATCCACCTCCACCCATCCGCCCTCTGACCTTCCCTCTTCCTCCCCTCCCACCTCCCCCCTGCCTTTCTCCCTCACTCCTTCCTCTCTGTCTGGCTTTTCTCCTCCCTCACCCCCCCCCTCTCTCCCTCGTTTCTCGTGCTTCCCCCCCTTCGTTTGTGTCACGTCCCATAGGGGCAGCAGCAGCATGTGGTGCACAGATCGGTGCATGCCATGGTAGAAGGAGTGGAGATGGGTGGAGCGATGGAACATGGGAGTCAGGGCGCTCCTCAACCCCGCCCAGTGGTTGCCGCTGGAAGGAAGGGGGTGGGTAAGGGAGAGTGAAACAGCAGTAGCAGCAGCAGCATGTGGTGCACGCATCAGTGAAGGGAGGAAAGAGCGATGGAACATGGGAGCCAGGGCGCTCCTCAACCCCGCCCAGTGGTTGCCGCTGGAAGGAAGGGGAGGGAGGGGCAGGGGGGAGGTTAGAGAAGGAAAGTGGAGCAGCAGCAGCAGTGGCGGCAGCAGCAGCAGTGGCGGCAGCAGCAGCAGCGGCGGCAGCAGCAGCAGCGGCGGCAGCAGCAGCAGTGGCGGCAGCAGCAGCAGTGGCGGCAGCAGCAGCAGTGGCGGCAGCAGCAGCGGCGGCGGCAGCAGCAGCAGTGGCGGCAGCAGCAGCAGTGGCGGCAGCAGAAGCAGTGGCGGCATCAGTGGCGGCAGCAGAAGCAGTGGCGGCAGCAGAAGCAGTGGCGGCAGCAGAAGCAGTGGCGGCAGCAGAAGCAGTGGCGGCAGCAGAAGCAGTGGCGGCAGCAGCAGCAGTGGCAGCAGCAGCAGTGGCGGCAGCAGCAGCAGTGGCGGCAGCAGCAGCAGTGGCGGCAGCAGAAGCAGCGGCGGCAGCAGCAGCAGCGGCGGCAGCAGCAGCAGTGGCGGCAGCAGCAGCAGTGGCGGCAGCAGCAGCAGCGGCGGCAGCAGCAGCAACGGCGGCAGCAGCAGCAGTGGCGGCAGCAGCAGCAGTGGCGGCAGCAGCAGCAGTGGCGGCAGCAGCAGCGGCGGCGGCAGCAGCAGCAGTGGCGGCAGCAGCAGCAGTGGCGGCAGCAGAAGCAGTGGCGGCATCAGTGGCGGCAGCAGAAGCAGTGGCGGCAGCAGAAGCAGTGGCGGCAGCAGAAGCAGTGGCGGCAGCAGAAGCAGTGGCGGCAGCAGAAGCAGTGGCGGCAGCAGCAGCAGTGGCAGCAGCAGCAGTGGCGGCAGCAGCAGCAGTGGCGGCAGCAGCAGCAGTGGCGGCAGCAGCAGCAGTGGCGGCAGCAGAAGCAGTGGCGGCATCAGTGGCGGCAGCAGAAGCAGTGGCGGCAGCAGAAGCAGTGGCGGCAGCAGAAGCAGTGGCGGCAGCAGAAGCAGTGGCGGCAGCAGAAGCAGTGGCGGCAGCAGCAGCAGTGGCGGCAGCAGCAGCAGCAGTGGCGGCATCAGTGGCGGCAGCAGAAGCAGTGGCGGCATCAGTGGCGGCAGCAGAAGCAGTGGCGGCAGCAGTGGCGGCAGCAGCAGCAGCGGCGGGAGCAGCAGCAGAAGCAGCAGTGGCAGCAGCACAGATTGGTGCTTGCCAGGGAGGAAAGAGCCGAGATGGGTGGAGCGATGGAGCACGGGAGTCACGGCGCTTCTCAGTCCTGCCCAGTGATTGCTGCTGGAAGGAAGGGGGGAAGAGAGAGAGAGCACCAACAGCAACAGCAGCAGCAGCAGCAGCAGCAGCAGGGACACTCACCGTGCAAACAACAGCCCATGGTTAGTGGTGGGGCTGGCAGTGGGTGGGGAGGCAAGCGACAGTAATGGAAGATCATGGTTCTAGTGCGAGCGTGGGACACTCACCGTGCAAACAAGAGCCCTCTGTCGGTTGTAGGGCTGGCAGTGGGGGGCACAGGGCGGTCGTGGAAGGTCTTGAATCGGCGCAGAAGCACCTCCCTCACGAGCGCAGGGGAGGACACCGCCACCACTCGGCGAGGGCCGTACAAGTAGCTGATGGAGAGGGGGGAGTGGGGGGTGGGGGTTGGGGGGGGAGGGGGGGATAGGGGAGATGGGAATGATGACTTTTGAGTCGACTCAAAAGTCACCTACGGGGGGGAGGGGGGGATAGGGGAGATGGGAATGATGACTTTTGAGTCGACTCAAAAGTCACCTACGGGGGGGAGGGGGGGATAGGGGAGATGGGAATGATGACAGGTGCTGATTGGGGGAGAAACGCCTTCTTAACGAGCGCAGGGGAGGACGCTGCCACCACGGGGGGGGTGAATTGTGGAAGGGCAAAAGGGTCACAAGTCACCGCTACTTCAGTAGAGCAGGGGGGGATACTGTTGGTTGTTTTTGAGAATTCTAAAAAACACCCAGCGAATTCTAAAAAAACCCTGCGAATTCTCAAAAACACCCTACTTCAGTAGAGCAGGGAGGGATACAGGCTACGTAGACATAGTCCATGGAACCAGGGAGGGGGGGAGAGGGGAGGGGGAGTAGTTTCAACGACAAGACAGGAGAAGCAAGCACACTCACGAGTAAAGGTGCCCATGAGCGGCCATCCAGTCCACGTGGCACTGATAATGGCCCTTGCTCACTATCTCCTTAATATTCCCCACCACCCCTGCCGCTTTAATCCACCACGGAACTGAGGGCCCTCCCATCTCCCACACTCCTTTCACTCTCTCCTCCTTTCTCCTTTCCCTCTCCTCCCTGCCTCCCCTTCCCTCAATTCCCTCTTCCTCTTCTCCTCCCCTTCCCTCGTCTCCTCTCGCTCCTCCCTTCCCCTCACCGCCGCCGCTTCCGCCTTCCACGTTTCCCTTTCCGCCTCTTCTCTCCCCCCCTCCGCCTTTTTCTCCCCCTTCCCCTCCCATTTTTCCGCGATCGGTTCTGCCAGTGCCTCGCCCCGGAAATCCCGCCGTTAATCGCGGTGTGAGCGACAGCAGGTGGAGAATAAGGAGGACGAAGAGGGCGAGGAGAATCACGGCGACGACGGCCAGCGCTGCGACGGCAGGCGACGGCACTGGCGACGTCGCACGGTTCGTCGTCGCCGTCGCGCGGACGATCACAGAGGCGGTTTTCGCGAGAGCGACGGCGACGGCGAACGCTGCGACGCCGATAGGAAACGCGGAGGCAGAGAACGACGATCGAGAGATGGGGGAGAAACGCGAACTGCTGCTATTAATTTTCGGTAACTTTTCAATATTTCCAACGTTTTCAACTAAATCAGGAGCAGATTTTAGAGAGGACAGCGTGTCGCCGTCAACGGGTGTCCTATCAATGCAAGTACTTCTCTCGCTGCTAGCAGCGTCATTTGCAGCAGAAGAAACGGCTCGCCTAGCTGGCTTGGTGACGTTCCTTAAACTCGTGGGCGATTCGGAAGCCATGAACCTCGAGGAGGTAAGGGATATCGGCAATACCGGAGAGTGGTAAGGAAGTAACTAGACGCTGGGAGTATGTAGGCAGCTCGAAACGCGGTGAGATTCGTGACTAATTGAAACCGAGCCATGCGTAAAATAGTTTCGCATGTCATTCCAAATGCGCGATGCTGGCATTCTGGCCTGAGTGCTTCGCTCGTTTGTTCTCGGCCCAATCTGTACGATGCAGTGCGTTCCGCTGCTGATTCTGCAGATTATAGAGTGATACAGTGCGGTGATTATGCTGGAGCGGCGCAGTTTGTAGCGGGAACGGAAATCGTTTGTCTATTGCTCTCGTGTTGCTATACAGTGCCTGGTAGCGCTTACAATGAAGTACAATCTTTGTGCCCTAATACACATCTATACTAATAACCAAGAAAATCGTTGAACCATTATTATAGGTACAACATACTGGTATAACATAACCTACATACCATCTCACACTCACGTTGATGCTCCTACAAGGAATATACCATTCTCACTCATTCGCTTATCAACAACCTCCCCCATAACACTTGTGTCTACAACTCCAGTTTCCATGACCATGCTAGTAGCCTCAGGCCCGTCTAATAATTTCTTATAAGCCTGGACCGATCGATCGGCTTCGACAGGAGGGCCAGGCTCACCACCCTTGAGCCAGCATTCGTGCGCACGTGTGGTAACCACAAGGTTACACCGTGGATCATTTTTGCATTGCTCCATACAGGCCAAAGGGTGAAGTGGGTATTGATAAGATAGGTTGGAGGCAGATGGGAAGTCAATAGCAGGAGGGGCGGGTGCAAAGCCGTGGCCTGGATTGGGTGGGGGATGCAGTGGAATGTGAGAGATGAGAGTGATGGAAGGAATGGGAGAGATGAGAGATGGATCATAGGAGAAACAGATGTAGGAATTTACAAATAAGCGCAGTGTGGCAACATGACATTCCTTACCAAGAGGAAAATTTATATGAAAACTATTTAAAAGCACTTACCATGAGGGTCAACACAGACCGTTGTCTTCTTTTCCACGTCCACTTGGCACACGAACGACCCGCACCCGCCGTTATTCAACGTGCACGTCTCCGACTCCCTCGCCAGCTCGTCCCAATACCCCAAACTCGTCTCGATATACTCCCTTTCGCTCGTACTATACACTCCCGGATCCACCACTACAGTCACATTCGGCTCCACGTAGCCCTCCGGAATCCACATCTTATCCTTCTGCCGGCTGGCGTAATACGATTGGACCGCCTTGCTGACGCACTCGCCAGCCTGGCAGTGCCCAGTGTAGGAATTCCCCCCCCAGTCGAAATCGGCGCAGGACGACCCATCTTTTTTCTGCCCGAGGTTCATGCACCTTCCCGCGACGCATGTGGGGGCAATGATGCAGGGAGTGGCCCGGGTGGTCACGCACTTGACACAGGCGTCTGGGGGAGGGGGAAGGGTAAGGGGAGGGGGGAGGGAGGGGGGAGGAGGGGGCAGGGAGGGGGCGGGAAGGGGAGGGGATTAGAAGAGGGGGAGGAGATAAGAAGAGGGGGAGGAGATTAGAAGAGGGGGATGACGCATGTGAAGGCAAATGACGCAGGGAGTGGCCTGGGTGGGTGGGTAATAGTAGCCAAGGGGTCGATACCAGCGCTCTTACTGTCCCTTACTCCTCCCGTTCTACCCAGCCCTCACCATTTCGGCACATGGGGTGGCCGAACTGACCGACACGACCATATTGAGCGCTCCTGGTAGGTCGTATTTAGTCCAGTCCTGAAGATCGCCCTCCACAGTCACCACCGTGTGTCCCGCCACCCCAACATCCAAAGCTCCCACCGTGTTTCTCCCTTATGTATTTTGAGTCAACTCAAAACTCACCATCGTGTCTCCCCCCACCTTACATCCAATGCTCCCACCGTGTTTCCCCCCACCTTACATCCAATGCTCCCACCGTGTTTCCCCCCACCTTACATCCAATGCTCCCACCGTGTCTCCCCCCACCTTACATCCAATGCTCCCACCGTGTTTCCCCCCACCTTACATCCAATGCTCCCACCGTGTTTCCCCCCACCTTACATCCAATGCTCCCACCGTGTTTCCCCCCACCTTACATCCAATGCTCCCACCGTGTTTCCCCCTACCTTTTTCCCCTCCCTGTTTCCCCCCTCCCCCTTTTCACATATCCCCTTCGCTCACCATTCCGGCACATGGGTTGTCCAAAAGGATACCACCATGTTGAGCACTCCTGAAGATTTGTATCTGGGCAAGTCATCCACATTCACCACCATGTCTCCCCCCACCTTACACCCAATGCTCCCACCGTGTTTCCCCCTCCCCCTTCCTCTTCCCCCCCCCCCCCCTCCCCCTTTTTCACATTTTCCCTTCGCTCACCATCCCGGCACATGGGATGGCCGAAGGATACCACCATGTTGAGCACTCCTGAAGATTTGTATCTGGACAAGTCATCCACATTCACCACCATGTTGAGCACGCCCGAGGGGTCGTATTTTGCCAAGACTTCCACACTCACCACCGTGTCTAGCAGCCGAACTGTTGATACCAGCACTCTTGCTTTCCCCTTCGCCATTCCCCCAGTCTTCTCCTCCCCCCCTCCCCCCTTACCATTCCGGCACATGGGGTGGCCGAAGGATACCACCATGTTGAGCACGCCCGAGGGGTCGTATTTTGCCAAGTCCTCCACATTCACCACCGTGTCGAGTAGCCGGACAGCCGACACCAGCGCTCGTGCGGCTTTCCGAATGGGCTGGCTCATGACTGAGTGGGAGGCGCGGAAGGAGGCGAAGGCGGCTTGCTTGTCCTGGTAAACGAAAGGTGCAAGGAGGCGGAAAGGAAGGGACAAGGGAGGCATGGGTGGGGACGGAGAGCCACATGAGTCCGAGGTGGCTTTTGAGTGGACTCAAAAGTTGCCTTGGCATGTGCGGGGACGAGAGTCACATGAGCCCTGCTCTCGTTAACAGCCTTTTTCGAATGTAGCGAGGAAGGTAGCCGCCGTGCTCCTAAACATGTGCTTTCATTCACCTCAGGAGTGTGAGCCGCTTACCTTGGCATGGGTGGGGACGAGAGTCACATGTGTCCGGCTCTCGTTCCTGACCGGCTCGCCGAATGCAGCGAGGAAGGTAGCACCCATGCTCCTAGACTCCATAGTGTCTGCCTCGATAGCCGCAAAGTCCTTTCTCTTCCTGTACTTGGACGGCTTAACCCGCCTGTAGAGCTGTTTGATAAAAAATGACAAAGAGGATATGGTTAGTGCTGCTGGATGTTTAACCCTAACATTGGCCAACCAAACCATGTTGCAACATCATGCATAGTAATCCATGCCATGACATGCCATGCCATGCCATGACATGCCATGCCATGCCATGCCATGCCATGCCATGCCATGCCATGCCATCCCATCCCATCCTCACCTTAGCAGAAATAGCAGACAAAGAACCATCCTTTAGACCTAATATCCTTTATATCTCATAGATCCAGGTTCCCATACAAACAAGTGCCCAGGCTGTCCCCCCTCACCTTAGCAGCGAAGGCGCCCAGCTTCATGGCCATATCAAAGAAGGGGCCGGTTCCGGGCAGATAGACCTGATAAGGGAGAAGAAGAGAGCGGGGGGGGGGGGTGGGAGGGAGGGGGATGGGGAGGGGGAGGGAGGGGGAGGGAGGGGGAGAAGGGGGAGAAGGGGGAGAAGGGGGAGAAGGGGGAGCAGGGGGAGAAGGGGGAGAAGGGGGAGAAGGGGGAGAAGGGGGAGAAGGGGGAGAAGGGGGAGAAGGTGGAGAAGAGGGAGAAGGGGGAGAAGGGGGAGAAGGGGGAGAAGGGGGAGAAAGGGGAGAAGGGGGAGAAGGGGGACAAGGGGGAGAAGGGGGAGAAGGGGGAGAAGGGGGAGAAGGGGGAGAAGGGGAGGGATACATCATGAGCAATTCGTGTTCAAGACAAGGCGCCAGGCTTCATTGCCACGTCAAAGGAGGGGCCCTGTTCCTGGCAGATAAAGCTGACGGAGTAGGGGCGGGGAATGGGGCGAGGAGGGGGAAGGGAGTCGTCTATTTTTGAGGCGCCTCAAAAGCTGATGGAGCAGGGGCGGGGAATGGGGCGACGAGGGGGAAGGCAGGGGGGGACCGGGGGGGAGGTGGGGAGTGGGGGGATGAGCAAATCGTGCTTGAGAGAGCCCCAAAACTCAGAGCAAACACAAAGCTTCATTGAAATCTCAGCGAAGGGGCCGGTTCCCGGCAAAAGAAAGAAAGAAGAAGAAGAAAACGAAAGCAGACAGACGAAGAAGAAGAGAGAAGAAGCAGGCGGCCACAGTCAACTGTCGTGTTTTGAAAAAAAAAACAAACAAAAAACTCAACGCCCTGGCCTGTCTGTGGGTCATCAAGATTCAAGACGCACATGGGGTAGTTAGTCTGTCTGTCTGTCTGGAGCGCAACTGAAACCCCATGATGCCACAAACCGTGACATGCACTCAAGTAGAAGAAGCTGACTGCCACGGCTTGTCTGTAGGTCGTCTTGACGCACATGGGGTAGTCGGGCGCGCACCCGTGCCCGGAGGTCAACCCGGTCAATCCGGTCAACCCGGTCAACCCATAGAATCTGTGAGCGTCTCAACACGCCCATGATAGACGCAAAACACACACCTTGAAGAAAAAGAAGCTGAACGCCCCGGCTTGTCTGTAGGTTGTCTTCACGCACATGGGGTAGTCGGGCGCGCATCCATATCCGCAGTCCACCCAGCTCGGCCCGTACAGCGAGCACCGCCGGGCGCACACCTGGGGAGAGAGAAACGGGAGCGAGTTAAACGGGAGGGAGAGTGGGTAAGGAAGAGTACGATAAGCCCGAATACCAACCCTAAATCCTTCCACACCCGCGGTCCACCCAGCTCGGCCCGTACAGCGAGCACCGCCGGGCGCACACCTGGGGAGAAAAGAGGGGAAAGGGGAAGGGGAAATGCAAGGGAAATGGGAGATTCAGGGGATAAGGAAGGGTAGAAAAACCCTGAATACCGACCTGAAACCCTGAATACCGACCTGAAATCCTGAATACCGAGCGCTTACCCATACTAGGTAGTACCCACAGCCCACCCACCTAGGCCCGTACAGCGAGAGTAAATCCCGACGCCTCCTACCGGTCCTTTGCCCTTGTATCCACAGTCTACCCAGCTAGGCCCGCACAGCGAGAGTAAAGGAGGGCGCGTACCGGTCCTTTGCCCTTGTATCCCGCCTATTTTGGAGGCGCCTAAAAAATACACAGTCCACCCAACTAGGCGCGTACAGCGAGAGTAAAGGAGGGCGCCTACCGGTCCTTTGCCCTTGTATCCCGCCACGCAGTGGTCGAAAGCGTCTCAACACCACGTCCTTTTAACCACACGGCATACCTTGAAATGGCGAGAGTCAAGGAGGGCGCCTACCGGTCCTTTGCCCTTGTATCCCGCGTCGCATCGGTCGTAGCACGCCCCGGCGCTTTTCACGGTCCCGCTGGGGCACCGCCGCCGATTGCGACCCGCGTTTATTGCTGCCAAAGCCGCCGGCTGACGCGTGTACATGTCCCGGTAACAGAAGATGTACGAACTCTTGCGCTTTCGCTGTTTTCGCTTTCGCCACAGCAAAAGCTCGCGCCTTCGGGCCGTCGCTGACGTCGCATTGTTCGTCGCACTACTCGTCGCACTACTCGTCGCGCTGCTCGTCGCATTGCTCGTCGCCAATGTCGCGTGTGTCGTCGCTAACGCGAGAGATAAGCTTTCAATTCCTGTGGTAGCGCTAGCCGCGTTCATGGTAGCTGTGGTAGATGCCGAAAAAAATCGTAGCTGCTTCGTTGCCTCTCCGGTCGACTCTCCGTGTGTAATGAGTCGATTTTTGAGTCGACTCAATAATTGTAGCTGCTTCCTTGCCTCTCCGGTCGACTCGAGACCCGCCTGTCGTAACTCCTCAATAAACATTTCCACCTTTCTTGACCCGCCGGTCGACTCATAATGGCTTGCCAACATTTCCGCGCGGCGGTCCTCAGTAACATCTTCGCGAACGAAATTGCTGGCGTGCTTGCTTGTAACAACGCCCTTGTCACCGCCAGGCGGGGAAGAGGAAACCGCGTGACAGGCGGGGAGGGTATGTGACAGCAGCAGCCCCGCAGTTAGGGCTAGAAAAACTGAAGGGACGGGGGAAAATGGAGCAGGCATGAGTGCCGAGCGGCGATGGCCGTCTGGGAAAGGTCGGAAACGTCGAGGGGAAGATGTGCGTGGGCCTTGTGGTGCTAGTGAGGGACTGCTTTTGAGTAGACTCAAAGGAAGGAGCGCTACTTGCAACTGCTGTAGAGAGAAAACGGCGGAAAAACGTTCTCCTGAGCGAGCGCCTGTGAGGAGACGAGGTAGTGGCAAACCCATATGGAGTAAACTAAGCGTTCCTACGAGAATTACGCTCTTTCGTGATGAACAAGGAAGCCCAGTAGTTCTACTCGAAATCTAGGGGAATTACGCTCAACTGCTACCACGCTACTCTCGCTCGTAGTGATCCGTTAAGAAAACAAACGTGCTGGATTCCCGCTGTCGAAGCCCATTCGATACGGCGAGCATTTCAGCAGCGGATGACGATGCCCTACTGTACAGCACATTTATTCGGCTTCAACTGCCGAATGCCGACAGTGCACCAGGAGGTACTGCCCATGATTACGGCAGATTTAAACCTCCACCGAAACGCGTAGTGGACGTGTAAAGAGATTCTAGCCAAATACGGAAAGACCAGAGTCCGCCAGCCAGATTAGGAGGCGGGTAGGTACCGCGTTTCTCGGGAAGGTGTCTTCTGGAGATGGCTTGACTGAACAGGTAGGTTAGGAAGTGGGTGTATCTGGAGGGTGTTTCTGGTCAGAAGCTAGCTTAGCGACCTGAAGGCACCATGCTTGTTTGTGAAAAGCGGGAGGGAGAGAATGAGGGAGAGTGAGGGGCGAAATTTCTGTGCCAGGAGGAATCGTGAAATTGTGATTGATTTTACGCGACGCGACCATCCTTGCAGGCGACCCGCGTCGCGTTCTTTGGCGAGCGAGGACGACGTGCTCGGAAAATGGGCCAGTGATGACATGTCGTCCTGTGGGTGGCGGAGCTGGAGACTGCGTGGGCACCGACCATGCCACAATTGAGAAACTAGCGCACACCACGCCGTGTGTCGCGGATTCCGACACAGACGGCTCGGATATAAGAACATTGGGTTCACAAAACTTTCCTATAATACTACAAACTACAATAAGCTATATGCATGTGTGCATGAAGCATCTTACCTACTTGAAAACAAGCTTAGTGCTTTGCACGCGTTCTAGTGTTTTTTCGTGGCTTGATGAAATTCTGATGGCAACTGACTCGCTTTCCTCAGCAACAGCGGCTTACCAGAGCAGAATCACTCATTTCCCCAGGCGTGCATGACCTCCTCGACCAAACCATGACGAAGGCATGACCGCTGTCGGTATAGAGCTTCCTATCTTGGTCTTGGAGTCTGACCACTCTCCAAGCAGCGCAGCTGGAGACTCCCTGAGAAACGAAAGCATACAGTAATATAAATGCAACATGCTTGAAATAACATGTTACGAAGACAGCTTAGCATGACTGGAAAAGGAAAGATGTGCATCAAGCTGCTGGGAACTTACATTGGCTCGTCTTGAGATTCCATAGGCCATCCTGGGGACTCGGGCTCAGTGTAGTTCGGTCCAGCTGTGTCCCCCTTTCCTTCGTTAGTCACTCCTCCCGCTTCAGTCACATCTGCATGTGCCACGTTGAGCCCCAACTTGGCATCCCCCGGCCGCCTTTCTCCCTGCTGCGTAACAGCCATATGTGCCTGACTGTCAGGGGAAGGCCCTAACTGCTGCTGCTGTGTGTACTGTTGCTGCCACTCTCGTTGCTGGTGCTGCTGCTGGTACTGCGGCTGCTGTGGAAACTGTTGCTGCCACTGTTGTTGCTGCTGTTGCTTCTGCTGCTGGCTGGCGGGATTCAAGTGGAAAGACCCTGCAGGTGACACTTCCTGCAGCCCCTTGGGAGTATCCCCGCCACCAAGCAGACCTCTACTATCCCCATCATACTCAGCATCGTTACCACCACTGCCCACACCAGAAATGACAAGGAATGGGTTCGTGGCAAGAAGCTTCTGAGCCATGGAACTAGCCTGCTTCTGCCCAGACACCCTTGAACCGGCCCATGTGTCTGTGGTGCCTTTTGGCCTCTGTTCCACCTTCTTCGGTTGCTGCTGCTGCTCCAAGTCCTGCCAGAGTCCCTCCTGCCCCAGCCACTTTGGCTGCTCTTGAACCGTAGCTGTTGATTCTTTATAAACCGACCCACTGCCGGCAAACAAGGGCTCACTTTCTCTCAATGCAGCAGAGCTGTTGCCAGCTGTGCCTGGTGCAAGAAAAGGATTGACATGGTGTTGTGGCTGCGTCTGTGTTTGTTGCTGTTCTTGCTGTTTTCGCTGCTGCTGCTCCTGCTGCTGCTGCTGTGATACCATGGGAACCCCAGGGGGCGCAAAGGGGTTAATGCTGTTACTTAAGGGTTGCTCGGACAACCCATTGGTCAAAAAGGGATTGGGGAATCCCGGTCCAGGCATGGGATTGGGAAGAGTGGAAGGAGCCGCGGAAACCATAGGCGCCAAAGCAGGAGCAGAAACAGAAGCCGAAACAGAGGCAGATGCAGAGGCAGACATGGCAGGGGAAGGAGGTAGCGCACTTGACTCAAACGCGTCGAAATGGGCCCAGTTGCTATTGCTTGTCGTAACAGATGCGGTAGTCGGTGCAGCAGCAGCAGAAGCAGGTGCAGTAGCCACATGTGACGCGAGTCCAACAATTGGAGGTACAGCGAAAGAAGCACTTGTCGTTCCAGTGCCAGTGCGAGTGCCAGAGCCAGTGCCAGTGCCAGTGCCAGTGCCAGTGCCAGTGCCAGTGCCAGTGCCAGTGCCAGTGCCAGTGCCAGTGCCAGTACCAAAACCTGATGCACTTGCTGCTGCTGCCGCCGCCTTGGCTGCTGCTGCTTTGGCTGCTGCATATTCTGCTGCTTTAACTGCTGCGAACTCTGCTGCTTTGGCTGCTGCTGCCGCCGCTGCTTCGGCTGCAGCTGTCGCTGCTGCTGCTGCTGCCCCAGCACCCTCAAGGCTGCTCTCATGCGCCCAGGTCACATTCCCACCTGAAGCTCCACTGACACTTGAATACCCACCTGAACCTGAGGGCCTGCCACCTGCAAATTCCCCTGGCTCCTGAGCCAACCCAAAGGCCCCAAACGCCCCTCCTGGCTGTTCGTTATGTGCCTGATGATCGTCATGTGCCTGGTCGTCTTGCGCCCTCTCCTCTTGTGCACTGGCGCGCATGGCTTCTCTAAACGACCCGTCGATGGTGTGGCAACGACCAAAGGACGCAAGGAGCATGGCATCCCAATCTTCACCGCCTGACATCCCTTCTGCTCCTGCTGCTCCTGCCACTCCTCCTCCTCCTCCTCCTCCTCCTCCTCCTCCTCCTCCTCCTCCTCCTCCTCCTCCTCCTCCTCCTCCTCCTCCTCCTCCTCCTCCTCCTCCTCCTCCTCCTCCTCCTCCTCCTCCTCCTCCTCCTCCTCCTCCTCCTCCTCCTCCTCCTCCTCCTCCTCCTCCTCCTCCTCCTCCTCCTCCTCCTCCTCCTCCTCCTCCTCCTCCTCCTCCTCCTCCTCCTCCTGCTGCTGCTGCTGCTGCTGCTGCTCCTGAACCTCCTACTGCTCCTGCTATTCCTGCTCCTGTCCCTGATCCTGTCCATACTGCTGCTGCTGCTCCCCTGGCCGCGGCTGCCGCTGCAGCTGACTCCATACCACCACCTCCTCCTCCTGCTACTGCTGCTGCTGGGTCTGCCATGACGCTCAGGAACGGGTTTGTAGAAGCGGCATCCAGGTGGCTTTTGAAGGCTCCAAAAGCGGCCAAGTCGCCAGCAGGAGAGCGCAGGTCAGCGGAAGGGGCAGCAGCAGCAGCAGCAGAGGCAGTGGCAGTGGCAGCAGCAGGAGCAAAGCTTTCCCCAGGAGGAGCAATCTTCCTAGGAGCTCCAAACCCCCCTGCACCTGCCAAACCCACAGAAGCACCTGTAACCCTCCCCGTAGCTGTGCTGCTGTTACGGAACGGGGCATACGAGGCTAAGTCGCCAGCAGGCGACTGCAGCTCAGCAGGAGAGTAGAAGGAGTAGCGAGGGGTTGGGAGTTGCAGGTCCAGACCCCAAGCTGTGTGGGTAGGGCGGTCAGTTGAAGTGCTTGCTTCCTGAGACGTCTGAAAAGGGTCTTCCTTTGTGGTGCTTGCAGGGGTGTCGGCGGTAGAGATGGGCGTGGGGATAGGAGTGGGAGTGGGTAAGGGTGTGGGCTCATAGGTGGACGATGTTGCTGCGGCGTTGATAGGTGGAAGGCCAGCGTGCGCTCCCAGCTGATACGGGAGAAGGGAAATGGCGGGAAGAAGTGTTCTAATTATGACGAAAGGACCAGGCGGAGAGGGAGAGAACGCTAAGTCTGAGTTTGAGGCGCCTCAAAAATAGACTCCTCACGCTGGAATAAAGGAAAGCAAGCAGACCAGGCCGGATTACCTATGACTTACAGAAAGCAGAAAGAAAGACGAAAGATGAGAAAGGTGGAGGAGGAGTATAGGCCAAAGACATGATAGGGCTTACTCTCCCCCAGTTATTTATCCCACTACCACCACCCCTGACCACTCTGCTCTGCACTGCACCTCTCTCCACCACTCTTCACCGCTCACCTTGAGCTTGGCATAAGACGATCGAGGCATGAAGGAGAGAAGCTTCCTGGGAACTGCGCTCACACTCAGTATCGCACTCCCCCCTCCCAGCAGTCCCCCTCCCCCTCTTCCCCCACTTCCACTTCCACGCCCTGCTGCTCTCCCTCCACGCCCCTCCCCCCTTTCCCTATCCCCCTCATGATCCCCCTCATTATCCCCCCCATCATCCTCCCCTCCGTGAGCTGCCTTCCCCAAGGGTACCCTCCCCCTCACACCGTCAACTGCTCCGTGTCTCTCTGCTTCCTCCTCCTCCTGCTTCTGCTTCTGTAGACCATCCTTCTCCTCTTCTCCATCTCCGGTGCTTCCCAGACTGGTCTGCTCCTCCTGCCCGAGTGTCGCAGCATGAGCACTAGAACTGCCCGAGAAATCCTGAGGCGGCGCCCCCGCCACCCCATGCGCGGTTGGCGGGTCAGCATCAGCACCATCATGAGAGGTTTGAGAGGGTTCGAAGTCTTCAGGAGGGCCGAAGGGGATTGGCTGGTGAGCGTCAGACTTAGGCGCTGGAACGTACAGGTGGGGAGAGGGGCAAAGGGGAGGGGATGGGGGGGTATGGTAGAGAGAGATAGGGGAATGGGCACCTGAAGGAGACTGACAGATGCGACATTGCAGAGAAAAAGCCTGATGTAAATGTTGAATTGCCTTTTATTAATTGCCAGAGAAGTGATGTTAATTTGCCAGACATGTAATGCTGAATAGCCAGATACGTCTGCTGAATTGCCAGTTGTGTGTCTTGACATGTGATACAGGAGTGTCTCATATGTGCGAAACAGCCTCACCTGCATGATTTTCATGCCAAGTGCACTCTCACCTGCAACGCTGGACGACCTCCTGATGAACCCCCACAGTGTCTCCCTCTGCCATACAGGAAACACGCCATACAAGGCACAGTCCGTGCAAGACACAGCAGCACGGGGAAAGAATGCGAAGATTCCAAGTTTATGAGAACGAGATAGGAGGGGCGAGAGCTGTTGAGGAGGGTGACGATGGGTGACGATGGGTGACGATGGGTAACGATGGTGAAGATGGTTCCTTGGGTGGCGGAGAAGTTTCTGAGAAAAAGCATGAGCTCAGAAGCGCAAGAATGTGGCATGAAAAGACGAGCCCTGGCAGTAGCAAACCCAATCTCACCCTGCAACCCCCCCACACGTCAAGGAAGGCCTCTGTCGTACCTTTCGTGGAGCAGGCTGGGACTCGGCTTCGGATTCATCTCTCCCCTCTGCTGCTCCATCCGCCGAAGCTAGCCCCGAACCTGATGCCGAGCCTGACGCGCCTGACGCGCTACCAGCACTCCCCGGTCCCTTCCCTTCACCCTCACCAGTAACCTCTGTCTTCCGTCTCTCCGCATCCGTGCTCCGCCTACGCCCTGCAAGGACCGCTTCCTCCTGACCCTCAACGAATTCTCCCTCCTCTTCCCCCTCTTTTTCCTCGTCCCCCTCGTCCTCCTCATCCTCCTCTTGCTTCTCTTGCTTCTCTCGCTCGCTCTTCCCTCCCAGAGCCCCACCCGTGCTCTTGCTCTTGAAGATTTTCCCGTCGGACGAGGCTTTCTGGGACTTGGTGAACGAGTCTCTTTTAAAGACACCGAGCAGACCCCCCATGAGGTTCGATCTACCGCTGGATCTGCCGCTCTTGGCCTTCTTGCCTTCTTCAGGGCTCTCAATCCCCTCCTCGCTGCTCCTCGCTTTGATTCCAGGCAGTCTGGCAGTGTCGCTCACCTCCGGCGATCCTAAAACAGCCTCAGACTCAGACTCTCGTGGAAAATCTCCCATCGTGTTTACATCTGCTGCTGGTTCTGCGTCTACTGGCGCTGCTTCCGCTGCTGGTTCTGCTGGTGCTGCTGCCGCTGCATTTGGTGCGAAAGCGTCCTCTTCTGACCTAGACACAGCGTTCCCACGCATTTCAGCCGAATCTCCTGTCACAATCGCCTCGTCCTCCTCTGCCTCTTTCTCTTCTTCGTCCGCTTCCTCTTCCTCCTCCATATCATCTCCCATCCGGCCAAACCCTCGCATCGGTCGACCGGACCGCCTCTGGCGAATACGCGTCGAATCTTGCGCGGGCGAAGCGCTGGAGCTGCCGCGAGGACGGGAGAACCACCCGGATTTGGTTTCCGCGGGTGCTGCTGATGATGTGGGAACCTCGGGATCATCGCTGAGGCCGGGAGTGCTGCTCGTGCTGCTGCGGAGACCTGTCACGGACCACATCGTTGAAAACTTTTAAGCTCCGCGGCTTCTCTAGAAGGCTTTATTATTAAATCCTTCACTGAATGCTTATTTACTGAGGTAGCAGCATTGCTCAAGCCTAGGGATTTTTAGATAAAGTTGCCGAACTGTCTTGTAAGAGTAATGCTTATGGTGCAGAGTCCAGAAACAAGCGGGATGTATTGCTAAGGAGAGCTGGACTATGCTTAACCGCGAAGCGCCGGATTGTGGCGAACCAGCAGACAGCACAGCACACGATTTCCAGCTTGATGTAGGTCCATCAATGGCTTCGCCTTTCCTCGCCTTGAAGTTGGTATTCTTGATGCTAGATTTCCAGACATGTTCCCAAATTCCCGAACTACCAAGTATTTTCTATATGTTCCCTAGGTGTTTCTCCCAGAGATTGCCGCTTCTGAACCGAATCATTTGACGGGACTGGCTGGCTGGATGTGACAGAAAAAGTGACTGGTCTAGTCAGTGCGTTGTCATCGAGCCTGATCAGGGATTGGCTGCGAAGTCGGAATTTCGGCAGAGTCAGTTATTTACGGGCAGCTTGAGCTACCCCCGAGATGTTGACCACACCTGCCTGGTGGTGTTGCTGGGCAGAATTGGATCAATCACTTTCACCAAGTAGGAACAGCGAATCAACTCCCCACAGATCAGTGTAACGCCTTGATCTGCAGGATGTTGGCAGCATCGTGCACCAATCAGCGAGCTAGCGTCAGCAACATAATTTTCTGTTCGCCTTGGTGAAAACAGCTGGTGTGGTGCGAAACCTCGTTTGCAAAATTTCGATAAGAACGTAGAATGTCTCCGCTGTTGTCCATTCGTCATAAAACAAATACATTTTATTACCCACTAAATTGTCTGGCCAGGGTCAACAGAACAACCATACTTGGGCTTGCCGAGGCATGGATCTATGATAATGTTCTGCTGACAAAGCCAGGCGACAGTGTCAGCAGCAGTATCTTATGTCTTACTGAAGCCGTGTCGCCTTGGATTCTGTCAGCATCTGTTTCGACGCAACTTGCAGTGGACGTTTCTAAGTGCTAGTCATTCGGTGAGTCTTCGTCGGCATGATTTAGACCGCAATACCTCCGACGTTATTTTCGTTAGTTAGGCCCCTTGTTGCACACAATCGCTAGAATTCGTCTATGTGATCGTTTTTAATCGTTATTTAAACTTCTTTGGAGAGACGTTTCCAGCTTATCGCATGCCATCGCTCGGAGTGCCTGATCAGGTATAAATTAAAAATTTGATCTAGAGGTCTAAGAACTGACACGCATTCTCAATATCCTTCTCAGCCATGCAGCCGCACGCGGCGCCTAACATGGACGCCTTCGAGCACTATTTCCAAGCAGCTGAGTTCTGTTTTTGAGAATTCTACAAAATAAAACATTTACTCTGATCATCCTTCTTCGTTCCTTCGCGTCACGCAGGAGCCATGCAGCCGCACGCGGCGCCTAACATGGACGCCTTCGAGCACTACTTCCAAGCGGCTGATGCGGACAGGGACGGTCGGGTCAGCGGCGCCGAAGCCGTCGCCTTCTTCCAGGGATGCGGCCTCCCCCAGATGACCCTCGCCAAGGCATGGCTCACCCATCAGCCCTTAGCCAGCACCCCTCTTTCCAGCAACCCCTTCATTCAATCGAAAAACTTCGTTTGGTTGATTAATTAGATCGCAAGGATCCTTTTGACGAATCCTGATCAGGGATCCGATGTCTTTCAATGTATGATTATTCTGCAAATCGCTCCAGACCTTTTGCATGCTTGGATTGCCTCCTGGGTTACTCTTTTGTCCTCTCGGAAAGACATCGTCACATTTTTTCAGAGTACATTCGGCATGTTCCTTACAGCTCCTTATACGGTTGCTCTTCTTCTTTCCCATTGTGGTCCTGCGGCTAATGAAGTGACCATAATCCCGTTTTTTTTTTTTTTTTTTTTTTTTTTCCCCTGATTGTTAGCTTCCTCCCTTCCCCTCAACAGGTCTGGCAATTTGCTGATTCCCGCCAGGCGGGTTTCCTTCATCGCCCAGAGTTCGCCCACACCCTTCGCCTCATCACTGTCGCCCAATCCGGTTCTTCATCCCCCTCCTCATTTCTCCCCTCATCTCCCTTCCTTTCAAACAGGTCTGGCAATATGCGGATTCCCGCCAGGCGGGTTTCCTCCACCGCCCGGAGTTCTTCCACGCCCTTCGCCTCATCACCGTCGCCCAATCCGGCCGCGACATCAACCCAGACGTCGCCCGAGCCACCTTCTCAGGCCCGGCAGTGGCTCAGATCCCCGCTCCTAGGATCACCGTGACTCAGAGGCCCGGAGCTGCTGCCAGACCAGGGGGAGCTCCAGGTCCGGCGGGTATGGGTGGTCCTGCTCCTGGTGCCCCTGCTGCTCCTGTTGCTCCTGCTGCCCCTGCTGCTCCTGGTGGCATGGCCGCACCACAGATGCAGGTGAATTATATCATATATCTATGTTTATATTTTCCCCCCCGTTGCCAATTCATATCGATGAATGCGATTCTTTTGTTGGTTAAGGAAACGAAAAAGAAAAAGAAAAAAGGAAAAAATTGTGCTGACCGCTCTTCCCTCCCTCCCTTCCCTACCTCCCTCCCTGCGCCCACCAACCCCAGGGAGCGTATGGAAGAGGAATGCCAGTGCAAGGCGCGCCGATGCCACAAGGAATGCCTGGGATGGCGGGCATGGGCCCCATGGGGGGCATGGGGGGGATGGGGCCGGGTCCAGGAGGAGTGGGAATGGGAGGAGTGGGAGGAATGGGGCCTCGCCCAGGAATGCAGCAACCGCAGTATCAGCAGCAGTATGGGCAGGGTATGCAAGGCGGCATGCAGGGCGGCATGCAGGGTGGCATGCAGGGCGGCATGCAGGGCGGCATGCAGGGCGGCATGCAGGGTGGCATGCAAGGGGGCATGCAGAGCGGCATGCAAGGGGGCATGCAGGGCGGCATGCAGGGCGGCATGCAGGGCGGCATGCAGGGCGGCATGCAGGGTGGGATGCAGGGCGGCATGCAGGGTGGCTTGCAGGCTGGGTTTCCTGGGCCTTCGTATGGGCGCGGTCAGCCTGGCGCTCCTATGCCAGGTCAGCCTGGTGGTCCCATACCAGGTCAGCCAGGCTCGATGCCAGGTCAGCCAGGCTCGATGCCAGGTCAGCCTGGCCCAATGCCAGGTCAGCCAGGCTCGATGCCTGGACAGCTGGGTTCCACTCCTTCCTGGCAGCCTGCACCAGCCAAGCCTGCGGCGGAGAAGGACCCGTTTGCAGATTTCGGGGTACCTGGAGGCAAGAAGAGTGCCGCCCAAAGTGCCGCCCAGGGTCCCGCCCAAACGCCTGCATCACAGCAACAATTTCAGCAGCAGCAGTACGTGCAGCAGCAGCAGCAGCAGCAGCAGTACGCACAGCAGCAGCAGCAGCAGCAGCAGCAGCAGCAGCAGCAGGCGGCTGCAGCCCGGCAGACAGCACCACCTGCTGCTGGAGGGTTCCAAGCCCAGGCTCCTACTGCTGCTGCTGCTGCTGCTGGTGCAGGAGCGATGGGAGGCATGGGGGGCATGGGGGGTATGGGGGGTATGGGGGGCATGGGGGGCATGGGGGGCATGGGGGGTATGGGGGGTATGGGAGATATGGGGAGGCCGGGAACAATGGGAATGACAGGCTTGGGAGGGATGGGAGGGATGGGAGGGATGGGAGGGACGGGAGGGATGACTGCAACTGCTGCGGCTGCACCTGCTGCTGCTGCTGCTGCGGCTGCTGCTGCTTTTGGACCGTCTTCTTTCTCCGCTTCCTCTCAGCCCGGCCCCTCCCAGAGCACCTTACCTGGTGCGCCTGCCGCCTCTTCCCTGCCTAAATCCGCAGCCGCAGCCGCAGCAGCAGCACTGGATGCCTTTGGGAAGAAAGACGCACTCGTGCCTGCAGGCGCATCCTCCTCCACTGTTGCCCTCTCAGGACCAGCAGCAGCAGGGGGGGGAACAGCAACGGAAGGAGCGGCAGGGAGGGTAGCAGGGCAAGGGGCAGGAGCAGCAGGGGGGGGGCAGGCTGGGCAGGGGCAGGAGGGCGAGGGGTTTCTGATGGTGGCTGGGGACCCGCAGCCGTGGCCGCGGATGGGAGTGGTGGACGCACAGCGGTATGCAGCGGTGTTTGTGGGCGTGGATGCGGACAGAGACGGGAAGATCACTGGCAAGGAGGCCAGGAAGGTGCTCATGGCGTCCCAGGTGCCCATTGGTGAGTGCTGCTCGGTTGCTTACTGGGAGGTGTTACTCGGGCTCCCAGTGGTGAGTGAGTGTGTGTTTGAGGGATCTCAAGGGTGGGAGTGGTGGACGCACAGCGGTATGCGACGGTGTTTGTGGGCGTGGATGCGGACAGAGACGGGAAGATCACTGGCAAGGAGGCCAGGAAGGTTCTCTTGGCGTCACAGGTGACCTTTGGTGAGTGCTGAAGCCAGCATGTAGTGCCTACCAGACCAGGCCCTCCGTGTGTTCTGCACCGCCACCACATCGAACGCTCCCTCCCTTTGTTGATGCTTCAAACAAGCCCACCTCTTTCCCCCCCCCAGATATTCTAAAGCAGGTGTGGGACCTGCCAGATGAGGACAAGGACGGCAACTTGACCCTCCTTGATTTCTGCACCGCCCATTCCTTTCTTCCCCCCATGCCCTTCTCCCCCCCTAAATTCTTGAATCCCCAGACGTGCTAAAGCAGGTATGGGACCTGTCAGATGAGGACAAGGACGGTAACTTGACCCTCCGCGAGTTCTGCACCGCCTCCTACCTCATCGAGCGCTTCAAGTCGGGACGAAAGCTGCCGCCCGCGCTGCCCAAGGGGTTCCATGTGGACGAGCCGGTGCAGGACCAGCGCACGGCCATCGCTGCGATGCGATTGGCCGAGGCACAGGCGGCGCTGACTCAGCACTCGCAGGGGGTCAACGTGCCGACGTGGCAGCGCGACCCAGGTGAACTTATGGAGTTTTTTTTTTTTTTTTTTTTTTGTGCTAAAGGACATTTTTTAGGAAGGCTTTATCTTGCATAATCACCAGCCAGGTGTGCTCATCTCCGGAGCAATTAACAGTACCCTCCTCATGCTTTTCTTTGGAATTTATTCTGTTGTGTTGTCGATTTGGCAGGAGTGCTCACATCTCCCACCAAGGCTGCGGGCGCACCCAGAAAGGTACTCCTCCCATTTGCTGCCTCTCTTGAGTCAACTCTTTAGAATCTCTCTTGACTGGTTTTGCTTTCTCTCGTGGCTGCTCTCCCCTTTCCCTAATGCGCACAAGCGTGGATACACGCGGTGGCACTCACCTCCAGCCACCCTCAGCCACCTCCAGCCACCCTCAGCCACCTCCAGCCACCTCTCAGCCACCGCCCGTCACCGCCCGTTACCGCCCGTCACCGCCCGTTACCGCCCGTCACCGCCCGTTACCGCCCACTGCCCATCACCTGCCATTGCCCATCACCACCCACCACCAGTGACTACCCGTCACTGGCCACCGTCTGTCACTGCCCACCGCCCGTCACCGCCCGCCTCAGCCTGTCACCGCCTGTCAGTGCCCGTCACCACCACCCACCGCCCGTCACCACACGTGACCGCCAGTCACCGCTCATCACTGCCCGTCACCACCCGCCACAGCCCCTCACCGCCCATCACCGCCCATCACCACTCGTCACCACCCACCGTCGTCACAGCCCGTGACCGCCCGTCACCGCCCACCACCCATCACCGCCCGTCTCCGCCCGTCACCACCCATTGCCCATCACCGTCCGTCATGGCCCGTCACTACCCACCGCCCATCACCGCCTGTCACCGCCCGTCACCGCCTGTCACCGCCCATCACCGTCTGTCACCGCCCGTCATGACCCGTCACCGTCCGTCACCGCCCACCGCCCGTCACCACCTGTCACTGCCCATCACCGCCCGTCACCACCTGTTGCGTCCACCGCCTGTCACCGCTCACTGCCCGTCACACTCACATCACATCACACCGCCGGCATATCCATTCATCCACGGGCATGTGCATGCACGTGGGTGGATGTATGCACGTGGTTGCTTGCACCATCAAATGCACCAGTTCTCCAATGCTCGCTCCCATTCTCTTGCCCCCCCCCTTTTATCCCTCCTCAGGACACCATGGATCAGAAGAGAAAAGCTACCTTCTTTCGCGACAAGATGCAAGAGATTGTGAGTCATAAAGGCTTCTTGCTTGGCAATGCGAGCACTCCTGAACGCCCTTAATAGTGACCCGTGGCACCACATAAAACTTCAATGCGATATCTGTCAGTGAGATGGCATCAATGTCTTTGTTTTCTGTGTGCCCCACCCACCCACCCATCCCGTGCTCCACTGGTTAACATGTTACCAGGTCATGTTTAAGAGTCGCTGCGACTTGCGCCTTGCTGACGTCAGTGAACAGGCTGATGTGGAGAAGAAGGAGGTGAGCATGCTATGCATAGCACTTTGACTTAGACAGATCAATGACACTGTTTATCCCCAGCGTGTACTGCCTAGGCAGCATCTGCTTATATATGTTGGCGATTCAAGGCAGCATAGGTGTGGTGTTGTGCTCTTCTGTCTCTTCTCCACCCTCCCGTTTCGCGTTTTTGGTTTGTGGAGGGGCTGGGATGGGAAGCAATTGCAAGACAGAGGTGGCATTTGAGTTGACTAAAAAATCACCTCCCATTCCGCGTTTTTGGTTTGTGGAGGGGCTGGGATGGGAAGGAAGCAAGTGCAAGACAACATGTCATTCTCGCCCCTCTCCCGTTTTGCTGTTTTTCTTCCTTCGCCCCGGCTTCCTTCAGACGGAAAAGTTAGCTCGCAAGTATGCCGACAAGTACAAGGCAGGCGGCACAAGTGCTCATGTCGCCTTCCTTTGTCCTCTCTCTCTGCTTCCCTTCCCTCTTGTGGTAGATTGGGGAGATAACACGCAAGCACAATGACAAGTGCAGGGCGGCATGAGTGCTTATGCCCTTCTGTGTCATCTTTTCTCCTCTTCCCTTCCCTTGTACACTAGATGGAGGAGCTAGCACGCAAGTACAACGACAAGTTCAAGGCAGCGCAGCTGTCTGCTGGGAAGCTAGCTGTCCTTTGTTCCTGCTTCCCCTCCCCCCCCCCCCCCACCTCTCCCCTGTCGAACACTAGATGGAGGAGCTAGCTCGCAAGTACAATGACAAGTACAAGGCAGCACAGCTGTCTGCTGGAAAACTAGCAGCAGAGGAGCGTGCATTGCAGCAGATGCAGGTACTGTGAATTCCATTAATGAATGAATCAGATCCTCTATATATATATATATATATATATATATATATATATATATATTTTTTTTTTTCTTCAAACTTTCATTATAACAGAGCGAAAGAAGATAAAATAAGCACCCGTAAAAAGAAAAAAAAAACCCTCAAGCATGAGTTCACCCAGGTGATCACGACTGGGACTGATTTCACAAATTCACAATGAGTTCTTCTTCCCCCCCCCTCACGTCATCTAACAGGAGAAGACCCAGGTTATCATGAATGCCACTTCGCGCATCGACAGGGGAGGCGACCCCAACCAGCTACTGCAGGTGCGATTCTCATCACACAAGCAATCCTCTGCTTCTGGTATGTGGCTGGTGGTACAATCTAATGCTACCTCACAAAGTGGCCGACCAGCCAGCTGCTGCTGGTGTTAGTATATTATATTTCTAGTTTCTGTGTGTAAAAAAAAAAGTGGGGGGGGGGGGGTTAAGTCAGCGGCGGGTATAGCCCCATCCAGTGGAATTCACTTTCACGATCAAGTGGTGATGCAGTTGTCTTTCTGCCCGTGCAGTGTCACCCCTTGTGTGATCCGTTGCCACCTCACCCCTATCATTTGTGCACGATATGTTTGTTTCGCTGCTTGCTGAGGGACAAGGCGGATCGCCTGGCTCTAGAAGTGAAGGAAGGGCGGCTGTGCTCACCCATGCCACTGCTCTCCCTCATGCCACAGCTGTCCCTCATGCCACAGCTGTCCCTCATGCCACTGCTGTCCCTCATGCCACAGCTGTCCCTCATGCCACTGCTGTCCCTCATGCCACTGATGTCCCTCATGCCACTGCTGTCCCTCATGCCACTGCTGTCCCTCATGCCACTGCTGTCCCTCATGCCACTGATGTCCCTCATGCCACAGCTGTCCCTCATGCCACTGCTGTCCCTCATGCCACTGATGTCCCTCATGCCACTGATGTCCCTCATGCCACTGCTGTCCCTCATGCCACTGCTGTCCCTCATGCCACTGCTGTCCCTCATGCCACTCCTGTCCCTCATGCCACTGCTGTCCCTCATGCCACTGCTGTCCCTCATGCCACTGCTGTCCCTCATGCCACTGCTGTCCCTCATGCCACTGATGTCCCTCATGCCACTGCTGTCCCTCATGCCACTGCTGTCCCTCATGCCACTGCTGTCCCTCATGCCACTGCTGTCCCTCATGCCACTGATGTCCCTCATGCCACTGATGTCCCTCATGCCACTGCTGTCCCTCATGCCACTGCTGTCCCTCATGCCACTGCTGTCCCTCATGCCACTGCTATCCCTCATGCCACTGCTGTCCCTCATGCCACTGCTGTCCCTCATGCCACTGCTGTCCCTCATGCCACTGCTGTCCCTCATGCCACTGCTGTCCCTCATGCCACTGATGTCCCTCATGCCACTGCTGTCCCTCATGCCACTGCTGTCCCTCATGCCACTGCTGTCCCTCATGCCACTGCTGTCCCTCATGCCACTGATGTCCCTCATGCCACTGCTGTCCCTCATGCCACTGCTGTCCCTCATGCCACTGCTGTCCCTCATGCCACTGCTGTCCCTCATGCCACTGATGTCCCTCATGCCACTGCTGTCCCTCATGCCACTGATGTCCCTCATGCCTCGTCCCTCGCGCCTCGTCCCTCGTGCCTCGTCCCTCGTGCCTTGTCCCTCATGCCTCGTCCCTCATGCCTTGTCCCTCATCCTGACCATCATCTCGCACGTGCCCCCCGTCCCCGCCCCCGTTACGAGGACAAGGCAGATCGCCTAGCTCTGGAGGTGGAGGAGATGCGCAAGGCTGCGTTCAACCACGCTTCTGCTCTCCCTCATGCTCGCATGTGCCCCCTCACTGACTTACAGGACAAGGCAGATCGCCTAGCTCTAGAGGTGGAGGAGATGCGCAAGGCTGTGTTCAACCACGCGACGGATATTGGGCTGAAAGTGAGGCCCCTCGTGGGTTCTGAGACTCCCTTTGGTAAGAATTGAAATGGAATTCGTGCTACACATCACGCCACGCCATCCCATGCTATGCATCACGCCATGCTATGCATCACGCCATGCCATGCTATGCATCACGCCATGCCATGCTATGCATCACGCCATGCCATGCTATGCATCACGCCATGCTATGCATCACGCCATGCTATGCCATGCATCACGCCATGCCATGCTATGCATCACGCCATGCTATGCATAATGTTTTTGAGGGGCCTAAAAAATAGGCTCGTCACGGATGGAAATCGTGCTGTGCATCATGCCGTGGCTGTCGGGCTTGAGTGGAGTCATTTTTTAGAATTCTCGAAAATGACTCCACTATTTCCGTGGCTGTCGGGCTTGGAGTTAGCGACCCCTTGTGGGTTCCGAGATTTCCTTTTGTAAGTGTTGGCTGAAAGTGCACCACTGGAAGGTTCTTGCAGGCGGATTTTCTTTTAGTTAAGTGTCTGCTGAGAGATTGTCATCTGTCAGGACAGACCAACACACTGTTAACTGATGTGTTGGCAACCGGCACTGTGTCCCCTTCCCAGGTTGGCAGGCGAATCTTCAGGAGAAAGCAACAGACTGGGACGACGAGTGGGACGACGTTCAGGTGGAGGGTTTTGTTGTGGTGCGCGACATTGGCGACACTCCCTTGGGCGAAAACGAAGACCCTTTCCCACAGCCGAAATCAAAGGAGCAGGAGAAGGATGAGGCTGCTAGGTCAGCAGCAGCAGCGGATGGTAAGGGGGAAGGGAAGGAGGGTGGGGAGGAGGGTGGGGGAGTAGGTGAGGTGGAGAACGCGAAGGAGGGAGAGGGGAGCGGTGGGGGAGGGGGGGGAGGGGCAGCAGAAGCAAGGGCTGACGGTGCTGTGGATGCTGCAGGAGTTGAAGGTACAGGAGGTGGGGATAAGAAGTCGGATAAGAAGAAGGATGAGAAGAAGAGCGTACCTTCAGGTCCTGCTGACTTCTTTTCTCCAGAGGAGGACGAGAACTCAAACGAGGCAATGGTGGTGGTGCAGCGGCAGGGCGGGGATGAGGGAGATGAAGAGGAGGAGGAGGAGGAGGAAGAGGTGGAAGAGATAGTGATGGATTCGACGCCTGTGCTGCAGATAACAGCAGGAGGGGAGGGAGAGGGACGGGAGGCGGAAGGGATGGAGGGGGTGGTAGAGGCACCAGGGATAGCAGGAGGAGCAGGAGAGGCAGGAGTAGGAAAGAAGGAAGGAGAGAGAGAGGAGGAGGGGAAGGGAGACGAAGCATCTCTTGTCGAAGAGAGTGCTGCGTCTGCATCCCCTGCCGATTCCAAGGAGATTCTAGGGTTCCCCTTCCAGGGGTGGTCTCGCGGCAGTGCAGGCAAGGCGGCAGCAGGAGGAGCAGGAGCAGGGGGAGCGGGAGGAAGAGGTTCGGGAGGAGCTTTACCGAGCCTGGCTGACTTGGCATCTTCCTTCTCGCTCTCGCCTGTCTCTGCTGCAACGTCAACTAGCAGCCGAGCGTCCACTACTGCCTCCCCTTTCAACCCTGCTTCTGTTACTAAAAGCCTTGCTGCTGCGGATGCTTCACCTCCCGTTGCTTCCCCTGCTTTTGCTGTAAATGCGGCTTCGGGATCTCCTGTTTCGACCCCTGCTGCTGCCACTGCTGCTGCTGCTGTGTTAGCAACCAAGTCCCCACCCTCAGCCACGTCCGTCCGCCGAACCTTGGACCTAGGCTCGGTAGAGTCTCCGCAGCAGGGAAGCACGGCGAGTGCAGCCAGCAGCGCAGGAGGTTCGGGATTCGGTTCGGTGATGACCATGGCTGGTCCGGGAAGGTACGGGGAGGCAGGAGCAGGAACAGGAGCAGGAGCAGGAGCAGGAGCGGGAGGGGGAGCGGGAGGGGGAGCGGGAGGGGAAAGGGAGGGGGAAGGAGAGGGAGAGGAGGTGTCGCGGCCGTACACGGCACATGGGCTCGTATCTGCAGATATGGATGAGAGTGATGGGGAGAGTGAGAGTGGAAGAAAGGGTTATGGGTCGAGGTACAATAGGTTTCACGGTGGGACAGGGGAGAAGGGAGAGGAAGGGGAGGAGGAGGAGGAAGCTCAAGCAGCAGAGTCAGTTGACACGGCGGCTCCTGCTGCTGGTATCCCTGCTGCAACACCTGCTGCTGCTGCTGCTGCTCCCGCTGCCAGTGTGGAAAGTGACAGTGCTGCTGTCACCGAAACGAGATCCGGCTCTTTTGCCTTTGATTTCTCAGCCGAACCAGTGCCAGAGCCAACCACAGCTGCATCTCCATTCCCGACGTCATTCAGCACGGAGAGCAGAAAAACTGGGAAGGATGAGGCCCAATCCCCGTTGGTCAACTCCCACCCGCAGCTCCAGCCGGCTGGTGATGATACTTTTGATTCCTCTCCGTTCCATGCCAAACCGTTCGACGCTTCTCAATTCGATGAAGGCTTCGGCGCGTCGGCAGCAGGAGGAGGAGAAGGGCTCGGTAGGGACACTAGTGTGGGTCGCGACCCTAGCTTTAATCAGGACACCGGCTTCGGCCGTGACTCGAGCTTTGGCCGGGACCCGAGCTTCGCGAGGGATTCGAGTTTCAAGGGGTATGGGGGGAGTGCGTTCGATTCGGCCACTGGTGCTGCGAGTTTCAAGGGGGGCTTTGATGCTAGTGCATTCGACCAGCTTTATGGCGCTGCTGCTGCTGGTGGTGGTGCTGCGGCAGGTGGTGCTGCTGGTGGAAGTGCGTTCGATCATCACTATGGTGCAGGGGGAGCTGCTCTGGATAACTCCTCCTCGTTCCGGTCCTCTGTTGACTCCCCGTCCGGCCCGCACTCCCGGGTAAGGGGTTCGTTCTAAGGGCTTGGTCTCGAAATTCGTGTCTGACTTTCCACCTGGCCAGTTCAACCTGGCCAGTTCAATCTGGAATTCAACCTGGCCAGTTCAACCTGGAATTCATCCTGGCCAGTTCCAATGCATGTCCCTTGCCAGTGGCCTTGACGCTCAGCCAAGCCCCATGCGCTCGTATTGAAGAACACACAATTCCAGAACAACTTCTCTCCCTTCCCTCCCCCTCCCCCCCCCACCCCCTCACACCTGAGCATGTACCCCCCCCCAACCCCCCCTCTCTCCTCCCCCCACTCCCCCTCGTTTCGCCCACCTTCCCCCCTCTCCGATGCGCTTTTCGGTCAAGGTTTCCTCCATGCTGGCCGGTTTCATTCTCTTCGCTAGCGGCTTCTTTCGAGTGCCTCAGAAGCAATTCCCACCCTTCGCCACTGCTCTCAATGCCCATCCTCCTCCCCAACCCCCCCTAACCCCCTTGTCCCTTTCCTTCATTCCTTTTGAGTGCCTCAGAAGCAATTCCCACCTTTCGCTACTGCTGTCAATGCCCAACCCCCCTCACTCCTCTGCCCCTTTCCTCCAGTCTGGCGAGTTCCGTCCCAGCCATTCCAGTCCTTTGCGAGTGGCTTTGACCATCATCCACCCCTGCCCCTTATCCCCCACCTTCCCCGCTCTCCCATGCCCCTGTGACCTGTGTCCCCTTCCAGTCTGGCGAGTTCCACCCCGGCCAATTCCAGTCCTTTGCTAGTGGCTTCGACGATCACTTTGACTCAACCACCTATGGTGCGAGTGGGGGAAGGGGAGGAGGGGAGGAGGAGGAGGTGCATAGCAGTGGGGAGGAGGACAGTGGAGGCGACCCCTTCGCCACTCTCCGCAGCAGCGGGGCGTACGGTGGCGCAGGTGGTGGTAACCAGCATGTTACGGCATCGCATTTCGATGCGTATAACTATGACGAGGCATCGGAAGCGGAAACGCCGGGGTCTGCGAGGCAGGGAGCTGTGAAGCCGGGGAGTGCAAGCACGTTTGACTCGTATGGGTGGAACGCGTTTGAGTGACAATGAGTCATGACGCCCTCATCATGGCTCTGGCTTTCCACAAGGACTGCATTTGCTTTGCTGTCTCTCGAGAGAGGTGAAGCTGCTTTTGAGTCGACTCAAAAGCAGTCTCTCGAGAGACGTGAAGCTGTGATGTGAAGCCGGGGAGTGCAAGTGCATTTGATTCGTGCAGCTGGAAATTGGAGTGAGTTTGAGTGATGACGCAGTCACATCATGTGTGCTTTGCTAGACAGTGCACGGTACCGGTACCATGGCTTGGTCAGTACCAGTACCAGTACCAGTACCAGTACCAGTACCATGGCTTGGTCATTACTAAGCTAAAAAACAAAGCCAGGCAATACCGTACCAGTGGTTTATTTAGAGCAGGTGGGTCGCGTTCTACTGATGAAGCCATTGCGTTTGGGACTTGTAACTTGTTCTGGTACGGTACTGTGTGGGGGGAGTGAGCGAGCGTGTGCGGCTACAGGACAGTGTATGATGCTGTGCCGGTAGTGCTACTGCATGGTGGTGTCATCATGAAAGTGTTTGCCTTGTGGCGTGTTCCTGCGCAGATGATATGCGTTGCGTTGTGTCTGATTTGAACGCTTGTGTGTTGTTGTGGAGTCGGCACGTCATGTGTAAGTATCGGTAGGTATGTATGTGTGGCAGGTATCTGCTTGGAAAGTTGGACACTGCTTCTCCAAGGATCCTTGTACCAACCAAAATAGTGAGCAAGCAACCTTTGTCATAAGTCTCAAAGAAGCTTAGGACACTGACTAAACTTAGGAACCTAGCTTAGCTAGGAAGGAAGGAAGGACGCCATGGAATGGCGTGAGGCAAGTAGATCTAGGAGTAGGCAAAAGTGACGAGAAAGAAGAGGGTTGGACTATGTTGGAAATATCTCAAGGACTTAAGCGTTTCTGAAGTATAACACTGTACTCGAGGAAGATTACAGGGGAGCACGCGAGTCAACGGAGGTTACACGAGGGGGCGGACAAAGAATACGAAAGGACCCGAAAGGTCGCAACTGGAGGTTGCGACTGACCGTTACAACATCACGGATGGTAACCGAAGCGGCAATCGAGTCGCTGTGCGACTCGATAAACCGTTCCTGTAACTGCACTCTACAACTGCTTTCTTATCTTCTATATATTGCTGTATGCTTGTTTCTTTAATCAATCACTTGTTCTCACATACTAGTACAAGGGTTCAACTGCCTCAACTTCCGCTGCACTACTCCAAGTCTCAAGTCCCTACAGCTGGGACTTAGTCTCTGCAAAAGATCCTAAGGGCTTTTCTGAGCCCAACATGGTATGAGAGCTGGTCAGAGACCAAAACTCCCAGCAACTACACTCCATCAACAACCAGCAACTCAACTTGATTCAACAACTCCATTGATTACAAGACATGGACAACAAGGGCAAGAAAGTCTCTACGGGCTCACCCAGCGCCCAAGAAACTCAACACGGCAACTCTGGTCTGCACACCTCAGGACTGCAGACAGAGACCGGGACTACTCAAGAAACAACGGGAAGAGTACCAGAGATGGTGACTCCGTCTCCCTCTTCAAGTGTGGACCCGAATCTCATGGAGAGATTCTTCAGCTTCATGTCACACTTCGACCAGCAGCAGCAGACAAGGACACCTGCGCACTCAACACAGAGCAATGGAGGGAATATGGGATTAGCGCCGATGAGCCTCGACAACTCATCCTTCGGGCGACACAACCAAGCGCCTACCTTTGCGCCTTATCATTCTTCGCCGGGGACGTTCGAATTCATGCCGCCCCGTGCCCAGCCAACAGCAGCTGCATCACAACAAACACCGAATGAAATCTTAAGTTTACAGGCGCAGTTCTCACACGTGATCAAACTTCAGACATCCTCACCGTTCAACGGACACGACTTCTTTACCTGGAGCTTCGAGTTCGAGCTGCTGATGGAGGCCGCGCATCTTCTGGGATACTTCAACGGGTCCCTGCCATTCCCAAGCAACGGCACTGGGAAGGAACAAGAGATCTTCACATATCAGTCGCTGCTGGCGTACACGGTACTCCTGAGAAACCTGTCACCACAAGAGCAGCAGAGCATCAGAACGTATCGGAGTTATGGAAACTCCGCGGAGCTCGCATGGCACCACCTCAAGTGCCTTTACCAAGCAAACGACAGCGTGACACAAAGCAGACTCATGCAACAGCTGACAACAATACAGATGAAAACCGGGGAAAAGGCGATGCAGTATATGAGTCGCTGCCAGACCCTCCGCGACCGCCTGCTTCGGTGCGGAGGAACAATCACTGAAGAAAGCTTCGTGACACTTGTCCTCGCCGGGCTCGGGCCAGAATGGAGAACCACACGATCACTCCTTCGCGCCCACGGAAGAATTTCGGAGATGCACCTCTGCGCCGAGCTTCACGCTGAACAACAGGAGATGGATCTGTTCGAGGAAAGACAACCAAGGAAGCAACAGCAGTTAGTCTTCTACACTCAAAGAAGAAATGACAACAACTACAACCGACGCAGCAAGCAAGATCAACGCGACAACCGAGGACTCACCATCGTACCGCCGTTCTGCCACAACTGCCAGACTTCCGGACACTCCAAAGTCAACTGCAACCGCCCTCGCGTTTACCGTGCAGCAGACCCACAAGTCGCTTCCACTCAAGCAAGTCCTCCAAGACGCTCTTCAACATCTGCACAACAAACACCCAACATCATCAACTGCATGGTACACATCGACAACTGCGCACCCGGTTCACCACCCACTTACGCACCAGACGAAGAGGAATTCCCGCCGTCGCGCTCGCAAGGACTTCAGGTCAACCCGACATACGCTGCAGTCGCCAACGCCGAACCCACCGGGCGAAACACCTGGTTCTTGGACAGCTGCTGCGGTCAACACATGTGCTCCTCGGGACGCTTCGTGCAACAGGAGAAACGGCTCAACCGCGACGTCGTCATCACCGTCGCCAACAACGAAAACCTGAAGACAAACAGACAAGGCGTGGTTCAGTTACAATCCATGGAGACAAACGTAATACTTCAGCTCAACAAAGTACTCATCGTCGACAACTTGGGATACAACCTACTAAGCGTAAGCCAACTAATGGCCAAGGGGATTCACCTGGAGTGCGACTCCTTCTCCAACGAGTTCCGGCTTTACCACGGGAAGGGCGGCCTCTTCATAGGTCGTGCCCTCCTGAAGTCCGGCGTCTTTGTGTTGGACTTCGTCCCCGACCGCGGTACTGCCGACAGCGACGGTATCGTATCCTTCGCCGCCTGGACACACCCGCCGGATCTTGATCCAGACTTCGACAGTGACGGCTTCTGGCACTCCAACACCATACCTGCAGCAGAGAGAACACGAGCCTTAGCAGTTATCAGACAAGAAAGACAAGTACCAGCAAGTGTCCCAACAAAACCATCACCTGCAACATCGGCAGCAGGACCCAGCCGAGTACAACCACCGACGACACGAAGACCGCCAACCGAAGCAGACCAACTTATGCCCGCCACACGAGAAGCCTGTCGAAGTCCCGCCTCGGTCGTCGCGTTCTTCTCCAACGCCGACATCTACCACCGCTCGCCCGGTCACCGCGCTCCCGACGACATCTGGCACCAACGTCTCGGACATCCTGCAAACAGCACGATACTTCAAACAATCCAAGCAGAAGTGTTAGAACGCAACGCCCTTCTGACGACGAGCGGCCAGGAACTCCGACGACCACGCTCACGGTGTTTCACATGCCCCGAAGCAGATCTCCCTCATCAACCTTTCCCAGCCCATCACAATCCAAGCGCACCCACTTACGCTCCGATGGAAAAGGTCTACAGCGATATTCTAAACATGCCTCGAGACGACACCGAAGCCGACTTCAACTACGTCATCACGTTCATCGACGCCGCAACCAGATACGTCTGGCACTTCAATCTCAAAACGCGCGATCAAGCCTTCGAGGCATTCACCGCATGGCTTCCAATCGCCGAACGAGAGTCAGGAACCAAACTCAAGAGTTTCCAGTCAGACGGTGCACTGGAATACCAGTCACAACGCTTCAGGACCTATCTCGCGGAAAGGGGAATCCGACGCCTGGTGTCTCTGCCCTATGCTCACCAGCAGCAGGGGGTCGCAGAACGCATGAACCGGACCTTGCAGACGACGATGCGGAAACTGCTTCTGGGGATGAGGCTGCCCAACGCACTGTGGCCAGACGCGATGACACATGCAGTCCACCTGCACAACCTGTTGTCCTCGTCATCGCTCCCCAACAACGCATCACCACACCTGCTGTGGACGGGAAAAAGGGGCAGCACAAAATTACTTCGAGTTTTCGGCTGCATGGTACAATACAGACCCCACACAGCTCGAGCAGGACGCTTCACTCAACGAGCTCGGTGGGGACTACACCTCGGCATCGCCAAACATTTTCAAGCGTGGAAGATTCTCGACATACAAGACAAAAATACGGTGGCATCACGTGATGTTATCTTCTACGAGCGACTGACGCTGCAGCATTACCTGGACAACATTGCCAACTCAGACGACCCCACCGACGGCTTCGCGGGCCTTCGCTCCTTCGCTGACCATGCTGCCGAGGCTGACGCAGCAGAAGAAGACGTACCTGGAGCCTCGGAAGCTGCCGGGCCACTCCCATTCTGTTCCGTACCTGTTCCACTCGATGAAGATAATCCCCTCGATAGCAACAACCTCGACACCTTTTACCACTTCGCCGACCAAGGATACGCTACACCTCACCCCGTCGACACGAATATTTCAGAACGCATCGGCCCCAATTTCTTACCTGACCCCGAAGACGGTGACGAAGCAGCTTATTCCGGGAATGACAATTCCCCTCGACACACACCCACGGGACTCCAGATTCTAGGCCTCTGGGTCTCCGTCCAGCATCCGCCGCCGCCTTCTACGCGTGAGCCTTCAACCTTGTCGCAGGCTCTGGGGGGGGAACATAAGGCAAAATGGAAAGAAGCGATGGAAAAGGAGTTAAAAGCTCTGCAAGACCGAGAAACATGGAAACTGGTACCTGCAACGAGCATCAACGGGAAGAACGTTCTCTCGGGGAAATGGGTGTACCGCATTAAGACCAACGCGGACGGCTCCATCGAACGTTTTAAAGCGCGATGGGTCGTACGAGGCTTCGACCAACGATACGGAACCGACTACACAGAAACCTTCGCCCCAGTCTCCCGTCACACCTCCCTGCGCATCCTACTCGCCGTCGCGGCCACGAAGAAATTACCACTACGGCAAATCGACGTCGCAAACGCCTTCTTGTACGCACCTGTGGACGCCGAAATCTTCGTCGAACAACCCCACGGATTCATCGACGACCCTTCAAAAGTATGCCAGCTGGAAAAATCCCTTTACGGGATCAAGCAAGCCCCACGGCTCTGGCAGCAGCACCTTCACGGCCGGCTCGTAAAAATCGGATTTCTACAGTTACCACATGACCAAGGCATGTACCGACTGCAGAAGGGAAGAGATTACATTCTGCTAATCGTCTACGTCGACGACCTGCTCTACATCGGTTCTATCACCGACATCGTCACCCGGTTCGAAGGGGAGCTGAAAGGGGACCTGACACTCACGGTGTCCGACTCAGTGACCCAGTACTTGGGACTAAATATCGTCGAAAACAACTCGGCGTTCTACCTACACGCTGGAAAGTACGCAGGCACTTTCGCGAAGAAATTCGGACTAACACCGGCTACCGCCTCAACTCCCTACCACTACGGAAACAACAACAGCGCCTCCGCAAAACTCCCCGCGAAGCAAATTCGGGAATATCAACAGAAGCTCGGCTGCCTACTATTTGCAGCAGTAACCTGCCGACCCGACCTGTCCTATAGTGCAAGTCAACTGGCGACGCATCTGAAGCAACCGGAACAGGAGGATCTCGAGGAGCTCAACCGGGCACTACTCTACTTCATCTCCACGCCGACGATCGGACTTACCTACAGCAAAGCGACAACATCGTCCGTACAACTACTCGGATACGTCGACGCCGACCACGCAGGAGATAGGGAAAATCGACGATCTAGGACGGGCTACATCTACCGACTAGAACCCATCGGAACTATCTCCTGGCAGTCGAGCAAGCAGGAGTTAATCGCACTATCCTCGGCTGAAGCAGAGTATATCGCCCTTTGTACTGCGACCAAGGAAGGACTCTACCTACGGGAGTTACTTGAAGAAGCGAAGATCGCGACCCTGCCCGCCTTCTCACTCCTCTGCGACAATCAATCTGCGATCAAAATCGCGAACAAGGACGGCTTCGCCAACCGAACCAAGCACATCGCCCTGCGGTACTTCTTCGTCAAGGATGAAATCGCGAAGGGGAGACTTCAACTCAGTTACTGCCCGACGACAGAAATGGCCGCAGATTATCTGACGAAGAAATTGGCGAAAGCAAAATTCGACTACTGCATGCTCCTAACTGGACAAACAAACGTCACCGGATCTGAACACTCCAGCACTCCAGAAACGAAGGGGAGTGTTGGAAATATCTCAAGGACTTAAGCGTTTCTGAAGTATAACACTGTACTCGAGGAAGATTACAGGGGAGCACGCGAGTCAACGGAGGTTACACGAGGGGGCGGACAAAGAATACGAAAGGACCCGAAAGGTCGCAACTGGAGGTTGCGACTGACCGTTACAACATCACGGATGGTAACCGAAGCGGCAATCGAGTCGCTGTGCGACTCGATAAACCGTTCCTGTAACTGCACTCTACAACTGCTTTCTTATCTTCTATATATTGCTGTATGCTTGTTTCTTTAATCAATCACTTGTTCTCACATACTAGTACAAGGGTTCAACTGCCTCAACTTCCGCTGCACTACTCCAAGTCTCAAGTCCCTACAGCTGGGACTTAGTCTCTGCAAAAGATCCTAAGGGCTTTTCTGAGCCCAACAGACTAGGAAGAGAGAGAGGTACAAGGAGGGGATTGTACCCTCCACAGAAAGGTTCAGTAACACAACTATCAAGCCTATCAATTATATATAACTTATATAATCTTGACAATAAGTTTTACATTAATGCAAGACCACTTGACAATACATGTGTTGCACGTGTTATCCATGGGATGAGATGCGCCAGAGACAAACATAATGCAATGTAGTGTAGATGCACATGGGGTGCATGGAGTGCATGGCAATTTCGCAACCTCCAACCCCTACATGCCTCAGAACTTCCGCTTGGATTGGACCCCTCTCCAAAGCTGCTTGCTAACCCTAACCGGAGAGACTTTTGAGTCGACTCAAAAGCCAACCCCTACATGCCTCAGAACTTCCGCTGGGATTGGACCCCTCTCCAAAGCTGCTATCCCTGACCCCAGAGTCTGTGGCTCGCACGCACGACTGTGCGGTGTGGCGGATGCTCATGGGGTGCATTGAGTACATGGCAGCCGTGCGACCAAAGGCTGCAGTGTAACTTTACCACGCACCTCAGAACAGCCGCTTTGACCCTTCCCCGAAGCTGCTAACTGTAACTGGAGTCTGCGGTTCACAAGACTGCGGCGTGTAGATGCTCGCCACAACACCCAAGATTTAACCCCCAAGTGCCTCAGATTCGGCGCTTTGACCCCTCTCCGAAACTGCTAACCCTAACTGGAGTCTGCGGCTCGCACGACTGTGCGGTGTAGATGCTCATGGGGTGCATTGAGTACATGGCAGCCGTGTGACCAAAGGCGGGTCAAGACCACCCACCACCCACAAGGCGTTTCTAATACAACCAGATTCAGAACTGGCGTTTTGACCCCTCCCCAAAGCTGCTGACCCTAACTGGAGTCTGCGGCTCGCACGACTGCGGCGTGTAGATACTCATGGGGTGCATTGAGTACATGGCAGCCGTGCGACCAAAGGCGGAGGAAGAAACGATAAACGAGTTGCAGGAGGAGAGCAGCAGCCACTCGGTGACAGTCTCTTGGAAGGTTTGAGCAGGGGGGATGGGAACTTGGGGGGGAGCGGAAGAGGGAGGGGCCGCGGACTCTGGTGGGGGCGGGGGGCTCTGATCGGTGCTGAGGAGAGAATTGGGCACCCAGGGGGTGAATTCAGTGATCACGACCTGCAGAGAGAGCGGGGAGGGCAGGGAGGGCAGGGAGTGAGAGAAATCCAAAGAGGAGGAGAAAAAATGGAGGAGTTTCAGGAGGGGAGCAAGGAGAGCAGCAGCCACTCGGTCACCGTCTGTTGGAAGGTTTGAGCGGGGGGGATGGGGATTTGAGGGGGAGCGGAGGAGGGAGGGGCCGCGGACTCTGGTGGGGGCGGGGGGCTCTGATCGGTGCTGGGGAGAGAATCGGGCACCCACGGGGTGAATTCAGTGATCACGACCTGCAGATCGAGAAGACGTGGAGAGATGAGAGAATGGCAAGGAGGGAAGCGGGCACTCAGGGGGTGGCATACAACACTGCACTCTCAAACCCTCGCACATGCTAAATCGCACATTCATTACAAGCACGTCACCTTGGAATCGTTCACTTTAGTCGCCTCCTGCTTCAGCTGCAGCGAATCGCTAATGACCAGCCACTTGACACTGAGCGTGGGCGGATACCACCAGTTCTCCAGATTCTGTTGCACGGAGAAAGAGCGGGTGAGGGGAAAGGGAGAGGGTTTGACTGCTTGCTTCAGCTGCAGCGAATCGCTAATGACCAGCCACTTGACACTGAGCGTGGGCGGATATCACCAGTTCTCCAGATTCTGCCATGCGTGTGGGATGGGGGTGGGGGTGGGGGTGAGGGGCAGGGGGGTTCGGGGCGTGGGGGTGACGGGGGAAGGGGGGAGGGGCAGGGGGGGTGGAGGGATAGACTGAGGTGTAGTCCAGTCTTGAGCCACCTACATACATCCCCATACCCATCCCTACACCCATCCCTACACCCATCCCTACACCCATCCCTACACCCCATCCCTACACCCATCCCCATACCCATCCCTATACCCCTCCTCGTCCCCATCCCCATTCCCATCTCCAAACTCACCCTGGCACACTCGACAGCGGGCCACACCGCGTCATTCACCCCCTTCGCCAGGAACTCTGTGCAGACCTCTGTGCAGACCTCTGTGCTGTGAATTTGGCTGGGGGAACCCTGTTCTTCCCTCTTCTTTTTCCACTCCTCCCAAGAGGAGACACTCACCCTGGCGCACTCGACGGCGGGCCACACCGCGTCATTCACCCCCTTCGCCAGGACCTCTGTGCAGACCTCTGTGCAGACCTCTGTGCAGACCTCTGTCCTGTGAATTTGGCTGGGGGAACCCTGTTCTTCCCTCTTCTTTTTCCACTCCTCCCAAGAGGAGACACTCACCCTGGCGCACTCGACAGCGGGCCACACCGCGTCATTCACCCCCTTCGCCAGGACCTCCGCACTGCTTGTAGCGATGGCCGGGGGGGGATGCCCCACCTCCCTCCCTTCTTATCTTCCCGGAGAGAGACTGACAGAGAGCGGGAGAGAGACACTCACCCTGGCGCACTCGATGGCGGGCCACACCACGTCATTCATCCCCTTCGCCAGGTCCTCCGCGCTGATCGTGGTGTTGGCCGGGGGGGGATACCCCACTTCCCTTCCCCTTTAACTTCCTAGAGGTAATCTGAAAGGTGTGAGAGAAGACTCACCCTGGCGCACTCAATGGCGGGCCACACCACGTCATTCATCCCCTTCTCCAGGTCATCCGCGCTGACGGTCGTGTTGGCCGGGGGAGCGCCCCGCCCAAACTGCCGCACGTGCATGCCGATGCTCACCACCCGGTCGCCCCTCAGGTGCTTCTCAAACGGCTGCATGCGGTGCCAAATCTCCGGCTTGGGCCTGCAGTGGAGAGAAGGGGGGGAGAGGGGTGGGGGGGAGACAGAGAGGAAGGATGAAGGACGTTGGCCTATCCTCACCATCCTGTCTCCGCACGTGCATGCCGATGCTCACCACCCTGCCGCCCGTTGAATGCTTCTTAGATGGCTGCATGAGGTGCCAAATCTCCAGCTTGGGCCTGCAGTGGAGAGGGGAGAAGGAGGGGGGAGACGCGATGGGGGGGGGGGGATGGAGTTGGATGCCTATGCTCACAACCCCATCGCCCCTCACGTGCTTCTCCAAGGGGAGAGAGGGGGAGGAGGGCGGGGAGGGGAGGGAGGAAGGGTGAAAGAAGGAGGGTGAGAAAACGGCCAGGCAGCTGCGATGCACGCGATCTAATTTTGAGGCGCCTCAAGGCGAGGCAGCTGCCTGCGACGCACGTGACCCCAACACCAGCTACCCTTCTCCTCACTCTCGTTTTGAGGCGCCTCAAAACTCACTCTCACCTCAGCAAGCATCGCACGAAGCAGCCAAAGGCATGCGGGATGCGCACACCCATGTCTCGGAGCCTCTGCCCCCACACGGACCCACTTGCGCCCTTTCAGCATGTGCATCAGGAGCCCCCTGTTCCACATCGCCCCACTCACCAGCACAACCCGGGCCCGCACCCTCACCTCAGCAAATATCGCAAGAAGCAGCCAAAGGCGTAAGGGATGCGCACGCCCATATCCCGGAGCCTCTGCCCCCACACGGACCCATTCGACCCCTTCAGCATGTGCACTAGCAGCTCCCTGTTCCACACCACACGAAGGTTCCCCAGACCCTCTAACCCCCTCACCCCATCCCCTCTCTCACCTGAGCAGGTATCGCACAAAGCAGCCGAAAGCGTAAGGAATCCGCACGCCCATGTCCCGGAGCCTCTGCCCCCACACGGGCCCATTCGAGCCATTCAGCATGTGCAACAGCAGCTCCCTGTTCCACTCCACTCCACTCACCATCACCACCACAACAACAGCCCATACCCTCACCTGAGCAGGTATCGCACAAAGCAGCCGAAAGCGTAAGGGATCCTGACGCCCATGTCTCTGAGCCTCTGCCCCCACACCGACCCGTTCGACCCCTTGAGCATGTGCACTAGCAGCTCCCTGTTCCACACCACACGAAGGTTCCTCGCAGCTTCCACCATCGGGAACACCTTTTCCGGGTTCGCCTCGGGGTTTAACTCCAGATTAACCTCCACTATGTCGCTCGCTCCTATGGGCGGCGAGACAGCCCGATTAGGAGGGTCCAGCGGAAAAGTTTCGTTTCTGACCGGCTCGAACCCCACGTCTTCAGTCGGCTGCCAGTCGATTAGAGCCGGTTCGAAAGCCATAGGGATGCACGGGTGCTTTATAACGAAGGCTCTCTTAGTGAGGAGCGCTACAGTGAACGCTGACGTCAGCCCCATGAGGGTTTCACCGAGGCTGTCACAGTGCTGGAGCCCGTCGAAGGTGAGGAATTTCACGGGCGGGGTGTCGGGCGGAGGGGCGGAGGAGGGATTTTTGCTAGCTGCCCGGATTTGCTGGTGCATGCGGGTGTAGTTGTGGTGCCAGGTGCCGCAGAGATGGTCGGGGAAGCCGAAATCGATAAGAGTGGGGAGGTCGGGGAAGGCGTCGATGATGGCACGGGACTGGGGATTGATGGGGGAAGGCAGAAGAAAGGGAGGCAGAGGAGAGAGAGGCAGAAGGGGGGAGGCAGGGGGGAACATGGATCATTTGCTGGTGCATGCGGGCGTAGTTGTGGTGCCAGGTGCCGCAGAGATGGTCGGCGAAGCCGAAATCGATGAGCGTGGGGAGATCCGGGAAGGCATCGATGATGGAAGGAAGGGGGGGGGGGGAGGGGGGGGGGAGGGAAGCGGAGGAGGAAACGGGCAGAAGAGGTGGAATGTGTCTCAGGCACGCACGCATTTCACACAAGGAAAATCGTCGAAATATGGACACGGGAGAGCATCACCATACAAAAGAACAGCATCATGTGACCATGCGCATGCATGGTAGCAGCATGCATGATAGCAGCATGCATGATAGCAGCATGCATGATGGCAGCATGTGCATCCAGTCATCAAATCTATCACACATCATCACATCCTCATATCATCACATCACATCATCCCATCACATCGCGCTGTACTGACACCATACGCATTCGCTTACAAGAGCGTCGCGGTGGTGAATGCGCTCGTCCGCTGCCGTGCTCCCAGCCTGATGTGACAATAACGGATGGGGGAAGGGAAAAAGGAGGGAGGGGGGGGGGGGATCCGGGTGGCGTTTGGGGGTCGGGAGGAGGAGAGAAGGGGGATGCCGATGCATGCGTATTTGTACGGAACGGAGGCGCAGCAGGTGGGAACACCGTGTGAGAGCCAACATACGGTCAAGGAGCAAACATTTGGTCAAGGAGCTAACATCTGGCCAAGGAGCTGACATCCGGTCAAGGAGCTGACTGACATCTGGTCGAGGAGCTAACACCCGGTCAAGGAGCTGACATCCCGTCAAGGAGCACTGTGAGAGCTAAAATACGGTCTAACATCATAAGACACCCTCGTGAGAGCAGTGTGCGGAGTAGGGTCAACCCTTGTGCTACTGGTAGGAGATCTGCACTACGGCGGACCTTAAGAATAAGCAAACGCACCAATGCGAAGGAAAGGCGCTTAAGTTTCAGGAGATGCGACACGCAGCAATAACAAGACTCACGTGTAGAAGAGCAATAGCGAAAGCCAGTAACAGAAACCGTTCAGCTGACGGAATACGTCGACCAAACAGAATCCGTCGAGCGGCTGTCATCTTGTCAGTCGAATAACGCGTAAAATACAGCACCGCTGAGGCGACGGAAGCGAAGCGGCGAAATAACTTAGTACGGGAAGACTAGTTCCCACAGCACGACAAACAGGAGAAATCGGACGACTGAAAAGGCTGCAACTTTGAAGTTGCAAGTCATGTTCTCAGGGATCGACAAAAGCATTCTGAGGGCTTGTCACGAAAGTACGTTATCGCAGAATACCATACTCAACCGCTCTAGTTCTTTACTTGACCGTTTTTTAACGTGATTTATCGTATCGAACCGCAATCCTACTTCAGTGACACGCCCTGAGCTTCTTCCCTGATACAGTGGCATACGTCCAGGTGAACGACTTGCCTTGACTAGCCTGCCTTGGGAATGCTGGATGGGTGGGAGATCCCTAGGCTGAGTGGCAGACGATGGGCCGTAGCTGACAGGACTCAAACCAGAAAACTCCGCTATGCGCTGCACTCTTGAATCACTGCAGCTTTGACTCAGTAATATTTTGAGTGAAGCATCATCCTTCACCATTCTATGACAAGTGAGCATAGCATATTGATTTTCTTCCACATAACTTCAATGCAACACCCCAGCCCAAATGCTCACAGCAGTACATGACTGGATACCAGTTACAGCAATTAAACAGCATGAATGCCTCACACCTATTTCGTGATCTTGGCCTTCCCAAGGGCCAAAGAGTTTTATGCATCGAACTCGAACTACTACTTGAGAATTAGACTCCGCATATGTCCCTCTACTTCTTCTCCTCATACTCCGCTTCCTGGGCTCCTCCGGTCGACCCCCCAGAAGAAGACGAGCTGCCGCCGCCCGCTTGCCTAGACAAGGCCTCGCCAATCTTGAGTGATGCCTGCTGGGCGGCAGAGATCTTCTCCCGGATCTCCTCCAGATTATCCTTCTCCAACGACCCCTTGAGATCGGCAATGGCCGCTTGCACAGCCTCCACCACATCCTGTTCATTAAGAGAACAAAATACCGTAAAGGTAGGGGACAATAGCGGTGAACGTTAGAGGAACACTAAGGGTGAACGTTCACATAGGTAGAAGAACACTGAGAGGGCACTCGTTCAGCGATCGCTCAACCGAGTACATGGTGGTGTCCTCATCGTTCCTCGCCTAGAACAGCGACTTCCTCTCCTTGTCCTTCGGGCACTGAACAAACGTGCACCCACACATACCGGGAACCTTCACTTACAGAGGGCAGCTTCTCCTTGTGCTCGTTCAGCGACCGCTCAACGGAGTACATGGTGGTGTCCGCGTCGTTCCTCGCCTCGATCAGAGCCTTTCTTTCCTTGTCCTTCCCTGCGTACTGCTCCGCCTCCCGCACCATGCGATCGATGTCAGAGTCCGAGAGCCCACCAGACGACTGCAGGAGATGGTAGAGAGGGGTTGGGAGGATTGCAGCAGAGAGTAGGGTCAGGGGGACGGCGTCATCGGACAGGGTCAGAGCCTTTCTTTCCTTGTCCTTCCCTGCGTACTGCTCCGCCTCCCGCACCATGCAATCAATGTCAGAGTCCGAGAGCCCACCAGACGACTGCAGGAGATGGTAGAGAGGGGTTGGGAGGATTGCAGCAGAGAGTAGGGTCAGGGGGGTGGCGCCATGGGACAGGGTCAGAGCCTTTCTCTCCTTGTCCTTCCCCGTGTACTGCTCTGCCACTTGCACCATGCGGTCCATGTCAGAGTCCGAAAGCCCACCGGACGACTGCATGAGATGGCAGAGGAGGGGGGGGGGGGGAGGGAGGGGGGGGGGAATAACAGCAGATGTCAGAACAAGTTAGGGTTCTGAGACAGGGTGAGAGCCTTTTTCTCCTTGTCCTTCCCCGCATACTGCTCCGCCTCCTTGCGGCCAATGTCCGAGTCCGACAGCCCACCGGATGGATGACTGCATGAGATGGCAGGGGAGGTATGGGGAGGATTGCAGCAGAGAAAAGAGTACGGGGAAATAGGCATGCTCCTTGTTGGTGGCCTTGTCCTTGGCGCCCACGTGCACGATGCTATTGGCATCAATGTCGAAGGTGACTTCGATCTGCGGCATGCCCCAGGGTGCTGGAGAAGGTTTCAAACCAGCCGGCGGAATGCACCCGACCCCTGACAGACATTCGCCTGGATGGTGACCCCTGACAGACATTCGCCTGGATGGTGACCCCTGACCCCTGGCATACAAACCCATCCTCACCTGGATGGTGATGGCCTGCTCCTTGTTGGTCGCCTTGTCCTTGGCGCCCACATGCACAATGCCATTAGCATCGATGTCAAAGGTGACCTCGATCTGCGGCATTCCGCGGGGCGCCGGGGGGATGCCAACGAGGTCGAACTGCCCCAGCAGCTTGTTGTCCGCCGCCATCTCGCGCTCGCCCTGCAGCACCTTGATGCCCACCTGTGTCTGCCCGTCCGCTGCTGTGGAGAACACCTGGAGGAGAGCAAGGGGTGATGGGAGCAAAATGTCCGGTAGGAGATAGCAGGTCAGGGTTCAGCCATCTCGCGCTCGCCCTGCAGCACCTTGATGCCCACCTGCGTCTGCCCATCCGCCGCTGTGGAGAACACGTGGAGGAGAGCAAGGGGTGTAGGGATAAGACAGCAGGATTAAGGGGAGGAGATTGAAGGTCTACACATCTCACGCGTGATTTTTGAGTCGACTCAAAAATCACCTAGGAAAGGAGATGGAGGGTCTACACATCTCGCGCTCGCCCTGCGTCTACCCGTCCGCTGCTGTTGAGAACACCCGCCAGGGGGGCATAATTTTTAGGGGGAGGAGGGTAGGGGGAAGGGGAGGGGCGGAGGAGGGGGGGAGGAAGCCGTTTTGAGGCACCTAAAAAAAACAAACCTCCTGCCTAGCTCTTTTTAGTGGGAATGGTGGTGTTGCGGTTGATAAGGCGGGTAAACACCCCTCCGAGAGTCTCAATCCCAAGCGACAGCGGCGTGACGTCCAGCAGCAGGATGTCCTTCATGTCCCCCCGCAGCACGCCGCCCTGGATGGCGGCGCCCATCGCCAGACCCCTTTCACGTGGCCGGTGACCCTGTCATACCCTGTCAACACCACCGTTTCAAGCGCGGAAAAGACATACCTGGCTCTTCTTAGTGGGAATCGTGGTGTTGCGGTTGATCAGGCGGGTAAAGACGCCTCCAAGAATCTCAATCCCCAGCGACAGCGGTGTGACGTCCAGCAGCAGGATGTCCTCAACATCGCCCCGCAGCACGTCACCCCCTGAGTGGCCTGGCCTTCCCCTCCCTTTCACATCGCCCCGTAGCACGCCACACACCCTCGAAAACCCTCAAACCCGCCATTTTGAACAGGAGAAAAAGACGGGAAAAGCACGCACCTGGCTCTTCTTCGTGGGGATCGTGGTGTTGCGGTTGATCAGGCGGGTGAAGACACCTCCAAGAGTCTCAATTCCCAGCGACAGCGGCGTCACGTCCAGCAGCAGAATGTCCTTCACGTCGCCCCGCAGCACGCCGCCCTGGATGGCGGCGCCCATCGCCACGCACTCGTCCGGATTCACGTTCTTGGATGGCTGCCGCCCGAAGATCTCCTGCACCACCTCCTGCACCTTGGGCATGCGGCTCATGCCGCCCACCAGGATGACCTCGGTGATGTCCTTGGCTGAGATACCCGCATCTCTCAAGCAGTCCTTGCACGGCTGGCGGGTGCGCTCCACTAGAGGATTGACCTGGGAGGAAAGCGGAAGAGTAGGAGAAGCAGGAGAGAGGGGGGGGGGGGGGGGGGTGGGGGGGCAGCAGGGGGAGCAGCAGGGGGAGCAGGACTATCCGTCTGGACTATCAAGGTTGAAGGGGATGTTGACGTCCGTTTGGCTCACGCTCGCACTTGCCCTTCTCCGCCGCTTCCCTCAGCCACTCTAGCTGCAGCGCCAGTCACGTCTGAGGAACCTCCCTCAACCTTGATTTTGCAGGGTGTTTTTAAGAATTCTCAAAAACACTCTCCTCAACCTCACAAATTCTGAACGTCACTTGAATCCCTCAGGCTTTAAAGCTTCCCTCAGCCTAAAACCCACAAGGACGTACCAGAGTCTCAAACTTGGAGCGGGTCAGTGTGAAGCTGAGATGCTTAGCCCCAGTAGCATCCGCGGTGATGAAGGGGATGTTGATGTCCGTCTGGCTGGTGCTGCTCAGCTCGCACTTGGCCTTCTCAGCCGCCTCCCTCAGCCGCTGCAGCGCCAGGCGGTCCTTGGTGAGGTCGATGCCCTGCTCCTTGCGGAACTCGTCCACTAGGTGCTGCAAAAGGGCGTTGTCGAAGTCCTCTCCTCCCAGGAAGGTGTCGCCGTTGGTCGCCTTGACCTGGGAGCGCGAGGGGGACACAGGAAGGGGGGAGAAAAAATGGGGAAAAATGGGGAAAAAACGGGGAGAAAAAGGAGGAAAATGAGGGAGATACGAACCACAGGTAGTCCAGTTTTGAGGCGTCTCAAAACGAGATACGGACCACAGGTAGTCCTTGGTGAGGTCGATGCTCTTCTTCTTGCGGAACTTGTCCACGAGGTGCTAAAACAGGGCGTTGTCGAAGACTTCACAGCCCAAGAAAGTATCGCTGGTGGTCGCGAAGGAGGGGAAAAAACGGGGGGGAAGTGGGGGGGAAAACGGGGGGGAAGTGGGGGGAAAAACGGGGGGGAAGTGGGGGGAAAAACGGGGGGGAAGTGGGGGGAAAACCGGGGGGGAAGTGGGGGGAAAAACGGGGGGGAAGTGGGGGGGAAAACGGGGAAAAATGAGAGCGAATCAAACGCCAGACGGTCCTTGGTGATGTCGATGCCCTGCTCCCTGCAGTCCATGCCCTACGACAGGCCGGCCAATTCTCCTCCTTCCGCTCACACATGCACGCACGAACACACAGACGACAGAGAATCACTTGTACCACCACCCCTCCAGAAATCTCCAAAAGTGAGATATAAAACCATCCCCTTCCCAGGTCGAACATAGCAACGAGCCCCTCCTTGCGGTCCATGCCATACGACAGGCTGGGCGCTGTGGGCTAATTGAACATCTGCAGCACGCTCAGGCCCACTCTCCCCCTGCAATCTGAACTCCCCATTCCCTTCCAACCAACCCGAAACCCGAAACCCGCCCGTCTCAAAGACGCTCCCACCCTCCCCAGGTCTCACCTCAAACACGCCACCAGAAATTTCCAAAATGGAGATATCAAAGGTCCCCCCTCCCAGGTCGAACACGGCCACGAGCCCGTCCTTGCAGTCAATGCCATACGACAGGCTGGCCGCCGTGGACTCGTTGATCAACCGCAGCACGTCCAGCCCCCTCTAGCCTTGCAAACCCTGCACCCCCCAAACCCCCAAACCCCCTTTCCCAAAACCTCTCACTCCCGCCCCCTTTCCAACCCCCAAAGACTTCTGGCCAAAAAGAGACGCACCTCGAACACGCCTCCAGAAATCTCCAGAATGGAGATATCGAACGTGCCTCCTCCGAGATCGAACACGGCCACGAGCCCCTCCTTGCGGTCCATGCCGTACGACAGGCTGGCAGCCGTGGGCTCATTGATAATCCGTAGCACGTCCAGCCCTGCAATCCGCCCCGCATCTTTCGTCGCCTGCCGCTGCGCGTCGTTGAAGTATGCGGGCACTGTGATCACTGCCTTGGACACAGGGCGGCCCAGGTAGGCTTCGGCGGTTTCCTTCATCTTGCCGAGGACAAAAGCTCCAACCTGGTGGGGGGGGGGGAGGCGGGGGGGAGGATGGGGAAAGGGCAAGTGGGTGGGTTTAGTGGCCTGCCGCTGCGCGTCGTTGAAGTATGCGGGCACTGTGAACACAGGGCGGCCCAGGTAGGCTTCGGCGGTTTCCTTCATCTTGCCGAGGACAAAAGCTCCAACCTGGTGGGGGGGGGGGGAAGGGGGGGGGGGAGGATGGGGAAAGGGCAAGTGGGTGGGTTTAGTGGCCTGCCTCTGCGCGTCGTTGAAGTATGCGGGCACTGTGATGTCCGCCTTGGAGAACGAACGACCAAGGTACGCCTCTGCTGACTGACTCCTTCATACTGCCCAGCACAAAGGGGCCGACTTGGCAAGAAGGGGGCAGAAAGGGAGGAGAGAAGGATGGGGAATGGAGATGGGCGTAAGGTTGGGGAGAGGCGGAAGGAGCGGGAAGGAGGGGAGGGGGGGAGCGAGAGGGCGAATGAGGGAGAGAAACTGGGGAAACTGGATCAGCTGCAAGGCTTTACGCGGCACGAAACATCAAGGTGACTTCTGAGTCGACTCAAAAGTCACCTCAGTTACGCTTTACGATTAGGCTTACCACAAAACATCAAGGATAACTAAAACCGCAGTAGGCCGTAACACCTTCTCTCATAACCCCTCTTTATTTTGATGGAACGTTTGTTAACAGGCACCCGTCCCTCAATCCCTTACCGCCACATCTATTTTTGAGGCGTCTCAAAAACAGACTCCTGTTACATCTCCCATTACCCGGCTCGTCTCACGCCATTTCATCTCACCTGACTTGGAGAGTACTTCTGTCCGCCCGCCTCCACCCACGCGTCCCCATTGGGAGCCCGCACGATGTTGTACGGCACCATCTTCGCCTCCTTCTGTGTCTGGGGGTCGTCGAACTGCCGCCCGATCAGCCTCTTGGTGCCGAACAGCGTGTTGGTGGGGTTCGTCACCGCCTGTCGCTTCGCCGGCGTGCCCACGAGTCTCTCGCCCTTGGGCGTGAAGGCCACGACGGAGGGGGTTGTACGGGCGCCTTCCGCGTTCTCAATGACACGGGGAGTCTGGAAGGGGAGGGGAGGGGAAGGGGAAGGAAGGGGGGGGGGGGAGAAGTGCAGGGGCGAGAGGGAAGGGAGTGTTAGAGCGGGTCGTCGAACTGCCGCCCAATGAGCCTCTTGGTGCCGAACAGCGTGTTGGTGGGGTTCGTCACCGCCTGTCGCTCCGCCGGCGTGCCGACCAGCCTTTCTCCCTTGGGAGTAAACGCCACCACCAAGGGGGTCGTGCGCGCTCCCTCTGCGTTCCCAATCACACGGGGGGTCTGGGGACAAGGGAGAACGGGGAACGGGGACCGGGGAAGGGGGAGAGGGGGGGGGGGGTGGGGAGGCGGGAGGGGGAGAGGGAGAGCGGGAGAGAGGGGGGGAAGAGAAGATGCGTTCTCAATCACGCGAGGGGTCTGGAAGCGGAAGGGGGAGGGGGGAGGGGGGGGGAGGGGGAGAGGGAGGGGGAGAGGGAGGGGGAGAAGGGGAGAGGGGGACGCGGAGGAGTGCACGGAAGAGTGGGAACAGCGTGTTCGTCAAGTCTCGATTTTCTTTTATTGTTCGTCGGGAACAGACCCGGCATGTTACAAGCACACAAAGACAGACCAGATGTGCCAATACCGAAGGTTCTGGGCTCACCTTTCCCTCCATGACAGCGACGAAGGAGTTGCCGATTCCGAGATCGAAAATAATCGATCAGTGACACCCACATGCATACGCACACGCAGACGACCAAATGTGACAATAAGGAAGGGTTTGGGCTCACCTTGCCCTCCATGACAGCGACGCAGGAGTTGGTGGTGCCGGAATCGAAACTACTCGTTTCGTATACCATATGCGCGTTACAAGCACACAAATGCAAACCAGATGTGCCGATACCGAAGGGTCTGAGCTCACCTTGCCCTCCATGACAGCGCCGCAGGAGTTGGTGATGCCGGGATCGGAAATAGTCGCTATCGTGCGTAACCAACCCATGACTAGACGATGTGACTCATCTGCTCTCATCTCATCTCATCTCATCTCATCTCATCCCATCTGGCCTGGTCTGGTCTGATCTGATTTGATCTGATCCTCTAGAAGAGGATCACCTGGCCCTCCATAACAGCGACGCACGAGTTAGTGGTGCCGAGATCAAAGCCACTCGTTTCGTGCACCATGTGCGCGTTACAAGCACACAAAACAACCAGATGTGCCGATACCGAATGTTCTGGGCTTACCTTGCCCTCCATAACAGCGACGCAGGAGTTGGTGGTGCCGAGATCGATACCGATCACATCGCCGCCTGCTGCCGAACTGCAAGGAAAAACAAACACGATGGAATGAAGGGAAGGGGGGGGGGGGGGGAGGGGGAGGGGGGGAGAAGGGGGGAGGAGATAGATACAGGGCGAAACGTGTTGACAATGGAGAGGAGTTGGTGGTGCGGAGATCGATACCGATCACATCGCCGCCTGCTGCCGAACTGGAACGAAACACCGCAACGAAGGAGAGGGAAGCGCGGACGGCGGATAAAGGTTAACTGTGAAAGAAACGACGAAACGAACGGAATGCAGGAGCCAAGGGGAAACTAACAGCAATGGGAATTCACAAAAATTTGAACATCAAGAAGCGACGCAACTGAAGGCTCGCGGTGACTTTTGAGTCGACTCAAAAGTCACAGTGTTGGGAACTCCCAAAAACTGACACATCAAGAAGAAGCGACGCACCTGAAGGCTCGCGCGCCGTTGGTCCATCGTCGCATGATGGACGATGCGACAGATGCTGCTGGTGATGCAGCAGCCACTTCCTGCGAGAACAGACAAGGTCCGGTACGGAAAGAGATCCGGTAAGAAAAATGGTCAGGTACCGAAGCAAGTCCGGCTCGGGTGCCGAAGCAGGTTCGGCAAGGACCGCCAAGTCGGGGAAGGAACACTGCTCAGATAAAAACAATCCGATTGTCACTGGGAGAATTGATTCTGTGAAAATTACGAGGCGAAGCGACGGAGGGAATCGCGCTCAGCGACGTCCTAATCAACAGAACTTTTTACCCCTTATCCGCAACCGTTTTATAAAGATCCATTATCTAGTCTCTCTTCAAAAAGTGAATCTAGTGAATCCAGATATATCTGACGTTAAGCGAACTAACCTGGTACCGTGGGTCGGAAAACGGATCTGACGTGGCACTTACTGCTGACTCAGGCAGAGCCCTCTGCATGAAGCTTTGCGCAGCTGCTGACGTGGAGAAGCTAGCGATAGCGCTGCCGGCGTTTCTATTGGCCGATCGGGCCAAGAGCCTTGCCGCTAAGTACGCCGCCATGGTCGGTTTCGCCGATCCGATATAAGGAGGTCCGGTTCGTAACGAGTCGAAGCCGGGATGGTGGTGGGTTCCGGAATGCGAGTTGTTGGAAGAACGGATCGGATCTAACGGTCAAGATGGAGAGCGGCGGATCGGAAGGAGATGGGAAGATCGACGACCAAGCGAGCACGAAGGGGCTTAGACACCGGCAACGGGTTAGGTCGCAAAAAAGCCTCTTAGCGGCAGAATAAGAGACTCTCAAGAGACACGCAGCCAGAATGGGAAGGTCTGTGCCCCCTGCTTACTACTAAGACCTCCATTGGTGCTGTTGGATGCTCCCCCAGGATGCAATGGTGGACGACAGCAAGAGTGCGTGCGAAACGTTTGCGAAAATGAAGTAACGGGCTGTTTGAGGTTGGCGAGGAACCTCGCAACTCGGGTAACGACATTGGTTACAGGAGGGGAAATATCCCTGACATGGCGGCGAAACGCAGCAGCTTCTAGAAAGGTCGCTGGATTCTTCGCTGCCATGCCCACAACCACGGAGATTGCTGACGTGGGCTGCCGCAGAAGGGCGGTGTAGGGCAAATGCTTCCAGCTCAAGCAACCGGATACTCGTTACAACCACCAGCTTACGTTTATAGTGATCTCAAAATCTTTTAAATACATTGCGAAAAAAATAGGGATTGGAAGTCTAATAATGGTATGTGGTCAACACTCATACTTGATGGTTGTGAACGTATCATACGGTCAATGGTTGCATTCCTATGGCAACGCACGCCATCAAACACCCAAAACGTGTGCAGCAAAAAGGCCCCATTAACATCTTCTGTTCTTCCATAAGTACTGCCGGTATGCCTCAAACTCTCATTTGATCAATACGAAGGGCATGAAATAACATCTGCAGTATCTGCAGTTTGCAAACGTACCAAGTGGTGAGCAGACAGGAGTACTAGGAGTCATGGGCATTCTCTACTTGTATTCTAGGAGCATGTTGTTCTCCGGTGCAAGACCTACACATGCGCGGAGAACATTCTCAAGCATCCCTCGTTGCTTGGCCAGTGCATTCACGACAGGTGTGCCGGCAGGGACCTGCAGAGGCAGGAGGCCAACAAAGGGTCAGGAGCAAGGTACAGGAAAAGTGACTGCGTCGAATATTAACAGGACAGGGTCACGCATATATGGTAAGAGGCGGGCAGAGATGCCTTAGCCAAAGAAGAAGCAGGCAGAGGTGGCAGGGGTGGAGGTAAGGGGGGGGAAGGGGGGTTGGGTGGGGAATGGGGAATGGATATGGGCACAAGGAAAGGGTCAGGTGTTTGAGCACAAGTAGAGAGAACGAGAGATGCATACCAGTGGCGCCTTGGAGAGGTAGCTGAGCAGCGACGCCACAGGGTGGAACGAGTGGAAGTCCTCCTCTTCCTCTCTCCGTAGTTGAATGCGCGTGAACAACTCAGCCAGCAGCACGAGGTCAAGAATGAGAGGAGCAGCGAGCAGCGAGTCCTCGCATGTGTTGTGCATGACAATGGTGTTCTTGCCGCCCATGAAAATCTCTGACGTGTACTCGTCCATCGCTCGCTTGCTGTCCCCCACATAGGGCACATACTGCATGGGTGAGTGAAGAGGGCGAGGTAAAATACTGGTACGTTAGGGACGTCCGGGAGGTAATGGAAGTGGGAAGTTGGGTTAGAATGGCCAACGGTGGCATGAGCACCAGATGACCAAACAGGGTCTGGAAGGATGGTGAGGGTTGGGTTAGAGGGAGGATTGGAGTTGGGGGAATGCAGAGGGAGGGGGCGGAGGCAGAGTGAGGGGTGAGAAGAGGGGCGGTAGTGGAAAGGGAGGGATGGCGGGAGAGGAGGGAGCAGTGAGAGAATGGAGGAGGTACGGAAGGAGGGAGGTTGAGAAAGAACAAGGGAGGAGGCTTAAAGCCAGGGACCCAAGTTTCTAGAACCTGGGGCAAGTGTTTTACAGTTGGTTGGGAAAACCCAGGTTTTGTGTCGTGAGGGTGCGTGAATTGCAACACTTGCAGACGATTTCACTGGTGCCTACAGCTCGCCGGCCAATCAGTAGTTTTAGTCCCAACCAACTGTTTTACAGTTGATAAACTTGGGTCCCTGGCTTTAAGGGGGGGGGGAAAGAGGAGGGGGGGATGGGCGGGAGGAGGGTGTACCTTGATGACGACGACATGGTCGGGGTGCTGGCCCTTGTCGTAGATGATGGCATTGGACGCCACCATGTCATCCACCACGTTGCTCTTGGAGATCTCCTTGGACCGGAACGTCTGAGGCGCCGACAGGTTCATGCCGTCGTTGTTGCCCAGGTGGTTGTAGCTCACTATCGACATGGGCTGGAGGAAAAGGCGAACGGGGGGGGGGGGGGGGGGTGGGGAGGGGGGGACGATGCACGCGGAAGGTGCGTTAGATGTACACCTGAAGCCGTATCTGAAGAGCACCAAAACATGCAGTCGTTGTTTCGGAGGCGGTTGTGACTCACTATCGCAACAGCAAAAGGGAGAGGGGAGTAATGCGTGGTGGGTGTCAGGGATTCCTGGAAGAGGGCAAGACCAGGGTTAGGCAGAGATTGTGGGTGCATTGTAGTGTTCCCAAACTATCCATCTCACTCCCTGCAGTGTTGGCCAGCATTTCGCCTTCCATCCGACCATTCCTGTCGCAGCCTATCATCCCCGCGGTATCATCCAATTCGCCTTCTTCTTTCATCGTCATGCTCTTCACTATAGCCACGCATCTACAGTCTTTCCTACTGCCTAGCGGCTAATTATGACAGGCTCACCTTAATTCCCGCGCTGACGAGGAAATCCACGAGGACGGACTTCATCTTCGTTTGCCCGGACTTAAAGTCGTCTCCGCCAATCAGGCTGTTATTCTCCAGCGCGTATTCGATCAGCCCCGGGACGAACGTGTTCTGCGGGCTGCCGTTGATGAACGGGACCTTCTCGTGGATGCACGCGGCTGCGTATAACGTGGACGGGGAGATCTCGCGCTCGTTCCGCTCGATCGCGTTAAAGAGGTTCTCTTTGGTGTCGTTGTGGCCGGTGATGACGTCACTGTAACGCTCTGTGTTGGCGGTCCAGAGAACGACGACGGAGTCCACGCCGCTGGCCTCCTTGAACTTCCTGCACACGGTCAGGGAAGAAGACAAGGGGGACGACACGCAGTAACAGTCAGGGAGGGAAACAGGGGAGACAACGCGCGAATGAGACGATGGATACGTGAAGCTACGAGAGGCGGCGGATGGAGAGAGAAACAGATCAGGAGAGGAACAACAGGAACCGAATGAGAACAGAAAACCAAGCAAGAAAGTGAATGAATGGTCACTCGCCTAAATTTCCTTAATTTGTTCATTCACCGAACGACTTACCTGATATCCTGAATGACCTGCTGCATTTGCTCCTTCTTGGTTCCCTTAATGACATTGTTAGCGCGAGCTTCCTGATTCGCGGCGATGAAATCCGGGTCGTAGATTCCAGGCAGGGGTGTCATGTCCTTCATGTGGCTCCAGAGCTGCTTCTGCAGATCAATGTCTAGAACCTTCGCCCTGGCCATGGCGTCAGCCAGGTTCATGCTTGAGATGTCCCAGCCGCCGAAGACAACTTCATTAGGATCAACCTGGAGGGTAAATGAGACCAAGTCAGTGACTGACGCAGCACTACAGAGAGAGTCATCGCACTGAAACTGACTTCATCAAGCCAAGTACAAGTCACGGGGTCCGAACTGATTTCTTTTTGTAATATTCAAAAAGTGCGTCAAGAAGAGGATTACTGCATACCATGGGGAGAAGACTCTTGAAAGGAACGTAGACTTCTTCGCCCTTGAAAGAACCGACACGGCAGGTCGACGCCTGGGTGACTGAACCGAAGTAGTTGGCCACCTGAATACCATCCTTGGTTAACCAGGAGATTCCTCTGTAAAGGACAGGGTAAGGCGTACAGACTTCTGTTGAGAAAATGGATCGCTAGGGACCTGACGGTGAAAAGAAGTTTGCCTGACACGGGAAATAGGCGATGCAATGAAGGTGAACAATGTGTGGTACATATGGCGTCTAGACGTGTGCCTGACGTGTTACTTACTCTCTGTTGGCGATAACTCCAGCTGTCAAGGTGGATCCGTTATTGCCTCCCCATCCTACAAGCATAACGCTGCAAAGAAGCCAAACGGATAATAAGCCACATAACTAATCTTGACCAAGTAGAAGCTAAACTATTTGCGATATGGACAGGGCTTACCCTAGCTTCGGGACCTTAGTCTGCGTCCTGAACTCATACTGTTTGTTGACTGGCTTAACTGTCCAGTCGAACTTCCCATCCCTGACGGCACAGTCTAGCTCGGTGGTTTGATATTTATATTTCGAGGTGATAAACTCATCACCGTAGACAACATCCGGGCTCTCAACCTTGAAGTTGTCGACCAACATGGCGGCTAAGAGGAGTATTTACACGGACTACTGACAACCGAGACAGCAATACCCAGCCTTCTAAACAACAGTTTCGTCCAGCTCTGGCGGGAGACGAAAACTGTCAGAGGTTTAGCCTTGAAGCTAAGCAAGAGCTGAAGATTTCAGCAGCCAAGAACCAGCAAGAATGAGAAGGCCACGCAACAATGACCAGTTTCTGTTTGCACTATGCCTCTTCTTTCACACCTCTCTCCTCCCCCCCTGCTTGTGCAGCTCGCTCGGATCCTCCTGGCCACAAAAAGAACGGGCCACACCACACACCAAACCAAACCACTGCAGGTCTGATCTGTAGGAGGTTTGCGCGGAGAGGCAAGAGAGGGGGGAGTTTGCCTGGGGGGGGGGGGTGGGGGGGTTTGCGGGAGGGGGAAGTGGGGGTGGAGCAAGAGAGCTGTTTTCATTGGTTCCGCGAGCCAGTGAAGCCCTTCCAGCCTCCTCCCTCACCCAGACTGCAGAGACACTGGCGGAGGCGCTCCTCTGCGGGCGCAGATTTGCCCTGTCACTGACGGTGGATCTGCGACTTGAGCGGAGCCTTCTGGCTCGGACGGAAACCAAGGGAGGCACGGTGAGAAACTCTTATGGCGGCAGACGAACCAGCGAGAGTTCCTCAGAAGTTGCTGCACGAAAACCCTCCAAACCATTGTGAAATCCCGAACATACGTAAGCCTGAGAGGTGAACTGTACCAGAGATTTTGCCACGTGCTTCCTAACGACGAAAATGTTTTCGCGCCCATTTGTCTTGCCTCGTGTAAATCGAACAGGGCCGCTCATTGGCGGGTTCTGGGATGGTGGGCGACAGTGTATGCAATCCAAACAAAGTTTTACGTTGCTGCAAACCACCTCACCTCCAGCCATCTCGGAAGAATGTCATTGTGGCAAAATCCCGATGTATCGCGGATGCGCAGTACTGTGAGTCAAGTAGTTACAGAAGATATTACGTGAAGAAATATACAATTAAGGCGAACAACCAGGAGTTGCATTAAAGTGCAACAAGCAAACCAATACGTCCAGCGTTACAATAACCACGATGTGTTATTAAATTTACTCTCATAATTTCGTGCACCAAATTTTTCTTGCAACACGACCCGACCCTCCCTCGTCCCCCATACATGGTTACCAGGGCCTCGCATTCGTGTTAAGGCAAGTTGATACTGTTAGGGAAGACTAGCCTTGTTTTTTATTACCTTTTTCATACCGTAAAATTTCAGTCCATTCCTAAAGCGATGGTTGGATACAAGAAAGGGGGAAATACTAGAGATACTAGGAGTAAGCACATGTACAAACGTTTTGAGGTGCAGCTAATAGGCAACAAAATTGCTTCAATAATGGTTGTACGGGGTACGGAAGTTTCCCGAAACTTCGTCAACGACGTGCTACGAGATTTCGCAGCTCGTCAGCCAATCATCATCCGTAAACCCGCACTCGAATGCATTGTGTCTGTTCTAGAACCGCCGTGTGACTCGTCAAGTCAGTTGCCACTTGGCTAGCGAAAAGCCAAGAAAGGTCGCTGACTCGGCAATCTCGAGAAAGATCTTTACCGCTCCTGAACCCATCCCCATCCCATTCCACCCAACCAGCCAGGACTTTCCTGACCACATTGCCTCCTCCATTTCAGCGATCAGGAATTTGGCTGGGGGAATATAGGCAAGGAAGAATCTATTTCTCCTGATTCCAACTGGGCTTGTGTTCTCTGAAAAGAACTTCCCTCTACCCTCAGTCAGACTTTTACTGCATCCTTTGATCTGCGATCAGCTGTCAATAGCTGCTCATTTGACGATCTCCGGTCTCCGGTTTTTCAAGCTTCTGTTGTGATTCACGCAATGGAGGAGGAGATGGATCTCAACCAGGCCAGTGACGTTCCCATGGACATGCCGATGGGGGATGAGGAGGACGAAGCTGCGTACGCTCCGCAGAAGGAGGGAGAGGAGAAGGATCTGACCAGCGACGGCGGAGTGAAGAAGCTCCTCGTGAAGGCTGGCGATGGCTGGGACAAGCCCGAGGCTGGCGATGAGGTGTCAGGTGAGGATCGGTGGCAGTGATCTGCTAATTTAGCTTTTCCCTAGTGTAGGTTCTCAGTAGGTGAAGTGCTATTGCATGCATCGTGTTGTGTGCTTCAGTGAACAACAATCAATTAGCTGCTCTGAGCATGTATTTCGCAGTCTTCTTACCGGATTTCAAGGTGATGGTTGCTAATCATCCCTGAATTTTCTTTCCCGGTATTCTCCTATCCCTCGTCTGACCTCTAGTTCACTACACGGGAACCCTTCTTGACGGAACCAAGTTCGACTCCAGCGTCGACAGAGGCGAGCCGTTCAACTTCAAGCTCGGACAAGGTAAGCTGTGATCCCTAACCAACCCTTTCGTCAAAATTTTCCCCCTTTCTTGAGAGTTGCTCCGCAGGAGTTCGCTTTGGTACCTGCTGCTACGGCTTTTCTTGGCCTCTACGCTCGCGATCGCTCACATCTTCTGCAATACTGTTTCTGTTACCTGCAGGGCAAGTCATCAAGGGATGGGATAAGGGTATCGCATCCATGAAGAAGGGCGAGAAGTCCGTCTTTACAATCAAGCCCGAGTACGCTTATGGCGAGGCCGGCTCGCCGCCTACCATCCCTCCGAGCGCGACGCTGAAGTTCGAGGTGGAGCTGCTGTCGTGGATCAGCGTGAAGGACATCTGCGGCGATGGCGGCGTGTTCAAGAAGGTCCTGGTGGAGGGCAAGAAGTGGGAGACGCCCAAGGACATGGACAGGGTCACAGGTACGTCTTAGCGATCCCGCGGATGTTCAGGGACTATGCCAGTAAGAGTTTTGAGGCGCTTTAAGACTTAGAAGGTCCTGGTGGAGGGGAAGAAGTGGGAGACGCTCAAGGGCATGGACAGGGTCACAGGTACGCTTCTCCTTGCCCAAGAGAAACCGTTCAAGAGACGCATTGAAGATGTTTGTAGAAGTGGAGGACGCCCAAGAATATATACAAGGTCACACTAACACCTCAAAGGACGGAACTAGCTTCCAAGACGGAACCAAGAGTCACTGCCCCATGGTCTTCATCTTTATCCATGGTTATTTCTACGGATTTACAAGGTTCTTGCTCCGTCAGTCACCTTATCATGAATTTGATGTGCACCTCCTGACTGGTCTCCCTCGTGTTTGTCACAACCCTGGCGTCTTCTGCCTGCAGTGAAGTATGAGGTGCGGTTACAGGACGGCACGGTGGTGACCAAGACTGGGGACGAGGGCGTGGAGTTTTACCTCAAGGACGGCCACTTCTGCGCTGCTATTCCGCGCGCCGTCAAGACGATGCACCAGGGGGAGAAGGTGCTGCTCACAGTGAAGCCCCTCTGTAAGTTAAATCCCCTATCCTCGTTTTAAGGGCCTGCCCTTCCCTGGGAAAACAAGACAATGCACCAGGGGGAGAAGGTGCTGCTCACTGTGATTCCCGTTGGAAGTGTTCTCCCCTATCCCCGTTATAAGTGTTTCTCCCTTTCCTCGTCCTTCAGCTGTCCACTCTTTCCAGCTGTTTCTCCGCTTCCTGCCATCCCTGCCTCCGTCACCTTCCCTCCATTCCATCAGTCGGCTATCTCTTGACCAATCCCTTCGTTCGTCCCCCCTTCCTGTTCGTTCAACTCTTGGTACAGACGGTTTCGGAGACGCCGGCCGTCCGGAGACTGACGGCCAGCCGGCAATCCCGCCGAACGAGACGCTGAGCATCGACTTGGAGCTGGTGGGGTGGCGGAAGGTGGAGAAGGTGACTGAGGACGGGAAGGTTATGAAGGAGGAGATCGAGGCTGGGGAAGGGTACGAGCGACCCAACGACGAGTCTGTGGTCAAAGGTATGTGCTCCGGCAGCCTTTGCTCTAGTGGTGAAGGTTTGCCACTCCAGTATTGTGGTTTTTGGCTGAGCTGAGCATCGAGCTGGAGCTGGTGGGGTGGAGGAAGGTGGAGAAGGGGACTGAAGACGGCAAGGCGATGAAGGTGGAAATCGAGGCTGGGGAGGGGTACGAGCGGCCCAACGACGAGTCCGTGGTGAATGGTGAGCACTCCAGCGGTATTGGATTGGGCTCTGCTGAGCGTGATGTGAGTTTTGGCTGGGCTGAGCGTTGACCTCGAGCTGGAGCTGGTGGGGTGGCGGAAGGTGGAGAAGGTGACTGAAGAGGGCAAGGTCATGAAGGAGGAGATCGAGGCTGGGGAGGGTTACGAGCGGCCCGACGACGAGTTTGTGGTCAAGGTTGAGCACTCCAGCAGGTACTAGATTGGGCTTTACTGAGCGTGGTGCTGTATTGTGCTGGGCTGATTTTGCATCCTGGCGCTGGAGCATAAGGAAGCAAGCATCAGGTCACACTCACTGTCCCCTCCCGGCTCACAATTCTTTCTCGCGTGATTCTCTTTCCTCTGGCTGGTTTTCGCATGCAGTGCGCTACACCCTGCGGCTTAGTGATGGCACAGTGGTGGAGGAGAAGGGCGTCGGCGATGGGGAGGATCCGTTTGAATTCACCACAGATGAAGGTGAGGGTTGGGGTTTAGGGTTTAGACCTTAGACCCTGGCCAGGCAAGGGTTGTGCAGGTAGATGCATTGCAGGATAAGGACGTAGAATGCTGGTCGACAGCTATAGTGGGGTGGGATGTGGTGGGGTGGGATGCGGTGGGGTGTCACGGGGGTGTTGAGCGATAGCAGTAGCTTTCAAGCCGTTTTGAAAACTGAATGTATTTGCCCTGTTCATCCCTTTCCCTCCACTTTGCTCCTCGTGCTGTTACGTTACAAGTCGCCCATGGGCTCGACAAAGCTGTAGTGATCGTGAAGAGGGAAATTTCGCCTCCCCTTCCCATTCTTATCACTCCCCCCCCTCCCCAAATTCATCCTACTTTTCATCAGAGCAAGTGGTCCCTGGGCTGGACAAGGCCGTAATGAAGATGAAGAAGGGCGAGCTCGCTACAATCACCATCTCACCGGAGTACGCGTACGGCTCAGAGGAAAAAACTCTCGAGAAAGGCACAGTTCCACCGAACTCCACCGTGGTGTACGAGCTTCGCCTGGCGGATTTCGTCAAGGATAGGGAGTCCTGGGAGCTAGGCGACGAGGAGAAGATTTCCCACGCAGCCAAGAAGAAGGAAGAGGGTAACCTGCTCTTCAAGTCCGGAAAATACATCCGGGCAGCAAAGAAATACTCCAAGGCGCTGAAGCTGATCGAGTACGACACGCAGTTTAAGGACGAGGAGAAGAAAGCGGCCAAGGTGCTCAAGGTGTCGTGCAGTCTGAATGAAGCCGCGTGTCAGCTTAAGCTGCGGGACTTCCCTGCTGCGGTGAAGCTGACCAGCAAGGTGCTGGAGCTGGAGGGGACGAACGTGAAGGCGCTGTACCGGCGGGCACAGGCGTACATGGGGACTGAGGACTACGACCTGGCGGAGTGGGATGTGAAGAAAGCCCTCGATCTGGACCCGGAGAACAGGTGAGAGACGGTGTGTTTAGAAGTTGGTATGGAATCCCAAGGGGCTGTATACGCAGGTGTGGGGTTGAGGTACCGGCGGGCCCAGGCGTACATGGGGACTGAGGACTATGATCTGGCGGAGTGGGATGTGAAGAAAGCCCTCGATCTGGACCCTGAGAACAGGTGGGAATGGGCTTTCAGGGCAAGGCAGGCACATGTGAGAGTGAGCGGAAGCCTAGGATTGAATGCGAAGGCGCTGTACCGCCGGGAGCAGGTGTACATGGGGGTTGAGGAGAGAGAGGACTACGATCTGGCCGAGTGGGACATGAAGAAGGCCCTCAATTGCCCCAGCAGGTGCTAGAAGCCTGAGTTCAAGAAACTGAATGCCTTCACTCCTTGTTCCTACCTCACCTGTCTTCTCCCTTCCCCTCTGCCCCGCGTCTTTGCCCCACCAACCCTGCTCCACTTTCTCTTGCTTGTCTTGTCCTCTCCAGGGACCTGAAGCTTGAGTACCGCACGCTGAAGAGGAAAATTGCCGAGCAGAACCAGAAGGAGAAGAAGATCTACGGCAACCTCTTTGCCCGGCTGCACAAGCTGGAGGAGAAGGAAGGGGTGAAGAGGGAGGACGAGACTGCTGCTGCTGCTGACGCTGCTGCTGGTGATGCTGCGGCAGCAGAAGCAGCTGCAGCAGGGGTAGATGTGCCGCAAGAAGCTGTGATAGAACCAAAGGTTACTCTGGATGCTGGGAGTGATGCTGGAGAGGCGATGGCTCAGTAGGGAAAGTACCAACGGTCATTAGTATTTTTAGGGACTTGTGCATGGCTTGGCATGACAATGGAAATTGGAGCCTATAAAATGAGCTTTTTGGGGAATGGGGGTTCCAGAGTTTGGGATATCAAAGAAGCGCGACGAGGACGAAAATTGATTCGGTAGAAAGAAATTTTCTGGCAGTCAGAATCTTGCAAAGAAAATACAACCCCTTGGCAATCGTTTATATTGTTGCAGATACTAACACCTTGGGATGGATTCTTCCAAAGTGGGGTCTGGAGAAGTTGGATACTACATCGCGATTGGTACCATGCAGTGCAATCGTAGAAAATGTGAAATCAGAGCGGTGCAGTCAGGGAACGCGCGAATCTTTCCTGGGCCCCGCTTTGTAGGAGTCCGCCCTTGGTTTCTGCCATATGTTCCACTCAGGGCCCTAAATAGCGACTTTTTTTTGTCTGATTGTCTGATTTTCATACTGGTTTTTAGGGGTTTCTCTGATTTTTCAGACAGGGGCTTTCAAAAACTCTGATTGGACTAGACAAACTTTTAAGATTTCTCTGAAATTTTCAGACTAGGTGTACCAGTTTCTCTGATTTTTAGACAAGTGTTTTGAGTTTCTCTGAAACAAAGACATACAGGTGTAAGGTGCTCCCATGCGAATATTCCCTTTTTCGCGTCGCCACACATTGTCCCCCCTCCATATCCTTGGCATACGTGAGCCTTCCCGAGCCTTCTGTGGCAACATCTGATGTGGCTAGAGCACATGTGACTGGATACTTTACGGTATTGCAGAAAAGCAGACCAGTCAGAGGCCTTTGCGGCGCGTTACTAGGGTCTACAGCGCACAGTGGGGATCAGACCATGCCTCACCCCATGCAGTGAACTTGCTGCAGCATACGTGCACCGCTGTACGTCATCCCGCCCATCACGACGCGTCACCCCGCCCATCGTCTCGTCACTTGCCAGTCCGTGCCGCCATGGCACTTGACCAAGAAACCCCCTCCCCAACCGCTTCTTGCTCCCGTCGTCTCCACCTATTTCTTCCATCCACTTCTCTTACATTCTAGTGTTGATGTCGTGCGTTGTGTTCTTCTGCTCGTGTTCTGTTTCAGGTTTAGATTCCCCTCTCGAAGTAGGGCCAACATGGCTGTCGTTGTCGAGGCTGACGGCGACGATCAGCCAGAAGGGTGTAGCGAATCCCCGCCTCCCATGCGAGGCCTAGACTTCCCGCGTTCAAAGCTGTCGTGCACCCCTGCTGCAGATACCTCCCGTCGCCCAGCCGCTATCGACCCTATGCTTGCGCCTTCCTCAGCCGAGCCCTCGCCATGGCCCGTGCCACTAGCATCCCCTCCTTTGTCGCCTGCGCGTTCGTCCAGCCCGTCCTTACCTCGGCCCTCGCAGTCGCCCACACCATCGTCGGCGGTCCGCTTGGAAACCAATGCCCAAGCATCAGCTCGCTCCTCCGCCAAGAAGCGAAAGTATCGGCAGGCTTCTCTGCCGTGGTTCAAGGGCGCCACATCCAAGGCTCCTGACTCTGCACCGAGTTCAGCGCCCGGCCCGTCTTCCGCAGAAGATATGGAGGACGATGATGCTGACGACGACGAGGAGGACGCAGAAGCAGCCGAGCCGCTGAAGGTCGCTAAAGCACGTGAGGCAGAGCTGAAACACAAGTTTGAAACCGAGTGGTCGAAGAAGTTTCCGTGGCTCGTCCTCACCAAGACCGATCTTGGTCGCCCGTCCATCAAGTGCAGCATCTGCACGGCGCACTGGTCGGAGAACTGCAAGTACGGCAAAGGCGGACAGGGCGGAGCAGACATCCAAGTGCAGACAATGCGCAAGCACCAGCGTACCAAGAAGCACCAGGCCGCTGTCGAGAAAAAGGAGGCTAAGGAGAGGGCCGAGACGAAGCAGAAGCGCATCGAGGATTTCTCGAATGGCGACGTCGAAGGCAGACATATCATTCGGTTGTTGATGGCGATGTCATTTATCTGCAGAACTGACGCACCGATCTTGATGTATGTTTTTCTGGTGAACTTCATGGCCTCGCAGGGTACGCCGGACTTGGGTGAGAGCAACTACGGCACCTACCACACATAGTTAGTTTTTTGGATTTCGCAAATCTCCCATTGTTCGAACCGCTAGAGTCATCTAATGCTTCTCGTTGCTTGCCATGTGTTGCAGGTACGGATTCAGGCAGCTGACAGAGGCGACGGCGAATTACCTTCGGCAGAAGCAGCTCGAGCACATCCTGAAGAGTCATTTCATCGGTCTCAGCGTCGACGAAAGTACCGATCGACGGCGCGGCAAGCACTTAATTGTCTACGTGACATTCGTGAAGAACGACAGGGTTGTCACTGAGTTCTTTGCCTTACTCACTGTGCATAAGTGCGATGCTGGATCCCTCTTAGCCATTTTGCAGACCCATCTCGAATCGGCAGGTGTCGACATCAATAAGGTTTCAGGCATCAGTACGGATGGGGCCAGCGTCATGAGGGGGGATCGACAGGGCCTGGTCGCCCACCTTCGGCAGCTCGTGCCGCACCTCGTCTTTGCTCATTGCATTGCTCACAGGTGAGGCGTAGTGCAGCACCACTTCCTTGGCAGGTTTCCCGACTTCATCGATTAGTTCTGATTTGTGTTTTGTGGTTTTGATGTATGATGTTCCGTGTTTGAGTAGGGAGGCTTTGGCAGCTAAGGACGCTGCCAAGAAGTTTCTCGACTTCAACATGATCGACGACATCATCAGGATGCTGGCCGAGATTTTGGGACGCTCCTCAGTGTGGCACGACCGCTTCAGAGAGCTGCAGGAGATCGTGATGAAGACCTTCCTGGAGATGCAGTCTATCTTCACCATCCGCTGGCTTTCACGCGCCGAGGCAATACTCCGCTTGGTCGCAGTTCTTCCCGCTGCCATCCTGCTGCTGCACGAGTACGACCGGGATTCATACGAGGTTGCAAGGGGCTATAAATTCCACTTCTGCCTCTTCTTCCTTTCCGACCTGTTGACAGAGCTCAACCGGCTTAACAAGAAGTTTCAGCATCGCCAGATAACGTATATGCTAACGCTTCAGATCGCGCACATACTTTCGATCGCACACATGCACGTTCTATGCTGGGCTAAACATGCCTTGGCTATGTGATTTTCTCGTGCTACTTGTAGGTCGACATCACCAGGGTGGGAAGCATGGTGCAGAGCACCACCGAGGTGATTCGCGCACGGTACATCAACTGCGACTCTTCTTTCAACGGCCCCAGAAGCAAGCACCTGCACAAGTTCTTGACATCCCATGAGCCTGAAGGTCGTGTGGTCGTCGAGGGGGAGGCGAAGGATGGCGAGCCGGTCTGCCACGAGTACATCCTTCACACGAAGTCGATTTCGGACTCGGAGTTCAAGAGCGACAAGAAGTCTTGCATTGTGTTGTGCCGTGCCATGGCCCAAGAGACGATCGACTGCATCGAGTCAAGGTTCAGCGACCTGCAGCAGCTCGGAGGAACCAAGCTTTTTCTCTCAAGCGCCTATCCCACTGCGCGATCGGACCGCGAGAAGAAAGTGCTTGAGTGGCTGGCGCTTCTGAAAAAGTTATTCAACAACAAGCCCCTGCCTGGTAAGTTCTCTAGACCAACATACTTTTCCAAGTGCTTTTATGGATTACCCTTCTAATGTTTACTTAGTGTGCCTGTTATCTGAGTGCGATGCCATGCGTTATACTCACACTTTGCTGATTCCCTCCCCTCGCAATGTACCCCCCCCCTCCCCCTCCCAGGCGTTAGCTGGAAGCGCGCCAAGGCAGAGCTGGCCTCATTCGTCAACATCATGGACGCGCATCACGGGGAGATGGCGTACCACGTCAGCCTGCGGCACATGCTGGGGACACGCGACTGGGAAGATGCCTATCCCAATCTTGTTAAGATTTGGGTGGCAACCGCCGTGCTCCCGTTAAGCACGGTGGAGTGCGAGCGGGGATTTTCCCGCCAGAACGTCATTAAGAGCTGGTCTCGGGGCAACCTCTGTGATGCCCGCTTGGGCGACCTTGTGTGCATCTCCCTCCTGCAGGATTACGACATGCAGTGGGATGAGATCGTTGACATGTGGAAGGCCGCCAAGCCAAGGCGGCCTAGCCACGATGCAATTGCCCCCATTCTTGCCCCAATGTCCAGGAAGAAGAAGAGCAAGGCCGAGGCAAAGAAGAGAAGGAAGATCGCAGAGCTCGAGGCTTAGATCAGGAAGTGGAAGGGGATGGCTGTTGTTGAGGAGTATGGGCTGGAGGAAGGAGAGGTGGAAGAGGAGGTGGAGGAGGAGGTAGAGGAGGAGCTGACGGAATTTGATGATGATGAGGAGTAGGTACTGTAAATGTAGGGAGGGAGGGAATGGCCATCTGCCTGCATGCTCGTTCATTTGTAACTTGCAAGTAGTACTAACTTAATCAAAGTGCTAAACTGTATCTTCCATTGCCACACACAATAACAGACTATGCAATAGAATTTCTCTGTATTTTCAGACAAAGATTCTCAAATTCTTTGGAAAATCAGACAAGGTTTTCAAAATTCTCTGATCCTGAAAAGCGCATCAGACAAAGTGCGCAGAACGTGTCTGATTGCTCAGACACGTTTTTTTCCAAAAGAGAACCCTGGTTCCACTTCAGTCTTTGTGCACACGTCAGGAACAACCAAACATGATGATACCGTATTCCCCCGTATACAACACCCCGCAAAATATGAGCTTTTTTTTGTAATAAAAATCTACAGATTGTGATTCGACTAGAAGAGGAGTTTGCTGTAAAGGAGACAAACTCCTTCATCTATCAGCAGGTCTTTCAGACCTGCCACCTAGTCTCATTTGCATTTTTCTGTTCCTACTTGTATACCACTAGCACACTCTAAACCTCTATGCCCAGATCTGGGCATAGGAGTCTCTTGCTGCAAGACGTCCTTTCCGTCAGATATTCTACAATGGTTAGCGGACTTATTTCCGCTGCAAGTGGTAGGCCTCCCGCTCCTCGCGTGAATACTAGGAGTGGTGGAAGGCGTGGGTCCCCTGTACGTGAGGGGAACCGAAACTCTTCATCTCAGCATATAGAACAATCTCGTTCTCTTCGTCCTAGCGGAGGTAACGGCGCCGTTACCGCTTTGGATTTGCTGAGTGGCGCGCGTCAAGACCCTGTTCAGC